TGGGTTTGAACCCAAATGTGCAGATGAATTTCTTTGGCAACCTTACATCACTTTATTTAAGTGTGATAAGTGAATTTGTTTCATGAAACTTTTTGGAAAATGACCAAAATGGGTTTTGTATTTTCAAAGTGTCTCAGTATACTTGGATGAACTCTTATTCAAGAGGTTTATATGAGCGGCGTATAACTACGCGCACTTTTACTCAACCAATTATTGCACCAGATTTTATGGAGGCCAATTTGCTACAACCCCTGTGACGTCATGCTTGGAAGGTGATTGGTCCACGTCAGACAAAGCCTCCTACTGACAGAGCAGGCGCCAGCAAGTTTACTGACTTGTAAACAAACCCGTTGTACGGGGGAATACTTCACCGGCAACCTTGAAAACAGTATACAACTACGGCCTGTTATCATCATGGGAATCTAATAGATGTCTAGCCTTGACAGCAGGATAAACGATGTTTATCTTGGAAGTTGTCACTGATAAAAGTTGGTATGAGAATACCTGTCCCCTGCGATACTGGAGCCAGCCGTGCTATAAATAGACAACACTTCGATACAGGCTGATCAACACAGATCACCTTCGTATATAAGGGGAAGAATGATGTATCATCACTGCAATCAGAGGTTAGCACTTCCAATGGAACATCCTACCATTTGGAATATCATCGGCTCTATGGTTATTCATACGAATAACCAAGCCTATCGGCACCTATCTGCATCATCGAGGTCTACGCAGTGCCGGTTATCTCGACGACGGCATACAGGTTCTTCAAAGTGCCAATCAACTCAGATAGCAGCTGAACTTCACAATTAAGTTGCTCAAGCAAATAGGATGGCTAGTGAACCTTATGAAGTTTGAGTTAGAATCAAATCAAGATCTTGAATTGCTAGGAATAAGAATTATCACAACACAGAATCGAATTGTGGTCCCAGAAGATTGTTGGGTCAAAATACAAGCAATGATTCATCAATCAGTCATCTCTCCGTTAACACTACGAACACGGCAATGTCTGCTCAGTCTGCTAACCTCGGCACAGGACTTGACTCGCACAGGAAGGTTACAACTAAGGCCGCTGCAACGGTTCCTGACAAAACATCTGGACAGTGTCGACCCTATGTTGCTGCCAGACAATCTTATGAGGTACCTACTTTGGTACCTATCTCGTGGGAGGGACTAAACGTTTCCACCTCCAGTACTACTTCCACAAGTATTACAGAAAATCAAGCAGAAGACAGCGCTGCAACTGATTTTGGTCGCGCCCTACTGGCCAGCGAGGGTATGGTTTCCCGTCCTCATTCAAGAACTCGGAAGTCCAACCCTGAAACTACCAGATTGGTAGAACCTTCTCATCCATCCACACACCAAGCAAGCTCACGGGAATCCGTTATTGTTCCAACTACACGTATGGACCATATCAAAACTTGCCTAAAGAAAAGAGGATACATTGCCAGAGCGGCAAAAGCAGTAACATTTGCCTTACGCAGATAGACTAGCACTTTGTATGATGACAAGTTGAAAAGATTTGAACTATATGCACAGCGGAAATGATTTGCTGATCCTCAAGTGGCGGAATACTTGTGTTCTCTGCGACAGAGGAGGCATTTAAAAGGTTTGACACTCAACCTACTTAGCTGCGCTTAGTACAGTTATCACCATGAAAACAGGCGTTGAGCTGATCAAAGTGCCAGAATTATTAGCTTCACTACGCTCGTTCAAGACCTACAAAAGAAATTTAAGGCTCCTGCTTGGGATCTCAATGTAGTGTTGCAACATCTCACCAGTGATGCTTACGTGCCTCTAGACCGGACATCATTTGAATTGTTAACACAGAAAACGCTGTTTCTACTCGCCCTAGCAACGGCAGCACGGATGTCGGAAATGCATGCTCTGGATTTTGAGAAATTTTCTTGTCGGGCAAGAGAAATTTGTATATCACACTGTACCGGTGTCCAGTTGACTTTCCAATGTTAATTATGTTGTTTATTTTTAAAAATCATCAAGAAAACGGCTGGTATAGTGGAAAAATTATCAGGGCAAGTGATTTTACATGTGCCACTGTTCCGGAGTACACTAGCAATTTTAAAGTTATTTCCACCCCTGCTGACAGACAATTCCATATCCCAGCATTATCTACAATCCTTGGTCCAGAGGATACACAAGATTTATCCTTGTGTCCAGTTAGAACATTGAAAATCTACCTACAACAGACAAAACAAGGAGACGAAAATGCCAACGCCTATTCATCCCCTTTATCTACTGAGACACCCACGGAAGTCTCACGGACAACTATACTGAGTCAAAAAAGAAACTTCACATTCTTTCTTCGGGGCACTATAAAAGAACAAGATATGGTTAAATTGTTATTATTTCATTGCTGAGATCTGTGTGATGTACTCGATACATTGACAGTGCCAATATCAGTTCCATTAGGCTACACCGCCGTTCCAAAACATGGGTATACAGAATGTCAAGTCACAAGAATAAAAATGTGAAATTTCTCAGTTCAATATCGTGTATGGCCGCCCCGCGCATTCACCACTGCCAAACACCGTCTCCTCATCAACTGCCTGATGCTTGTGAACACGTGGTTGGGGATTCTGCGCCATTGCTCTTGCAAGGCAGCGCCAGGTTCCTGCAAATTCTGAGGTTGGTTCCTAAGACCACGGCCTTTTCCCAAGTGCATCCCAAACGTGCTCTATTGATTAAGGTCAGGGGACCTCGATGGCCAGTCCATGACGCTGATTCCAGCGCTTTGAAGGAAATTTCGCGGTCAACATCGCGGTATGCGCCGAAAGCATTATCATGCTGGAACTGTAGACCTGGGCCATGAGCTGCCATGAAAGGAACGAGTTCAGGGGGTGAGCACCTGGTCGCGGTAAGCAGCAGCTGTGAGGTTTCCACGGATGACCAGAAGTCGGAAACGGTTGTTCCCACAGAAAGCACCCCACACCATGCAACTTCCGCCCCGAATCTGTCGACTTCCTGTACACAACATTGGGCATACCGCTCACGACGTCGTCTCCAGACTCTATGCCTGCCGTCCGCTGAATCTGAGGGTAAACCTGATTCATCGCGATAAGACAACTCGATTCCAGTCTCTCTGGGTCCATCGGAGGTGCCGTTGGGCTCACAGCAGACGTTGACGTTGATGAAACGGGCGCCAATATTGGCCCACGATATGGACGCCGAGAATGGAGATTGGCAGCCCGCGAACCGATTTCGAATGGTCTGTGAGGACAGTCGACCCTAAACATCTCAGCCCTGGTTCGTAGCCGGCAGAAATCTGTCACGTAGGTGACGAGGGACGATTTGACGGTCTTCTGCTCGTGACGCCACACGGACTAACCTGACCTTGGGCGATCTGAAGTGGTGCCAGTTTGTTTTAGACCTCGCAAGTCATACACAGTACGACGGCTGCAACCCATTGCTCTGGCGATTTCAATAACTGATCTTCCTACTTGCAACATGCCAACGGCACGTTCACGTTGCACATTTGACAATCGTGGCATTTCAAGTACCATTAGAACTGTAGTTTAAAAGTGTTTTTTCAATTCTTGAGGCCAAAGCAAACACGTGCATATGAAGAAATCTTCGATGCGAAGATCACGTGATCGATGCGTGTGCAAAACCTGATTTGGCACTAACGCCATTTGTACACTCCATTTAATGGATGGGTTTGAGTGGGTTTTGCTAACGTTTTTCTAGAGTCGAAAGATAGGGATCCCATTTCGGAAACATAAATGTATCATCAGCAAAAAATTATTCATTATTTTTCAAATTACATTTTATGAAGTTTCTTTTTTGACTCAGTATATATCACTTTGGTTGTGAACCGTAATATTAAGGGCCTATAAAGCAGCAGGACTGAGCCTCCACGAGCCCCCAATCCACATGAAGTCAGAGCTTTGGCGTCCACACTCGCTGCATGGATACTGCTTGATTGCAGCTATAATGGAAGGCTGCTTTTGGAAATCTGATACGGTGTTTGCCAACCACTACCTCAGAGGCATCGCCACTGAGGGCGTCTCAGGCATTCACCAATTTGGGCCACTTGTTGTAGCCCAACAATTAACGCTTCCACAAAGGCGCGCTGAGAAAATTTCACCTTTTACCACGTGACTTGTTGATACCAACACTCTGAAGAGTATATGGTTGAAAGTCCATGTGCACGTCTAGGACAGGCTAGCATGAGTGATTAGGACCCTGTACTTGTATAGAATTTACTCGTACGTAAAGAAAAGGTCGCATCTCCACTTGATGTACGCATCATGACATGGAGTTGCTACAGATAACTAATAAGACATTAGTATATCTTTATCCACACGAAGATGTCAGAAGATTCTTTTGTAAGAAAGTTTGACAAGTTGTGGTCCCCCCGAGTGATCAGATGAAAGTTGGAGGAACATGATAGTCAGAGTGCCGTCATAGTTCCCATGGGGGAAAAAATACAGGACGTACATTAGAACAGCCAGTGAATCCAGGAAGTGGCCTGACCCACCACCGTTTCCGTCGGATTCTGTTTAAGTTAGCATAATAAGCATGAGTCAGGATAAGGAAAAATTTCCCAGGTTCCTTGAGACCGCCTCCGTGGTGTAGTGGTTAGAGCGTACGCCCGGAGAGCGGAAGGTCGCGGGTTCGATCCCCGACCGCGTCATACCAAAAGACGTTTAAATATGGTACTTGTTGGTCCCTGCCTGGCGCTCGGCATTAATGGGTACAACAAGGACTGGTCGGCTCGGAGTCAGTATGATGTGTCTGAGTGGGGGTATTCATGCTTCACTGCGACATGGTATCTCAGTGAGCTATCACTATAAAACCAGCTTAAGTCTGGGCTAGTACAAGCAGCGACACATACACATACACACACATGCAAGTCGTCATATCAGCGAAATATTCTCAAGCACGACGTTAAACCCAATTTCACCTCACCTCACCTCAGGTTCCTTGATGTTGAGAAGGTGCATTTGTTGTGTCTGTATGGTTGCTTCATATTTCAGATGGATTTCTTCAGGAAGATTTTCATGGATGTTTTCTCTGAGTTTGTATTCAAGAAAAGTGAGTATTCCTCATATACTGTGGTGCAGTCAGTGCTTGAATTACGTTTTACTGTACCAGCCAAGAAGGCTGGTGACGTCTCAACCCTTCTATTTTCTGTACTTCAATGTCATTTGCTTGTCTAAAAAAACAAGTTCTTTTACAGAGACACCTTAAATTGTGAAGTGATATGAAATATCTCCATTTGGCAGCTGTAAATAATAGATTCTAACCAACAGTTTGATTGATCTGTTTCATGAGATGCATATTTCAGAAGTTTGTAAACACAGAATCTGCCAGCTATACATTGTTAGCTCTCCAGATTCAGTTAAAATCTGTTGTAATTCATAAAGCACTTTCAGTGCAGTACATTTACTGTGGCTGTCAAAAATACTAAAAATTTATCTAAAAAGGGAAGCAAAACTCTAGCTTTATTCCAGTCTGCACCAATGTAATTAGCCAGCCTAATCATCAACGGAACAAACTGAGTTTAGGACGAACAAGTGCATTGTAGAAAACACGAGGAAAACACTTAAATTCCTCAAATTTGATCAAATTATGCTCATGAAAACCCTTCTCTTGGTGCCTTTTTGTATGTGTGTCTATGTGTATGTACCATATTTACTTCAGTATTTAGCAATATGTGTGCATATTATTTTTGCAACAATGAAATTCACTAAATGCTCTCACAGAGTTCCAGTCCAAGAGGAAGAGACCAGACACCTGCACCACAGAAGACACAGAGGAAGAGAGTTTCTTCGAATTTCTGTCGAGGGTTAGTGTCATCCTTCTAATGTCCCGATGTATAAACCTTGGGTTGACTCTGAGATCACCAGGTGGTCCTTGCAGCCTATGTCCTGTGTGACAAAAATATGCAATGTTAGTATGTTCTTGGTACTTGGTATGTATTTCCCTCGTTAACAAGACAAATGGCTTCACAGAGCTGCTCTGAATGAAAGTAATTTTTAGATGTGTTTTTAATCTATGAATTAATTTGAATATAGAAAAAGGCTCAATATATTGCAGTTTAACAGCTGTTAGGTGATCATAGTGAGTGAGTGAGTGAGTTTGGTTTTACGCCGCTTTTAGCAATATTCCAGCAATATCACGGCGGGGGACACCAGAAATGAGCGTGACGAGCCAACGCTTTTACCACTAGGCTACCCCACCGCCCCCATTAGGTGATCATAGTTTTAGGGAGGGGTGTATAGTGATAATCATGATTTCCATCCATCAGTCCAAAGACATTTTTGTTCAACCAGTAATTTGAAACTTGGATTGTTTTCAAAATTGGGAAAACCTTTGTAGTGCAGTTTAACTTTAAAAACAACCATGTGTTTGGTCCATGGGGCCAAAATGTCCCAATTTGATCAAATGTCCCCCAGTTTGTTTTTGGTAGGAACAACACTGAGATGTCATAAAAGTGGTGCCAAAAAGTTTTTAATATGGTTGTTCAGCTGAAATTGGGAGTCACAGTTATGAGTATTTATGAGCCATGCTCACATTTTTGGGCATGTTAGATTCAGTTAGTTGTATTTGTGGGTGGTGTTTCCAGAAGTTCCGGTCCGAGGGGAGGAGCAGCACTGACGACTACATTCTCACAGAAGATGATGTGAGTTGTTTTGTTCAAAGGAGCCCAGAGTCTCACTACGACTTTGGTTTCACATTCGAGATAGTGATGGAATATATTTGGGGTCAATGTCAGTCATTGGCTTTTGACCTACTTTACTATACATCAGTCACCCGTAAAGATACGGGTTAGAATGAGCCATCAGTAACCCATGCTTGTTGTAAGGGGCGACTAACAGGATCGGGTGGTCAGGCTTGCTGACTTGGTTGACACATATCATCGGTTCCCAATCGCGCAGATCATGTGCTAGATGCATAACACTAAGCATACAGTGTTGTGCATCATGTGTTAGATGCATGACACCTAGATAAAGTTGTGGGTCATGTGTTAGATGCATGACACATAGCATACAGTGTGTTGTGGATCATGTGTTAGATGCATGACACATAGCATACAGTGTGTTGTGGATCATGTGTTGGATGCATAACACATAGCATAGAGTGTTGTGCATCATGTGTTAGATGCATGACACCTAGCATGCAGTGTGTTGTGCATCATGTGTTAGATGCATAACACGTAGCATACAGTGTGTTGTGCATCATGTGTTGGATGCATGACACATAGCATAGAGTGTTGTGCATCATGTGTTAGATGCATAACACGTAGCATACAGTGTGTTGTGTAGGATGCATGACACATAGCATAGAGTGTTGTGCATCATGTGTTAGATGCATAACACGTAGCATACAGTGTGTTGTGCATCATGTGTTGGATGCATAACGCGTAGCATACAGTGTGTTGGGTATCATGTGTTGGATGCATGACACATAACATAGTGTTGTGCATCATGTGTTAGATGCATATCACGTAGCATACAGTGTGTTGTGGATCATGTGTTGGATGCATGACACATAACATAGTGTTGTGCATCATGTGTTGGATGCATAACACATAACATAGTGTTGTGCATCATGTGTTAGATGCATATCACGTAGCATACAGTGTGTTGTGGATCATGTGTTGGATGCATGACACATAACATAGTGTTGTGCATCATGTGTTGGATGCATAACACATAACATAGTGTTGTGCATCATGTGTTAGATGCATATCACGTAGCATACAGTGTGTTGTGGATCATGTGTTGGATGCATAACACATAACATAGTGTTGTGCATCATGTGTTGGATGCATAACACGTAGCATACAGTGTGTTGTGCATCATGTGTTAGATGCATAACACATAACATAGTGTTGTGCATCATGTGTTGCATGCATGTCACCTAGATAGACTGTGTTGTGGATCATGTGTTAGATGCATAACATCTGGCATGCAGTGTGTTGTGCATCATGTGTTAGATGCATGACACCTAGCATGTAGTGTGTTGTGCATCATGTGTTAGATGCATGACACCTAGCATAGAGCGTTGTGCATCATGTGTTAGATGCATGACACCTAGCATGCAGTGTGTTGTGCATCATGTGTTAGATGCATGACACTTAGCATGTAGTGTGTTGTGCATCATGTGTTAGATGCATGACACCTAGATAAACTGTGTTGTGGATCATGTGTTAGCTGCATGACACCTAGATAGACTGTTGTGGATCATGTGTTAGATGCATAACATCTAGCATGCAGTGTGTTGTGCATCATGTGTTAGATGCATGCAGGGATTGCAATTTTCCGCTTATATCCGGCAGTTTTATTTCAAATTGATCAATTCTGTGAATCATTGAAATCCCCTGAATTCGATGACACAATATTAAGTTTCAGTTGAAAATAGATTTTCTTTTGTCATCCTTATGCATGACATTTGAAGCGATTGATATGACATTGAATGATTCAGAAAATCTTTATAATTACGTACCAGTTGAAGAAATTCCAGTCTTATGATGAATGGCAGAAAGCGAGAGACCCCAGCAAGCCTCCTAACAGATGTAAGAGGGTAAGTAGTGGTTTGAGACATATATTATCCCCGTACGTGGGGAGGTGGAGGCAGGGAGGTGATGTTGATACCTTGGTTTGTTCAGAATGCTTGTAAGTGTTATGTGTTGATCCAAATTGATAGGCTAACCCCAAATTCTTTTTCCAAAAAAAGAAAGAGTTACACATAATTAGATTTTGGAGTGAGAAAGATATAGTGGCAGCTCTCAAAACCAGCAGCCCTCCAATCCGGCATGCTCTCAATATCGGCACTAGAATTTGGTCCCGGCAGAAGCTAGTAAATTTATGATTGTTCACACGCCCTCTAATCCGGCGTCAGTCTATTCCGTATTTCGGCAAAACAAAGACCGCCCAATTGACTGTTTATACAGTAACTACAGCTCTCTAAACCGGCATCCCCTATCTCGGCACTCCTGTTGATTGGTTGAACGTGTATTTACAACACAGTGGATTACCATCGGCATTAAGCTCATTGATTTTGCCTGATAAAAGGAGTATGGATAAGGGTTAGGCCTAAGTAGGTGGGGAAAATTGGTGAGTGACACGTGTCACTTGTATTATAAATTAATTGTCGTGTCACAATTTGTCAGTCGTTCACCATGTCAAGATGGCTACACTATCCGTTGTTCAGTCGTATTTTACAGCACACCGAAGATCATTCTCAGGTTGAAAGGGAAAAGTTCTCTAAACCAGCACACCCTCTATACCGGGCATTTTTTGCCGGTCCCAACGAATGCCGGTTTAGAGGGCTTCCACTGTGTATTACTATCAGCTGGATATGTATTGTAGGTTTCATGTATATCACAATATTTTACTGCAACAGTGAGGAACATGACAATATTACTTTATGCATCTAAGTGGTGGTATGGTTAGCTCTCCATAAGGCAGGGAGGTGGGGTAGCTCTCCATAAGGCAGGGTGGTGGGGTAGCTCTCCATAAGGCAGGGTGGTGGGGTAGCCTAGTGGTTAAAGCGTACGCTCGTCACGCCGAAGACCTGGCTTCGATTCCCCACATGGGTACAATGTGTGAAGCCCATTTCTGGTGTCCCCCCGCCGTGATATTGCTGGAATATTGCTAAAAGCAGAATAAAACTAAACTCACTCACTCACTCACTCACTCTCCATAAGGCACATAGAGCCATACAACCAAGTGCCCCAGATGTTCTCAACAGAAGTGTGTGAAATGATGTGAATGCTCATGAGGGAGGAAACTGAGAATTCCAATATATCACGCATCAAAGCTTGAAGATGTTTTGGGTGGTGTAATGCCACAAAATGTCTTCTCTCTAGATACCATTGACAGATTGTAAAATGAAAGTGTCTGTTTGGTTGAAAATATGATTAGGCTTGATTTGACGCTTGGAAATCTCAAATAGTCACTGCATGCTAATATTCTTCTTGATGAATAAGAATTGCACAATATTACCACTATATTGATAAACAGAGAATCTCACCCGATTGTCTTTTGACATCAAATATATCACCACAAGTTGATAAAGTTACAAATATCCAAGGATTGCCGAGGATATTTTTACTGTTATCAACGAGTGTTGATATGTTCTATTTATCATCAAAAATCACTCTTGATTAGTGTTCAATGAAAAATGTACATCTCTGAACACAGTTCTGCCATTCTGCAGTGCAGCGATGTCATAGCATTGTGATGTCATCAAGTTCATTACGTCATAGCATTGTCAGGGCATTGTACAAAATCTACTGTCAAAATGATATCTCCTAGGAGACTAATCTCACACAAGCAATATCTCCTGTGGAACACAGTTTTGGACGATAAATTTAGCTTCATTCTGTCCACGAAATGTACCACAATATCACATCGGTATATCAGTGACTTCTAATGGCTTTTATTATCAGATGCTTAATTGTATACAGTTGCCAAATACCTATGTGATATACCGGTTTATTACTCACCCGTGGAAGATACTGCAGTGAAATATTTTTGTGGCAATATTATTCTAGTGTAATACCGACGATTTACAGTTATGACCTCTGTCACAATGGTACGAGACCTTAGTCATCACACTTTAGGCAGTTTCTATCAATTTATGTTGGAGAGTAATAAACAGAATACTAAACTCGCTTCTGTGAAATATCATTTTTATTAAACTCGTGAAAGATTCAGTATCAAATTATTAACTCTTTTATAAAAATGGTATTACATGGAAGGTCGTTAAGTATCCTCTGTGTGTGATTATGATTTGGAGAGGTAGTAATAATGGAACAACATGTAGACACACTTAAATGGAACTGGACACATAATTAATGGACCCATCATCATCATCATCATCATCATCATCATCATCATCATTCGAGCTGTTGTTGAACTGTGCTTCTTTGTTTTTCTTTAAGCGAGCTGTCCAGAGATCCAGGAAACATCAGAAAGAGGAACAGAAGCAGAAGAACAAGAAGCAGAGGAAGAATGAACAGAGGAGGAAGGAGAAGGTGCGTGCCTGAACCCAAGGACATGACTGTCCAGTCTACCAACATATCATGGACCCTGTGATAGTCCTTTGGTTTCTTTTAGGTGTTGGACTTAATATACATACAGACAACTGTTATTTACAACATACCAATGAATACTTTCTGTCAAAGATGTTACAGTGTGGGACTTGATAAACTGTTTGAAATACATTCTTCTTGGAGATACTCACACACACACTCACACACAAGCAATGCATGAAATCCATCTTCATCTGGCACATTAAAGTATTGAATGCACTGGATGCAAGGCCCCCTGATTCTTACTTGGCTCTTACAATTAGTGTGCGATACATTCCTTGCCAGAATCACCAAGAGTATAAAGAAAGGTCCCTCCCTTTGATGTACATCAACACAAGTCAACAAGAAATTTAAAATGTGTCTTCCTGACGTTGAACTTGTGTTGATATTTCAAAGGGTGAGAGTTTATTTATCTTCAAGATCATGCTCTCTTCTCTTGCTCACAAGAGTAATAACCAGTGTACTATGATCTGCTCACCAGCTTCAGTGGAAGAGAGATCAATGATGTCATTTGATTGTATGGTAATCAGTGATGCCACAGTAGGATTATGTAAAGCATCGTTATGCAGTGTCATTGTACCGATACCTCAAAAAAGATGCTTGATCTCACCCATGTGATATCCTGTGGAAGCCTGTTATGTTTTCCCATCCTTGTAGGAACTTCTGGAGATCCGAGATCAGCTTCTGAGGACTCTGGATGAGAAAAAGGAAAAACAGAAGAAAAGACAAAACGCAGAGCCACCAAACCACAAACCCAGCAGTGAAGCAAACCACATGAAGTCCAGGTGACTGCTACAGCTGATCACTTCTTGACCCTTGAATATCTGTGTTAGAATTGGTCTTCATTAACCCATGCTTGTCATAAAAGGCGACTAACAGGATCGGCCGGTCAGGCACGCTGTCTGGTTGACACGTGTCATCATATCCCAATTGCCTAGATTGATGCTCATGCTGTTGATCCCTGGATTGTCTGGGCCAGACTCAATTATTTACAGACCGCTGCCATATAGCTGGAATATTGCTGAGTGCAGCGTAAAACTCAACTCACTCACTCACTCACTCACTTACTTCTTGGGTAAAGATGAAATTAGATAGACATGAAAGATTTTGCAGGATTGTTTTTGCAAAATTTAAGCAAAACTGGCTATTTCAGGAGGGTTGACTTGTGTGAGATAGTAGTAATAACAAATACAATATCACTCTCATTTGTTGGGAAATATTTTTATACTAAGAGTAGCAAAACATTGTAGGAAAGTATCCGCATATGAAATGATTAGTATGTTTTTGTGATTATATGCACTATGTGGTTGTCCTGTTTCCTATTCAGAGCCACAAAAAGTCCAGAAAGACTTGAAATTGAGAGGCAACTGGCAGAAGCTAAGAGAAAAGAACATGAATTACAAGAAAACTTGCGGCGTCTCGAAGCTAAGGAACATAAGCAAGAGAAGAAACTACGCAAATCTGAAAAAAAGAAAGCGGTCAGTGTCTCCGTTGCCTTTATATAGTCCGTTTGGCTCAAAAGGGGACCAATGAACTGCAATCTAACTCGAAAACTGATAAACATACAGTGGAAGCTGTCTAAACCGGCACCCATCGGGACTGAAGAACTTATATGGTTTGGACAGCGTGCCGGACTGTAGAGCTGGCAAGGTTACGTACGACTAGAACTGAACATTGTAGTGTTGTAACACGTGCTTCTCACAATTACTGCACCCATTGACAATACAAATACATAAGACAAAGATTTCAGCTCATATTCACTTTTATTCACACATTTTTCAACACATTTGAAAAAAATCCGACATTTTGGTTTGTTTATTCACAACTGATGATTCGAGAGCAATTTTCTCGGCGACACTTTCTAAATTGTCACTATTTGTTACGAGGGAGGAGTGCAAAGAGAGGAACAGCCAGGTGTACGCGGAGCACGTGCACAAGTGCCAACAAAGCTATTGATTCATTTACCTGAGCTGTGCCGTATCCATCTTTTCTCGCACACCTGGCTGCACCTTTCTCTGCACTCCTCCCTCGTACCAAAAAGTGAACTGTGTGAATATTTTAATTATAGATTGTTAAACAACTTTTTTATTTTTAGGACATAAATTTTGCAAAAAGCTCACAGAGTTGGTCTGATGTTTTTATTATGATAGGTGTTTCATTGAGTATTATATGTTTATTGGTCCGCTTTTGAGCCAAACAGACTATAATTTATTCACTAGTGTAAAGGAAGAGTCAGCCGTTTTGATCCTTAGCATTTAGTATTTTCCTTCTACAGAAAAAACAACAGACCTCAACACAAGATGCTCCATCGCTGCCATCGGAACAGAGAAGCTTTCCTCACAAGACTTTCAACAACATTGACTTTGTGGAAAGCAAATATGGCCAGAAAAATATAACCAGCACCTTTGGTAACAAACATGCTAAGCAGATATCTAAGGAGGAGCGGGACAAAGGCCTGGCAGACCTGATGGACAAGGTGAAGAGGAAACAGAGAACTTCTGATGATGGAGGCAGTGACGCAACAATGCCCGACGTTACTGCTGCCATTGATAAAGGTCAAAAGGTTTGGTCACCTTAAAATCGTGATTTCTGTTTAGAATAGATAAGTGTACTTCATTCTTGCTGAGTGTACCAGGGAGAACCGATTCATGGATGTTACCTTGTATGAGGCTGGTGGTTTAAGATGTTATGTTGTAACTTTTTATACAAATGTTATCTTGTAACTTTTTATACAAATGTTATCTCATATACTGTATATTTTTCCTTATTTTTCCTTATGCTTATTTGCTTATCTCCTTCCTCCATGCGAATGGTAGTGGAACACTTGAAATCCCTTGTAGTTCCCTAAGGAGGACGTAAAAAGTTCTCTCACCCACGAGTTGCCTCCCTTTTCCCGCGCAAACAGTCATGTGACCTGCCATGCTTGTCATCCTCTCCTTAATCGCCCAAGCGGATGATAGGGCGAACACTGGAGTCCCGTATACGGCACCATATCCTTTAATATTTAGATCCTGTATTCAAAATTAAGCTGTGTATGATTTTGGTTATATTTAGTTTTCATCGTATGCCAAAATTTTGGAAAAATTATTCATATTTTGTGACATTTATTCATCATAATGTAGTTTGTTTACATTTGATGAAATCTTGCAGTGATTGCAGGTACCGGCTATCAGCGGCTGAGTCTTCTCCCCCAATGCCCGTCATGCATTAATCCATGTTCTTCCAGCTTGCGTTGCAGATACTGTATTAAATTATCAGATTTGCAATTTAATCATTATTTATCTTATATCTATAGACGGGCGATAGACCAGGAGAGGAAGTCATCTCAAGTCACTGGTGATAATACCGGTAACCGTATGTTGTTAACTACTGCTGAAATTCAGGTGTTTCCCGAGTACGTTACAGGGGCAGTTGTCTGTTACTGGTCAGGACTTAGCCGAGTAAGAGGAGAGTTCTTCATCGTCTGCGGCGCAGAAAAATCGTCTTCATCGAGCACCTCGTTGAAGTCAACTTGTTCCAGTAAGACAACACATCAGAGGTTGTTCAACGAAGACATTGTGCCTCCTGACGAAGCAGACATATATGCTGACCCTCCGAGGCTACTGTAGTACCAGTAAGATGTACTAGAGCGATGACACAGTCTCCCCCCCCCACGACGACACGATCGTCCCCTGCAATCATGACAGCTGTTCAGCTGTTTGACGACCAACCTCCACAACGCAGACGTCTGTCAACAGAGACAGCAACAACGTAGAATCATTGCAGCTGCAAGTAGACACAGAATACGCCTCAGCGTTCTTGAACGCTTCATCTACACAGCATTAGTTCTGTCTACAACGCAGAACTTCGACCCCGATGACTTCATGATGCAGTTTACAACACAGATGATGGCGAGGATGGAGCAGAGGTTCGCCGAAGAGAGAGCTGCACGGCAGAACCCTACGTTGACAGACAATGTTCAACGATACTCGGCCCTGCGAGAACCTGTTTCTGAGACATTCAGCCTCGTCCCACAAGCCTACGGCTGAAGACAACGTCAGCGAACGTACATGTTCGGCAGACCCAGTCATGGAAGAAGAAGAGGTTCGGCGAACGTCCCTGAGTCTACAAGAGGTTCGGCGAACATCCCTGAGTCTACTAGAGACTATGAAGTCACGTCAGCAAACTGACAACCACGCAGACAGTTTCCAGCAATGTAGATATCTACAGGGTTCGTGAACCCCAGATCTACAGGAGGAAGATTCGTGGAGGGAAGGTTCGCGAAAGGAAGATTCATGTAGGGAGCATTTGCGAATGCACTCGTGAATGCACTCGCAAAGTCACAGTTCATCAGAGCGAGAATCCGACTCATAGAACAGATGAAGAAAGTGATGGCATTCGGAAGTTACATCCTGGAATGCAAGGGGTCTGGACTTAGCGTCTCCATCCAAAGAGTCGAATGAAGTACCCACGTACAAGATGTTGAATGAGGATTTTGACTCTCTCACGATCCTGCCCATCGAACCAGAGTTCAGATGGGTTAAGGAAGACATCGTACCTCCCGGGGAAGTAGAGGTTCATTTTAAGACCAACGATTATGTTCACACACACACACTATTTCATCGGTGAGACGATCTTCCCCTGCATTTGCGACCGCTGCCCAGCTGTTTGATGATCAACCACCGGCAACGGAGACGTCTGTCATCATGGAAGAAGACAATGCCTCAGCGTTCATGAAGTACACCGCATTTTATCAAGTTCAGCCCGCATCGCAGAACTTCGTCCCAGGCGTGTTAATGAAGCAAGTTACAACGATGTCAGACAACGTTCGAGAAAGCACCAAAGATGAATCTCCATCATGCATGCAGTCATGAATGGAATGTTCGTAGATGCCAGACTGGCTACGCAAAGTTAACCTGCATGAAGAAGATGTTGTCAACTTTGCACAAATGCAGCTACATTAAGATTTTCTACATTCGACAGTCGATGCCAGCCTAAGATGGGCATCATCGCAGTTCCTCATCGAGACATCGCATCCGTCTCAATAGTTATTAGATTAACATTCAATTTGATGAATGTTTCGACTCTAAAATCGACGCGGCGGCGAAGTTATCAACGCTACAGTAACCTATTTGTGTATTACAACACAATTGGGGTGTGCAAGAATATTTTACAGCGCTTCATTCAGACCGATTACGACCGAAGCGTGGAAACCTCATCAGAACATCTGTACAAGATGATGACTGCATTGTCTTCAGTGAAGAATAAGAAGTTGAAGAATAGAGACGCAACTGCCAGGGGGACAGTCTACTTACATCAGCACTAAGCGGCGAATAATTTTGCGTGCTTTTACTCAACCAACTACACCCGTGTTCACTCGTGTTATTCCGGGACAAGCCGAATAGTGAGGTTACGGACAAGACCGAGTGATGACGAAGGAACCAACGACTGCACAAGATTTCATGATGATCAATTTGCTGCAACACTGATGAGGTCACATATCTGGAATCTGATTGGTTCATGAGAGACAACACCCTGAGCAGAAGGCGGTCGCAGTTCACGTACCAGGAAGTCGTCTACACCTGTAAACAACCCCTCCAACGTGGAAAAACTTCATCTACAGTCTGGATAGCAGTGTACAACGTGGTGCCATCATCTTCACGGGATGCATAGAGGTCTTCTGACAGCAAGTTAAACGTTGTTTATCTGGAGGCTTGCAGTAACAAGTGACAAATGGTTTCTGTTCGTGGCAACCAGTCTACTATAAATAGACTTCACATCGATGTCAGCTCGCTTTCAAATTAGATCGTTGGCGATTTGAAGACGAAGAATGACGCATCATTGCTGCATATCATCGAGATTCAGGTAATAACATTTTCTTTACCGCTGAAGTGTGTACCTGGTTGGAATTACCTCAACCATAGAACTGTTTTACATGAGTAATCAGCTGATTGGAGCGCCTTAACAGCAACAAGCGTTGTGCTGTGTTGGATTCTGGCGGAAGTGTTGCAGTTAGCAAGATTTGTCAATCAGAATGGCATCATATTACTGGCAGATCGATGAGTCAAGATTCAAGCCATGATTCCAGAAAAAATCATCTGTCCGTTGTCAGCAGACACGACCGTAGAAGTCTCAAAGACAATATTATTTTGGATATGAGCTGACAAAGCAGCAGGACTAGAACCTCCAAGAACTTCCAACCCATACGAAGTCAGAGCACTGGCGTCCACAGTCGCTCTGCACGGAAGCTGCTAGATATCAGCAATAATGGAGGGCTGCTTTTGGAAGTCGGACACAGAGTTTGCCAACCTCTACCTCAGAGACATCACCGCCGAGCACGCTTCCGGCATTCATCAGTTTGGGCCACTTGTTGTAGCACTACAACTAACGGTTCCACAAAGGCGCTGAGTTAGGAATCTCACCCTTTATGCCGTTGACTTGTTCATAACCTTGACTCTGGAGAGTTTTGGTTTAGAGTCCATGCGCTCCGTCTACACCAGACTAGCAGGACTGATTAAGACTGTACGGGTAATGATCTTACCTATACGATAAGGGGTCGCAACTTATTTATGGTAACGATCTTATCATAATCTATGGGTTGTTTATAACTAGTAAGAAGAAGATACTAGTATATCTAAAATCCACATGAATCTAAAAAGATTCACTTGTCTTCGAGAAGTATGACAAGATGTGGTCCCCCCGAGTTGACAGCGGAAGTTAGAAGAATAGGATCCAGAAAGTGCTGTTACACAATTCCCATGGGGGGGAATACAGGACGTATATAAGGACAGCTGATGAATCCACGAAGTGGCTTGACCCACCACCATGGAAGCAAATAAGCATGAGTCAGGATAAGGAAAAATATGTAATTTTTTTAGTAAAACTGATACTTTATACTTGTCCTGACTCATGATGTCAAGCCCTCCCAGCCTCCCCGCAGAAGACACTTCGGGTTTCCCAGCAAACCCAGGTGCATGGGCTTATTCAGGAGAGAGTGACAAGCATGGCAGGTCACATGACAGTTTGCGCGTGAAAAGGGAGGCAACTCGTGGGTGAGAGAACTTTTACATCCTCTTTAGGGAACTACAAGGGATTTCAAGTGTTCCACTACCATTCGCATGGAGGAAGGAGATAAGCAAATAAGCATGAGTCAGGATAAGTATAAAATATCAATTTTACTAAAATAAATTACATATTGGCAGGCGAGTTTTACGTAACTAATAAGAGTGGTTCGAAGGGGGGTCATCTTATACACAAGGTACAAGATCTTTCCAACTGGTGATGTCAACTGGTGTCTGATAGGCACCACCATCACAAATTTTCCAACTCAATTTGGCACAACAGGTAGTGTTACGTTTATAATGTTTAACTTACCTTACCATAGGTCCATTGCATATTACCTGAAGCTTCGCTTGAAAGAGATCAGACAGCTGTTGATTAGCCATACCTCTAGAATGGCTACCTCGTGTATTGACGAACGTGATCTCTCTCTCTCTCTCTCTCTCTCTCTCTCTCTCTCTCTCTCCTCTCTCTCTCTCTTCTCTCTCTTCTCACTCTTCTCACACACACACACACACACACAATGTGCATGACTCATCAGTTTTGGTGTCCGGACTGTGTTGACATTGAAGTTTTGGACCATCACAACTGGGACCTCCCGCCCCCAGTCGTGCCCATCTGTCAGACCCCAGTAGGCGGGAGACTGGGGATCATTTGGCCCAATTGGACAATCCGAGGGGATCCCTTTGTTACCAACATCCTCAAGACCGGCTACAAGCTACCAATCACCGTGTCACCGCCTCTGACCACAATGCCCCGGTCACGCGTGTATTCCCGAGATCAGCATGCCTTGCTAGCAGACAACATCCAGGTGCTACTGGACAAGCAAGCAGTGCTAGACCCCAAACAGTCCCTGGGGTTCTACTCGCCCATCTTTCTGGTTCCAAAGAAGGACTCAGACAAAATGGGCATGATACACAATATGGCGACCTTCAACGCTCTTTACCTCTCGGAGCCGCCCCACTTCCGGATGGTGTCCCTGGAGCAGCTGCGTTCCAAGCTTGCGCCCCTGGTGTGGTTGGTCAGCCTCAACCTTCAGGATGCCTATTTGCACGTTCCCATCTTCAAACTCCACAGGAAGTACCTGAGGTTAATCTTCAGTGGAATCCACTACCAATGGAAGGTGCTTCGGTTTGGCATTTCCACGGCCCCGTGGCTTTTTACTCGGATCACCTCGCCAATCACCGGATTCTTGCACCATAGGGGCATCGATTTCGACCCGTACATAGACAACTGCCTCATGAACCACAACCACCCTCAGTTGCTGCAGATAGACGAACTTCACCATTCGCCTCCTACAGCAACTGGGCTGGATCATCAACAGAGACAAGTCCCTGGAGCCCTCTCAGGAACTGACCTTCATAGGAGGCCTGTTTTTGACTCACTGCGACCTTGTCAGGGTTCCCCAGGATCGTTGGACGAAGATTATAAACTTCGCCAGCCGAGGGCTGTCCCAGCCGTTCACTCTCAGAGAATGGAAGTCCCTCCTATGTCTTCTCACCTCAGCTCAGGACTTAACACTCAGAGGATGCCCGATGCTCTGGCCGCTACAGCGTTTCCTTCTGCTGTACATCCAGGCGGACGACCTACAGTCGAGGTTCCCTCTACCTCTTCATCTTCACACTTATCTCCGCTGGTGGACTGTAGAGTCGAACGTCTGTGTCGAACGTACATGACCAGGAGTTCTTCGTAGATGCGTCCCTTCATGGTTGAGGTGCACACCTCAAAGACCTGACCACCTCAGGGCTGTGGTCTGATGCCGAGTCAAGGTTGCACATCAACAATCTGGAGTTCCAAGCGGTCATTTTAGCGGTCTAACACTGGGCACCTCTTCTGAGGAACACCAATCGCCTGATTGCATCGGACAACTCCACGGTGGTTTGGCTGATTCGCAACCAGGGCACGATCAGGTCCAAGCAACTGCTGGAGCAGACCTTCCTGTTGGCCAGTATTCTGGATCAGCATCAGAGCCCAGTGCCAGAGCCCAGAGCAGCATCAGAGCCAGAGCCCGCCAAGGTCATTGCTCGCGCCCATCAAGTTTCCATGAGGTCACTATATGATGACAAGTGGTCTTCATTTGAGAAGTGGGGCGGTGGGGTAGCCTAGTGGTTAAAGCGTTGGCTCGTCACGCCGGGGATCCGGGTTCGATTCCCCACATGGGCACAATTTGTTAAGCCCATTTCTGGTGTCCCCCGCCGTGATATTGCTGGAATATTGCTAAAAGCGGCGTAAAACTAAACTCAGTCAGTCAGTCATTTGAGAAGTTTTGCTCCCAGGGTCCCGATCCACATAACGTTCGTAGCGCTACGACATTCGTAAGCCTATGATAAACTACAGAGTTACGACAGGTCGTAACCTTACGAACGCTTTGTGGATCGGGACCCAGAAGTCCAAGGACCCTTTGAAAGCTTCACCTCAGTTTGTGGCGGAGTTCCTCCTTTTCCTCAGGAAATCCCGGCATCTGAAGGGCAGCACAATCGGAACCTACTTATCAGATCAAGTGTGACAGAAAGATCTCCAAGGTGCCGGAGCTCATCACCGTTTTCAAAGCTTTCAAGCTCAAGGATCAGAAGGCCAAGTTTTCGCCCTCCAGCTTGGGACTTCAACATTGTCCTACGACATCTGAGAGGTCCCCCCTACGAGCCCTTGGACTCTGCCTCGTTTGAGAACCTCTCTAGGAAGACAGCTTTCCTTCTGGCCCTGGCCACTGCGGCTAGGGTTAGTGAGTTACACGCCTTGGACGTCACCAGAGTTCACTTCGAACAGTCTCGGCACGGACCTGTTCATTTGGGACTACTCTGGGACTTTATGGCCAAGAACCAGCTCCCAGGACAACCAGATAGGATGTTCACCATTCCACCGTTATCATCCATCTTGGGGTCCCACGACGCTGAGGAACAGCTGCTGTGTCTGGTGAGAGCACTGAAGGTGTACATCGCCAAGTCGGCGTCCAGGAGACAGTCTCGCAAGAGGCTGTTCATCCCGTTCTCTGCGGCCAAGGGTGAGGTCAACAGGAACACCATCGCTCTCTAGCTGCGCACAACCATCCTGGCTGCTTACGTTGCAGAAGACCTCCCTCACCTTACAGCCAACAACACGCATGAGATCAGGGCCCTGGCTTCGACTATGGCACTCCATAGGAATTGCACTGTTCGGCCATCATGGAGGGTTGTTTTTGGAAGTCATCCTCTGTCTTTATAAACCTATGGCCAATGTTGTCTATTGTTCTTGCAGTTGCTTCGCATTATGGAATAACCTCGGTAGAGGTTTTACGATTGCAGGAGGTTTTACAATGACCATTGTAACACCTCATACGAGGTAAGAAGTTTTACAATGGTCGTTGTAAAACCTCATACCCTGATATGAGGTTTTGAAATGACCATTATTTATGACTGATACAACTTTGTCTTGCAATGACTGATCGAAAAATATCTCATTATTGAAAACTTCCAATATTTAGTGGCGATAACTGGTTTTGAACCCGCAACCCATCGCTCTCTAGCTTGACGGTTTTATCCACTACGCTACGAAGGATCGCTGTGAGGAATGAGATTGTTTGTCAGTATGAACCATGTGTTTCTCACAAGACAGGTACTGCGGGCAGCACACGTGCAGGACACGGGTAGCGCATGCAGAGCAATGGCGCGTGCGGGGCAAGGTGTTGGCTGCCAGTCGCATCCCATTGACACCGGCTGTTCCATCAATGTTGTTCTACTCAGTACATGCACAAATTGAAAATAATACATATATAATTTTTGTTCTCTTAGACGGTTTATAAGTTTGATAAAAGACTCCTCCTCGATTTTGGTTGAGAATGTAAAACCTCAGGGGAAGGAAATCCCGAGTATTTAACGCCCTCGGGATTTCCTGACACTGAGGAGTCGGAGTCGCCTTTTATCCTACACATCTAAAATATTTAGATTTTAATAATTTTCATTTAAGTCATCAGTGCATTTACATAAATACTGCGAAAATTATCTACGAAGTAGCAAAAACTCCAGGTGAACCTAAAATCAGTTCCCTCAGTTTCTATATTTATTAGTATGTGTTAGAATGGTGGGCTTCAAATACTGTTGAAGTAATCAAACACACCCATAGTTAGAGAAAAATTAGCCCAGTAATTTGAAACAGATATAATTGGAGATTAAATTACAGGTTATACTGTTTTTGTCCAGCTTACTTCAGTACTGAAATGAAATAAACGTTAACTTGTATGTTGTACTTGTTTAACATGTTAACAAATGTTATAGGTTGCTATGGGTTTAGATGAATTGTCACAATTTAATGAAAACTTTGTTTTGTTTTATCATTAACTCTTTTTTTCCCAGAAATATATGGTTCTAAGTACTCAATACTTAAGTTGATTCTAATTCTTTCCAGCAGGGCTGTGTAAATGTGAGACCGAATGATGCTCCTCGATCAGCCAGAAGAAGCGACACCCCAGCTGCTGAGACCACGCCTGAAACCTCACTGCTCCACCACCATCTGGATGCATACCACGAGTTGATGAAGCTGCAACCAAGACGGCACACGGAGCAGCAACTCCGCGAGGAGAGGCTGCGCATCAGGGATGCTCAGCTAAGAACACAGCAATCAGAGCTTGAGAGACTCCGTAAAAATCCCAGTCATGATGTGAGTAACCATGGTTACAGATAAATCTCAACGTTGATGCTCTAGTTGGTGCCCAATTTTAATGTAAACTCGATTATAAACGAATGGGAACTTTGATAACCACCCATGTGTCAGTATTAAAGTTTGTGATCACATGACCAAACTTGAAACTCACCAAGTGAAGTAAGTAATATCATATCAAAATATGATAAGTCCTGAGTACACCCCTTGAATAAAGAAATAGGGTTTTCACCAATTCAAATGTGCCATATAGGGCTTTCCTTGTTATCCAATTGGCATTCACCCTATATGAAGGAAGTAGAATGCTGTTCTTAGACTTGTATTGCCCATGCTCTTCAGTTATTCAAAGATGACCTGCAAATGAAGCGAGACGAACTCCTGCAGAAGCAGAGAGAAAAGGAGCGTCTGAGAAATGAAGAAGAGGCCTTTGAACTGAAGAAAGAGGCGCAAGTATTTCTAACTTAATTCATGCAAGACGACTGATGATAGCTGATCCTGGTTTGGATTATCGGTTGTGAACAGCATGATCATTTTATACAGATGAAATAATGTTCCAAGTTCACTCAATCATTTCTGAGCATGTACACTTGATTGTAGGAAAGGCAAGAGAAACTTAAAACAGTTGGTTGCTAGACAATGATGGAAGCTGGTTGTGGCAAACAGAACTTAAGGTGGAGGCTCATTGTGGTTACCAATCTGAGGGGCGAGGCTGTTTATTGTGGTAACCAATACTTGGTGTGGTGGCTTATTGTGGTAACCAATACTTGGTGTGGTGGCTTATTGTGGTAACCAATTCTTGGTGTGGTGGCTTATTGTGGTAACCAATACTTGGTGTGGTGGCTTATTATGGTAACCAATACTTGGGGTGGTGGCTTATTGTGGTTACCAATACTTGGGGTGGAGACTTAGTGTGGTAACCAATACTTGGGGTGGAGACTTATTGTGGTAACCAATACTTGGTGTGGTGGCTTATTGTGGTAACCAATACTTTGGGTGGTGGCTTATTGTGGTAACCAATACTTGGGGTGGTGGCTTATTGTGGTAACCAATACTTGGGGTGGAGACTTATTGTGGTAACCAATACTTGGTGTGGAGACTTATTGTGGTAACCAATACTTGGTGTGGAGACTTATTGTGGTAACCAATACTTTGGGTGGAGACTTATTGTGGTAACCAATACTTTGTGTGGAGACTTATTGTGGTAACCAATACTTTGTGTGGTGGCTTATTGTGGTAACCAATACTTTTTGTGGTGGCTTATTGTGGTAACCAATTATTGGGTTGGTGGCTTATTGTGGTAACCAATACTTTGCGTGGAGACTTATTATGGTTACCAATCTGAGGAGAGAGGCTGTTTGTTGTTATCAATCCTGGTGGGGGGTGACGTGGAGACTAGAGGTTACTGGGAATTCATGTATTTGAGTCCCAGTAATGATATTGAAAAATGACCCGTTGTAATTCTCTGTGACAAGTTCTGTTATTTGGGCATGAATCTCGTTTAATACAAGATTGATAAAGATGAAATCTTGCTGAAATAGCTCATATCAGCCTGGTGTGGATCTAGTTTGATGATGACCACTACCCCTACTTACCTGCCCTTGTCTTCATACGCTTGAATACAGGTTATATTATGCCATGTTATAGCTGAGATACTGTAACAACTATGCTCATGTATGAAGCCCAGAACAGGAAGTTTAATATTGATGTTTTTTGTGTGAAGTGAGAGGCAGCACAGTGCCCCCATTGCCCCTGTGAGCAGGAAGTACTACGAGAGCATTTCCTACCATGAGAAGCAGCACAAGATGGAGCCTCACACACCACACAGACAGACACCCAGGCGGACAACGAGAACACCCCCTCTCATCACTACTGTGGAAAACCCCATCAAGAGAGGTGACTATCACTGTTGGGACCATGGTTGTACTGGAGGTGACTATCACTGTTGGGACCATGGTTGTACTGGAGGTGACTATCACTGTTGGGACCATGGTTGTACTGGAGGTGACTATCACTGTTGGGACCATGGTTGTACTGGAGGTGACTATCACTGTTGGGACCATGGTTGTACTGTTTAGTCTGTGTTGTATGAGCCCGGATTAAGGATGATCCTTGGTTGGAACACCAGTTTGTCTGATTGTCTTCCTAGGTTCGTCATTCCCACATTCTTGGGTTTCTCCACAGTTTAATGCAGATCTACAGCACTTTGGGCTTTAATCCCACATTAAGCTGTCACACTTTAACGATGGAATACTGTTCAAAGCAGCATAAAAACAATTTTTTTCTTATCCTGACTCATGATCTTTTGCTTATCTCCCTTTTCTTTTCGAATGGTAGTGGAACACTTGAATCCCTTGAAGTTCCTGAAGCGGACGTAAAAATACACTCACCCACGAGCTACCTTCCTTTTCCCGCATAAACAGTCATGTGACCAGCCTTACTTGTCACTCTCTCCCTTTTCACCCAAGTGGATGGTTGGGCGAGCACTGGAGTCCCGCATACGGCATTATATCCTTTTTATTTAGGTCCTATTCTTCAAAATTATGCTGTGTATGGATTTGGCAATAACTACTATATATTATATGTAAAAAAAAATTGTAAAAATTATTTGTATTTGTGTCATAATTTCATCGTTATGTAACTTTGTTTACATTTCATGAAATCTTGCAGTGTTTGCAGGCACAGGTTATCTGTGGCTGATCCTCACCCCAAATGCCTTTCGTGCATAAAATCATGTTCTTCCAGCTTGCACTGTACTTAATGTGTTGATTTATCAAATCTACAATTTAATCATTATTTGTCATATATCTATAGACATGCCGTGGATCGGGTGAGGAAGTCATCTCAAGTCACGGCTGATAAAACAGGAGATCAGCCTGCAAACTGTATGTTGCTTGCTACTGCTGAAATTCATAATACTTGTGCTGTGTTGAGTACGTTGCAGGGGCAGTCTGCTGGTACAGGGGCCAAGAAGAGATCGGCTACAACGCAGTTGTCTCCGACTCAAGCTAAGAAAAAGACGTCTTCTTCTACGTCGCAGAAGAAAGCATCTGTTACCAGATCTGAGGGTAAATCTACGCGGCCTAGTAAGTCAACGCATCAGAAATACTTCAACAAAGAGATATTACCTCCGCATTAAGTAGACGTTTTTTGATGATCCTCCGTTACTTCTACCCGAAGTACCCACGAGATCGGCGACTCAATCGACTTCCACGACTACTAGATCGTCACAGCAGGCCAGCTGTTTGACAAACTACAACCAACTTCTCAACGGAGTGAAGTCGAGCAGCGTTTGCGAACGTTTCTTCTACACCGCAGCAGCTTGAATCAACGCAGAACTTGATCCGGGTGAAATTATGAGACAATTCACCAACCAGATGATGGCCATGATGAAACGTAGGTTCGAGGAAGAAGCGAAGGCTTGGCAAAGCCTCTCATCTACTGACATATTGCGCAAACCTACGGACCTGCGCTAACCTACTCCTCATAGAACTACGTCTGAGGACTACGTTGGCGAACTTACACCTTTGCGAAGGTCTTCACAGTCGGACGACTCTGTCATCTTGGAGGAGGATATGAGATGCCTACTCATCATTGTACATCTGTGAACCCTCAACGTTCGAGAACATCGAAGGATCCATCTCCTACACCTAGCCGCTCTAGATCGAGATATCATATCTCTCACAGAGGTTCGCGAATAGAAGGCTCACATCACAGATGTTCGTGAAGGAATACATCTAGCGACAGACGTTCGCGAAGAGAAAGCTCACATCACAGAGCTTTGCGAAAGGATACATCTAGCAACAGACGTTCGCGAAGAGAAAGCTCACATCACAGAGGTTCGCGAAGAGATGAATCTACAGATAGACGTTCACGAAGCGAGGAATCTTCGCGAAAGGATGATGGAGGTTCGGGAAGGGATACAGGTTTGCAGAAGGAGGATTCGCGGAGGCATAGCTCTACCGATCAGGAGATAGCTGATGTATAACCAGACTTCGTCTTCCCGGACTCAGAGGTTACAGCTTGGATAGCCAATGGTTTGAACTTGGAGTCTCCTTCTAAGGATAGATGAAGTCTACACTTATAAGATGCGTAATGACGACTTTGACTCGGTGACTATTCCTCCAATTGAACCTATATCCAAGGTACCTTCTAACCTACGCACAGCTTTGAGAAAGCTGCAGACATCTACAAGGTTTGAGAACTCTCAGATCTACAGGCAGATAATAGCAACGCAGACATCTACAGGGTTCACGAACCCTAGGGTTAAGAAACCCTTACATCAACAGGCAGGATGTTGACGTCGACTCTAATACCATATGGCTGAATAAAACGAAGCAATGATGAAAACAGATGGTTTGTCAGTTTAAAACTCAACAAAAAGATCTACAACATCTGCGATCTGTACAGTTTACAGCCTGCATAACTCTACAACCTGCACAAACCCGTATACCTGTATAGGTTGAGTTTCGGACGACAACCTACTTGCTGAAAGGAATCACTTCATCTATACGGATGCTGAGGTCTTATACCGGGTAGCAGATGGCCTGCGGATATTGTCGTTCACTCACTCTCTCACTCCAACCCAACAGAGACGTACTGCATATACGCTGATGACTTCGACTCCAATATGATTTCACCTATGAAGCCAATATCTCAAGTACTGGAGAACCTCAAGGCGACCTTTGTAAAGGGCTTAAGGTCAAGCGCATGTTCATCCCGTTATCTCAAGAACGACGATATCATTCTGGATGAGAGCCGTCATATTGAGAGCCTATAAAGCAGCAGGACTAGAACCTCCAAGAGCTTCCAACCCACACGAAGTCAGAGCATTGGTGTCAACACTAGCTCTGCATGGAAATTGCTCTATATCAGAAATTATGGATGGCTGCTTTTGGAAGTTGGACACTGTGTTTTCCAACCACTACCTCCGAGACATTGCCACTGAAGACGTCTCAGGCATTCACCAATTTGGGCCTTTTGTTGTAGCACACCTACTAACGGCTCCATAAAAGGCTGAGTTGGAAAATATCACCCTTTATCACGTTGCCTCGTTGATAACTTTTACTAAGGAAAAGTATTAGCTTGAAAGTCCATATGCACAGTCTAGGACAGGCTAGCATTAGTGATTAAAGATCCTGTACGGGTAAAGATCTTACCTGTACGTGAAGGGGCCAAACTCATGATAAAAATCTTATCATAATCTATGGATTGTTATAAGATATCTAGTAATAAGAAGATACTAGTTTATCTGAAGCCACATGAATCAAGATGATTCAACTTGTCTGAGATGGAAGTAAGACAAGAAGTGGTCCCCCCGAGTTATAACAGAAGTTGGAAGAATAGAATCTCGGGAAATGCTGCTACGCAGTTCCCATGGGGGGGATACAGGACGTATCTAAGGACAGCTAATGAATCCAGGAAGGAGCCTGACCCACCACCAATCTGTCGGATTCTATAAGCAAAAGATCATGAGTCAGGATAAGAAAAAATATGTAATTCTTCAAGTAAAATTGATATTTTTATACTTATCCTGACTCATGAGGTCAAGCCCTCCCGACCTCCCCGCTGGAAACACTTCGGATTGCACAGCAGATCCAAGTGCTTGGGCAGAAAAATCAGGAAAGTAAGGCTGGTCACATGACTGTTTACGCGGGAAAAGGGAGGTAACTCGTGGGTTAGTGTATTTTTGCGTCCGCTTCAGGAACTTCAAGGGATCCAAGTGTTCCACTACCATTCGAAAAGAAAAGGAAGATAAACAAAAGATCATGAGTCAGGATAAGTATAAAAATATCAATTTTACTTGAAAAATTACACATTCATTCTCTCCAATAATTTGGACCCTGAACATGTGGCTACAAGAGACAAGGGTCAGTCCAGTGGCTAGCTGTACATGTGGTAATGTTACATATGGCAACATATCACTAACTCACGAGCAGGCTTCACAGTAAACTGCTGTCATATTTGATACATTTAGAGATTCCCAACCGGCAGAGTACATGGAGTCGTGTGGTGACCAGTGAGTCACCATGGGGAGAGAGGACTCGGAAACAACTGGAACTGAAGACAATGCTGCCAAGTAACATGGACGAAGAGGAGGTGATGCTGCAACAGGCGCTGACCCTCAGCATTCAAACAGCTGAGCTCGACATGCAGCAGAGAAAGTAGGTGTAAAGGTTGTTAAAGTCAGATAGATGGAGTGTTGAAACTTGCACACTTTATCATAATACAGAAAAAAAACTAAAAAATACCATGATGAAAGGAACGGACCGTGAGAAGCCCAATGTTCGATCTTGAGGGTTGTCAAGGTGACTTGATTAAGTGTTGTTTTACCTTAATGGTGGGCTTACAATATCAGACATCTTATAGCCAGAATATTGTTAAGTGTGTAGAGTAACAGCAAACAGTGATACGCAGAAAGGAAAACACCAGATATGTGACAGCAAGGAACATGACTTCTTTTAGCTTAGTCTTAGAAGCACCCTCTCCCTTTGCTTCATTTATTCCAGCTTTAATAAACTTTAACAATGTGTTGTAGATGGCAGGAACAGCTTGAACAAGCAGAGGCAGACCGGCGGATTATGGAAACAGCCCACTGTACAAAACCGGGCAAGAAGCAGCCAGCCAAAAGGTGAGGCATAAACACTTGTAGACCTTCCTATCACCATGTATCCCTCTACTACTGGGGTTTAAGAGGAACTAGATTTGATTCATGTATTTGTGACGGCTGTTCAATGGATACATGAAGGCACAGGAAAGTCTAACCTCCTAACCATACAGGCCACAATGAATGGGGCTCTCAACCCTGGCTACTTATCCCTTGCTTAAAACAGGGATTATAGTAACAAACTAGGAGCAATCTAGAAGCTGTCATTTTTTCTTGTCCTGACTCATGATCTTTTGCTTATCTCTCTTTTCTTTTCGAATGGCAGTGGAAACACTTGAATTCCTTGAAGTTCCCGAAGCGGATGTAAAAATACACTCACCCACGAGTTACCTCCCTTTTCCCGCGTAAACAGTCATGTGACCAGCCTTACTTGTCACTCTCTCCCTTTTCGCCCAAGTGGATGGTTGGGCGAGCACTGGAGTCCCGTATACGGCATTATATCCTTTTTATTTAGGTCCTATTCTTCAAAATTACGCTGTGTATGGATTTGGCAACAACTACTATGTTTTATATGTAAAAATGTTGTAAAAATTATTTGTATTTGTGTCATAATTTCATCGTTATGTAACTTTGTGTACATTTCATGAAATCTTGCAGTGTTTGCAGGCACAGGTTATCCATGGCTGATCCTCACCCCCAATGCCTTTCGTGCATAAACCATGTTCTTCCAGCTTGCGCTGTACTTAATGTGTTGATTTATCAAATCTACAATTTAATCAATATTTGTCTTATATCTATAGACGTGCCATGGATCGGGTGAGGAAGTCATCTCAAGTTACGGCTGATAAAACAGGAGATCAGCCTGTAAACCGTATGTTGCTTGCTACTGCTGAAATTCATAATACTGGTGCTATGTTGAGTACGTTGCAGGGGCAGTCTGCTGGTACAGGGGCCAAGAAGAGATCGGCTACAACGCAGTTGTCTCCGACTCAAGCTAAGAAAAAAGACGTCTTCTTCTACGTCGCAGAAGAAAGCATCTGTTACCAGATCTGAGGGTAAATCTACGCGGCCTAGTAAGTCAACGCATCAGAAATACTTCAACAAAGAGGTATTACCTCCGCATTAAGTAGGCGCTTTTTGATGATCCTCCGTTACTTCTACCCAAAGTACCTACAAGATCGGCGATCGGTTTGATGAACTACCACCAACTTCTCAACGGAGTGAAGTCGAGGCTCACAACTCATCAACGTTCACGAATGCTTCTTCTTGAATCAACGCAGAACTTGATCCGGGTGAAATTATGAGACAATTCACCATCCAGATGATGGCCATGATGGAACGTAGGTTCGAGGAAGAAGCGAAGGCTCGGCTAAGCCTCTCATCTACTGACATCGTGCGCAAGCCTACGGACCTGCGAGAACCTACTGACCTGCGAGAACCTACTCCTCATAGAACTACGTCTCAAGACTACGTTGGCAAACGTACACCTTTGCGAAGGTCTCCACAGTCGGACGACTCTGTCATCTTGGAGGAGGATAGAAGACATGAGATGCCTACTCATCATTCTACATCTGCGAACCCTCAATGTTCGAGAACATCGAGGGTTCCATCTCCTACACCTAGCCGCTCTATATCGAGATCTCATATCTCTCACAGAGGTTCGCGAAGTCATTCATCACGATAGACAGGTTCGCGAAGAGAAAGTTCACATCACAGAGGTTCTCGAAAGGATACATCCAGCAACAGACGTTCGCGAAGAAAAAGCTCACATCACAGAGGTTCGCGAGGGCATGAATCTACAGATAGAGGTTCACAAAGGGAGGAATCTTCAGTTCGCAAAAGGATGATGGAGGTTCGGGAAGGGATACAGGTTTGCAGAAGGAGGATTCGCGGAGGCATAGCTCTACCGTTCAGGAGATAACTGATGAATAACCAGACTTCGTCTTCCCGGACTCAGAGGTTACAGCTTGGATAGCCAATGGTTTGAACTTGGAGTCTCCTTCTAAGGATAGATGAAGTCTACACTTATAAGATATGTAATGACGACTTTGACTCGGTGACTATTCCTCCAATTGAACCTATATCCAAGGTACCTTCTAACCTACTTTGAGAAAGCTGCAGACATCTACAAGGTTTGAGAACTCTCAGATCTACAGGCAGATAACAGCAACGCAGACATCTTCAGGGTTCGCGAACCCTAGGGTTAACAAACCCTTATACATCAACAGGCAGGATGTTGACGTCGACTCTATTACCATACGGCTGAATAAAACGAAGCAATGATGAAAACAGATGGTTTTGTCACAGTTTAAAACTCAACAAAAAGATCTACAACATGTGCGATCTGTACAGTTTACAACCTGCACAACTCTACAACCTGCACAAACCTTATACCTGTATAGGTTGAGTTTCGGACGACAACCTACTTGCTGAAAGGAATCACTTCATCTATACGGATGCTGAGGTCTTATACTGGGTAGCAGATGGCCTGCGGATATTGTCGTTCACTCACTCACTCACTCCAACCCAACAGAGACGTACTGCATATACGCTGATGACTTCGACTCCAATATGATATCACCTATAAAGCCGATATCTAAAGTACTGGAGAACCTCAAGGCGACCTTTGTAAAGGGCTTAAGGTTAACAACGCCTTCAAGTATCCTTGAACGGACGTACAGATGATATTATTAACACTCGTCACTCAGCGTGGGGGTTAGGATTTTATATCCTATCAACTAAATTCAACATCGGTATTTCTTCAAGATCCATACAGACATACGTCTCGACAGCCTCCTTCGTCATGCTGGCTTATATTATCCACAATGGGAATACATGATTTATATCACTGAACAAGATTTTACACTTGGAGCAACCCTTATTCAAGAGGTCTATATGAGTGGCGTAGAATTACACACGCTTTTACTCAACCAACTAATTGCATCAGATTTTATGGAGGCCAACTTGCTACAACACCAGTGACATCATGCTTGAAGCTGATTGGTCCACGTCAGACAACGCCTCCCACTGACAGAGTAGGCTCCAGCATGTTTTCTGATTTGTAAACAAACCCGTGGTACGGGGGAATACTTTGGCAGCCTTGGAAACAGTATACAACTGTGGCATGTTATCATCGTGGGAATCTAATAGATGTCCAGCCTTGACAGCAGGATAAACGATGTTTATTTTGGAAGTTGTCACTGATAAAAGTCGGTATGAGTACCTGTCCCCTGCGATGCTACACTGGAGCCAGCCTTGCTATAAATAGACAACGCTTCGATGTATGCTGATCAACACAGATCGCATGCGTATATAAGGGGAAGAATGATTCAATCATCACTGCAATCAGAGGTTAGCACTTCCAATGGAACGTCCTACCGTTTGGAATATCGTCGGCTCTATGATTATTCATACGAATAACCAAGCCTATCGGCACCTATCTGCAACTATCTGCAGCATCGAGGTCTACGCAGTGCCGGTTATCTGGACGACAGCATACAGGTTCTTCAAAGTGCCAATCAACTCGGACAGCAGCTGAACTTCACAATTAAGTACCTCACGCAACTAGGATGGCTAGTGAACCTCATGAAGTTTGAGTTAGAATCAAACAAGATCTTCAATTTCTGGGAATAAGAATTATCACAACACAGAATCGAATTGTGGTCCCAGATCATTGGGTCAAAATACAAGCCATGATTCCACAATCAGTCATCTCTCCGTTAACACTACGAACATGACAATGTCTACTTGGTCTACTAACCTCGGCGCAGGACTTGACTCGCACAGGAAGATTACAACTAAGGCCGCTGCAACGGTTCCTGACAAAACATCTGGACAGTGTCGACCCTATCTTGCTGCCAGACAATCTTAAGAGGTACCTACTTTGGTGGACCCACGGATCGAACGTCTGTGGAGGGACCTAATTACAAGAGCCGGCCTTCAACACACATCTCTATGTAAACGCATCGATACAAGGTTGGGGTGCACATCTCAACAATCAAGTTGCATCAAGGAAGTGGTCCAAACAGAGCAGCATCTTCACATCAATCTGCTGGAGATGAAAGCTGTGATCAATGCCTTACAACTATGGTCGAGCTTGCTGATCAACAGAATGCTGACACAGACACAGGCGCTACAACTGCCATTGGTCGCGCCATACTGGCCAGCGAGAGTATGGTTCCTAGAGCTAATAGAAGATCTCGGAAGTCCAACAATCAAGTTACCAGATTGGCCGAACCTACTCATAAATCCGCACACCAAGTAAGTCCACAGGAACCCAACACTGTTCCAGCTACCCGTGTGGACCGTATCAAAACATGTTTGAAGAAAAGACGATACTCCGCCAGGGCAGCCAAGGCAGTAACGCTAGCGTTACGCAGATCTACTCGTAACCTGTATGATGACAAGTGGCTGAAGTTTGAGACTTATGCAAGGCAGAAAGACTTCATTGCGATGAAAGCTACTCATCCTCAAGTGGCAGAATACCTGTGTCAACTGAGACAAACCAGACATCTGAAAGGTTCGACATTATCTACATACCTCCCCGCCATCAGTACAGTGATTACCATGAAAACAGGCATCAAGTTGAAGAAAGTACCAGAATTACTTGCTCTGCTGAGATCTTTTAAACTGGAGGACCAGCAAAAGAAGTTCAGAGCTCGGGCCTGGGATCTGAATGTAATTCTACGTCATCTTACCAGTGATGCCTACGAACCTCTAGATCAGACTACCTTCGAGCTGCTTACACAGAAGACTCTGTTCCTGCTTGCACTAGCCACAGCAGCTCAAAAATCAGAGATTCATGCACTGGACTTTGGTCGAACCAGATTCGACACGGGGCAACATGCTGCAGTTCATCTAGGACTTAGATGGGACTTCATTGCCAAGAACCAACTACCTGATCAGCCAGATAGACAGTTCCACGTACCAGTGCTATCTACAATCCTCGGACCAGAGTATATAGAGGACCTATCCTTGTGTCCAGTCAGAGCCCTGAAGATATATCTTCAAAGACTAAGACAAGGAGACGAAAATTCAAGCGCCTGTTCATCCCATTTTCCACAGAGACATCAGCAGAAGTCTCAAGAACGACGATATTGTTCTGGATGAGAGCCGTCATATTGAGAGCCTATAAAGCAGCAGGACTAGAACCTCCAAGAGCTTCCAACCCACACGAAGTCAGAGCATTGGCGTCAACACTAGCTCTGCATGGAAACTGCTCTATATCAGCAATTATGGAGGGCTGCTTTTGGAAGTCGGACACTGTGTTTTCCAACCACTACCTCCGAGACATTTACTAATACCCAACAGCTTTCTTATATTTGAAAATTTTCCGGACTCCACCAAAAAAGTTCTTTAAGAAACTATCATCATTGAAAACGCAAAAGTTGTTATCTGTCGCAGCGGGGTGAAACCGCAGAAACGGAACAGCTAGTCATGGCGGGGGACATCTCAAAATCTATTCCGGGAGACCTGTCGGTTCCTCGACTGTCGTAGTGTCATAGTCACGACTTAAAGGGATGACAAGTGGTGCCACAGTTGCCTGTTGTAAGCCATCCCGAGACCAGTAACCTTGTTCAATGACGTTAGCTACCTTGTTGACACAGTTTTGCCAAGTTTCAGTCGTGATTTTGTTAAGGGATTCCTTAACCAAAACCTCTACGTCACGTAATCTAAAAGTTGTGTTTGATCTGGCAACATCTCCTTTGACAATACCCCATATCATTTCAATGGGGTTAAGGTCACAGTGATAGGGTGGAAGTCGCAGAATATCGTGACCCTTACTTTTTATGTAACTGTCAACTTTGTAGAAAGGTTCACCTTTGTGGGTTTTTATGATCTCATATAGTTGAGGCTTTGTTGCCTTTGAAGGCCGTGCGATCTGAAATTTGTCGAGCCATGATATCATATCATCTTTTCGACTGTTCGATGTCGGGGTTTTACTGTCGGGGTCCTGCACGCTGTGGTATGGGGCATTGTCCATTACGATAAAAGACTTCTCTGGTAGAGCTGGTACCAACTTGTTTTTCACCCAATCGAGGAAAACCGCACCATTCATCTCGGAATGGTAGTCTCTGTTATCTGTGGACTTTGCCCTGAATACCAAGTCGCAGCCTGGGAGAAAGCCTTTGCTGGAGCAACCAGCAAAGAGAATGATTAGTCTCCCTCCTTTCCCTAGAGGCAGCTTTCTACGTGACCCCTTATCACCCCCATCGGGTACCCACTGACTGCTGGCAGTGTGCGAGGCATTGACCCAGGTCTCGTCCAAGTACACTGGCTCGAACCCTTCCTCGCGCATCTTCTTTAAAACCTGAGAAAATTATTTCTCAAGCGAACGATATCAGGGCGTTCACAGGGTACTGACCTATTCTCCCCCGAAATTTTCTTATAACGATACCCGAAAGAGTGTAAGAGTCGCCAGAGTGTGTACTTTGATACTCTGAGGTTGTGTTCTTGCTTCAAATGCTTTATTAAAATTTTCAGAGACATGGGGTTTTTTTCCGAATAGAGCTTGTTGATAGACTGCCTTACAAGGTTCTTTTGAAAGTTGTCCAAATGTTTTAATTCGTGTGATTTTGACACGACCCCTACCTGCTTCGCATCACCCTCACAATGTTTGTGTTCCAGAACATTTGTCAGTACCCTTGCTGATACTCCTAAAGCTTTTGCTGCCCGCTCACGGAATTTATTAATGGCATAAAATGGTTTGCCCCTTTCGGCTTCAGCACGGAAAAAATTGTACACTTTCATCATCAACTGTTTCACGTCAGCATTCAACTTCATTTTTCATCAGGCATGTGTATCCCGTGCACGACGAGATAGTGGCTGTTCCGTTTTCAGCGGTTTCACCCCGCCGTGACAGATAACAACTTTTGCGTTTTCAATGATGATAGTTTCTTAAAGGTCACATGCAACGTAAAACACAACTTTGCAGATTCTGAATACCTTTCGGTATGGACATACCGAAACAAATCATCAAAAATGCAAATTCAACTTATAAAGTTGAAAAATAACGCGATGAAAAAACCCGCTTGAAATCGGAGTTCAAACGATTCTCTAAATTTCCCCCAAGCGCTCGGGGGAATTCAAGTGGTTTCTAAAGCTGGGCTGCGCTCAGAGCACGTGCGCAGTGAAATAGGTTCACGCAGCTTGGAAGCGGGTTGGCCGATGAATGCTCGGTGAAGGCTTTGGTGTGAGCTATTTTTCTAATGTTTTGTTGGTATTTCACAGGCGCGAGCTTTCTATATGTTATGACAGTAGATTACCGATTTAACTGTTTATATAATTTCATTTGTCTATTTCACCACACGTTCTTCTTACCGAGTCACTTTCTCAGTTCGATACTTAAAAGCAATGTCATTATTTAGCGTTGACAGAATTTCTAACTGTGATATAGATATGTCGTTGTCACAGACAAAACTCAATGTCTGTTTTATTGACACCTATGTGTCTGCCTGCCTGTCTGCTAATGACAATATTCAATACACATGTGTACCAACAAGCTGAAGCTAAATGAGGACAAGACAGAGTGTCTTCTGGGAGGGACAACACCTCGCCAAGAACAGACCAACATCAAGTCGTTTCACTTTGGCGAAACCACTGTTCCACTATCTAACAGTGTTAAGGACCTTGGCGTGACTGTTGATCCTGAGCTGTCATTGGACCAGCACATTACCATCTTGTGCAGGACATGCTTCCTACTCCTCCGAAACATTGGAAACGTTCGGAAAGCTTCTCACAAAGGAGTCAGCTAAAATCCTTGTCCTCTCATTGGTGATGACAAGACTAGATTACTGCAACAGCCTCTTTGCTGGTGCAACAAAATCCCAGATTGGTAGACTGCAACGGGTTCAGAACACAGCAGCAAGAATAGTCACTCTCTCACCCAAGTCAGCTCACATCACCCCTGTGTTGAAGGACCTCCACTGGTTGCCCATTCCACAGCGCATCACTTTTAAACTCTGCATTCTCGCCTTCAGATGTCTCTCTGGAAGTGCACCTCAATATCTGTCCGACCTCCTTTCTCCATACAAACCAACAAGATCCCTCCGCTCCGAGAAACATAATCTTCTGTGTATTCCTAAAGTCAGAACAGTTAAATTTGGTCAAAGAACTTTCTCTTATGCTGCAGCCTCAGAATGGAATCATCTCCCACAACATTTTAGAGAAATGACAGAACTTTCAACCTTTCGAACATCGCTAAAGACCCACCTTTTCCAAAAAGCCTTTTCGTCCTGACATCAGCGCTTTGAGCATGCATTGTGCATGGAAATAAGCGCTTTATAAATGAACTATTATTATTATTATCTTCGATCACTGACCACATGCAATTTGAACTTAACACCTATCAGGCTATACACCATAAACAAAACGCATTGATTTATGGCCCGAGTTCGGTCTCTGTCACATTCTGTAATTACACAGACAGGCAGGTGTGATACTTGTACACATGACATGTTATGATGTCTGTTGATTGCAAAATGTTATCCACAAAAAATGAGCATGTATTTACAAAAACCAAACATCTCTATATATACACACACAATGAGCCGTGAGGACATCTGCAAATGAACCAGCACTTCCACTTGACTGCACACCCACCCGCTCTGACTGGGTTCGGTATCCTGGCTGCTTCGTTTCTTGGGAAGTAAACCCAAGTACAAAATATTGCACTTTTGATTTGCGATTGTACGCTTATAATTTTGTTTATATGTTTTTTCATAAGCAGCAATATATATTATATGTCATGAATAAGTGATAATTGTATTTTAATTATGTTTGATTTTTTGGTTGCATGTGACCTTTAAAGAACATTTTGGGTGTAGTCCGGAAAATTTTCAAATATAAGAAAGCTGTTGGGTATTAGTAAATGATAAACATGTGTACTATTTATATTTATGTGGCAATTTTGTACAATGATAAAATTTGCAATTCATCGGTCCGTTTCTGACTCAAACGGACTGTAGGACAGGCTAGCATGAGTGACTAAAGATCCTGTCGGGTAAAGATATTACCTGTACGTGAAGGGGTCGCAACTCATTTATGATAAAGATCTTATCATAATCTATGGATTGTTATAAGATATCTAGTAATAAAAAGATACTAGTTTATCTGAAGCCACATGAATCAAGATGATTCAACTTGTCTGAGATGGAAGTAAGACAAGAAGTGGTCCCCCCGAGTTATAACAGAAGTTGGAAGAATAGGATCTTGGAAATGCTGCTACGCAGTTCCCATGGGGGGGGGATACAGGACGTATCTAAGGACAGCTGATGAATCCAGGAAGTGGCCTGACCCACCACCAATCCGTTGGATTTTATAAGCAAAAGATCATTAGTCAGAATAAGAAAAAATATGTGATTTTCAAGTAAATTTGGTATTTTTATACTTATCCTGACTCATGAGGTCAAGCCCTCCCGACCTCCCCGCTGGAACACTTCGGATTGCACAGCAGATCCAAGTGCTTGGGCAGAAAAATCAGGAAAGTAAGGCTGATCACATGACTGTTTACGCGGGAAAAGGGAGGTAACTCGTGGGCTAGTGTATTTTTACGTCCGCTTCAGGAACTTCAAGGGATTCAAGTGTTCCACTACCATTCGAAAAGAAAAGGGTGATAAGCAAAAGATCATGAGTCAGGATAAGTATAAAAATATCAATTTTACTTGAAAAATATTACATTTTTGTACTTAATTTGACATTCAGAATACTGATAAATCCTTCAGGAAGCTTTTTCGAGTTGTTCTATTTGGAAAGCATCTGTACTAAGTGGTTTGTTTCAGGAACAAGAACTCTTGCCTGTCAGAGCCAGCTGTTGGTTCTTCATCTTCTAGCATGAAGTACCCTCTATCGGACAAGTTTTTGGTGTATCCTGGAGCGTTTGTCAATCAATCAAGCCACAACTTGGATGAATTTGAAACCCGACCTTCATGGTGTCTACCCCTAAATCCAAAATCGGAAACAAGGAAAGTGTGTAAACCAAAACCAGCTAAAAGGGACAGTTGGTCGCTCTGCCCTGGCAAACCCACGGCAGATGACTGGAGCTACTCAAAGTCAGCTGATACGGAGAGTACTGATTCAGAACTTGAAGAATATGAGTATGCAGTAGAAGAGAGATGCTGTCAGTTCAAAAGCCTTGTTGGTAATGTTCGTGCTGGTGAATCAAGCTTGCATGACAGCTCTTGCACAAATACTCAGCAGGAGGGTGTTAACAGAAATATCAAGTCCAATCGAAAAGCTGATCAGGAGAAAAAGTCGCTTGAACTCATTACAAATACGCCTTGGCAAAATACTAATGAAAACTCAAATAATGTCAACAAAGATGCCCGAAACCAAGTTAAAGCCAACTTTTCAAGAGACTCTTCAAGCCGCAAGGAAAGCAGTGATGACTGGGATGTGGAGTGTCAATGGAAGACAGAAGGCCCGTCATATCCACTACTCAAGTATAAGCCCAGGACGGATAATAGGAAGTCGAGGGAAAAAGTAAATGAGAGTTCCTTACCTCCCAAGCCCCTCTCTCTGATGCGAGAAAACTGTGAACCTTGTACTGCAGAAGGTACTGTGCAAACAGAAGAGCAGCTGACACCCAAACCCATCCCTGTGTTGCTAGGAGACACTTTGCGTTCTACATCAGAAAGTCCTGTGAAGACTGATAGCCAACTGCAAATAGAAACGGTTGGTTTAGCAAGTGTTGTCAAGATTGAAGCTGAAACTAACACGGACTCACTGGTGGAATCTGACCTAGTTCCAGAGAGACATGACTGTTTCACACAAACCAAGGTCTCGTCAGGATTTGTAGGAGGTTTTTGGGACTCTGCTTCAAACAATGCTGACAAAATTCCTGTTCCCAAGCAACAAAGAAATATTTTGGCAGATCAAGAGGTGTTGAAACAAATCCCTCTAAATGGATTTACACACTCTAAAGAGAAGGATCTCAAAGATAGATCTAGTAACCGAGTGCCCCCGGTGGCGCCAGAGCCTCGCACACAGAAGCCTGAGAACTGGGATGACAATCACCTTGTTTCATCCTTGGCTGAATTAAGTGTAAAGAATCCTGCTACAAACAGAACAGAAACTAGCATCACTGTCAACACAGGTCATGAAAAGACCACGATTCCAAGACTACCTGTGATAATGTCTGTGTTGAACGATAGCCAGGAGCAAGATCAAGTGCCTGAAAGGATGATGACAGATGATCAGAAACTAAGTAACCATCACTACAATGTCCAGCAAGCAGAACAGACCACTCAGTCTTCAGAAAGAAATGTCAGTGGATCTGGACCTTCAGAACAGTCCAGTCAACCTGGTGGCCTTCCTGTCGGACTTCCTCAACATCTTATCCAGGCATATCTACAGTATGTGGCACAAAATGAAACCACACCAGGTCAACAGCAGCCCACACCTCATCCAGCCCCTGCTAATTGTGTGCAAGGTGTTGCCTCTGGCAAATCTTCCAGCGAGATGACACCTGGTCTTCCATGTAATGCACCATCTGCAGCATATCCCCTGCCAGGCAATCCTGGCTACATACCTGCCATGTGGTCTCACCTGTATCCATGGATGGGCCCACTTATAGCTAACCCTGTGATGTCCCACGCCATGATGCCCTTCTGCCCACCTCCAGTCTTTACCTACTCCCTTCAACAACAGATCAAGACACAGGAGTCTGGGGCTAAGGAAGTCACTTCAAACAAGCATCAAGGGATCGAACAGAGAAGCTCCATCAATCAAGTAAATTGCCACCCTCATGAGTGGGACTCTGGCTTTGGTCAACAAGATCCTGTATCCAAATCAAGTGGCCATCAGTCAGGACAGTGTACAAGTTCAGGGGCCAGTATGTTAGATACGGATGTTGAGAATTGCTCACCACAGCAGACCACTAGGGATGGTGGTGGGCAACAGATGGGAGGTGTGAGACAGGAAAAGGAGCACATGGTTGAAGCACATCAGGACATTCTCAGATGTAATGTCAGCCAAAAGGATCACTCACTGAACACAGGACATGAGGAGCCAATGAACAAGGGTGGTGTAGGGCAGCAGACGGCAATGAATGGAAGTGGTTTGGGACAGCAGTACAAGGGTGGTGCAGGGCAGCAGATGGCAATGAATGGAAGTGGTTTGGGACACGACAAGGGTGGTGCAGGGCAGCAGATGGCAATGAATGGAAGTGGTTTGGGACAGCAGTACAAGGGTGGTGTAGGGCGGCAGATGGCAATGAATGGAAGTGGTTTGGGACACGACAAGGGTGGTGTAGGGCAGCAGATGGCAATGAATGGAAGTGGTTTGGAACAGCAGAACAGAGTGTACAAGGGTGGTTTTGGAGAGCAGAACTCGGTGAACGAGGGTGGTTTTGGACAACAAGGGATGAAGTACTGGCTGCAACAGAATCAACCCAGTTCTGAAGGAAATATGAACAACAGCAACTTGATAAACAGAGAAATGACGGCCCCCATGACACACTCAGACGAACCTTGCAGCTCAAGGAGTATGAGGGTAAGCCTTATTTCTGGTGTACCAGAACAAGTGCTTGTCATTGCTTGTTCATCTCTCATACAAGATCCTCATTATCACACTTCCATATTGCAGTCACAGAATTCTGTCCCAATATTAAATTACTGAAATACTTTATCCTTTTATTCTGGGGCCACACTTTGCCAAACACAGTATTGTTTCAAGTATATATTAGCGACATCTCCTAGTTGGCCATTCCAGTGAAATGTAGTTACTGGAGGTGTAGGATCTGAAAACGTCACAAGTCAAAGATATATATATATGGTTATGGTCACAGTGAGGTTCATTTGTGAAGTGCGTTTGCAATTTTATAAGAGAAAATAAAAAATTCTGGTCGACATTTTGACTCTTTGGATGAAAAGGTGAATATGTAGTGTTGAACATGAAGATATTGATTCCAAGGACAATGATGGTTTAAATATGGTGTAACCCAGGAGAATAGTTTAACTGTAGTCAGAAAACTTTTGTACACACTGTCCATATAGAGGATAAATATGGTTGGAAAGTTCAGATTGTTGTGCATATAGCATTTAATCCCCTTCTAGGTGAGGCTCACTGACTTGGTACGTATGTCAGTGCTCATGATGTCAGTCGCTGGGTTTTCTGGTCCACCTGATGATTCACCACTGTCCACTGTCAGATAGTGTGTATATTGCCAAGTTAGATTATCAACAAGCAAATTATGCTGTGATTTGTCTTCATTCTGTAGCCAAACTTCCCACCAAGGTTTCAACGACAGAAGCGGTTGGAGCTGAACAAAAAAATCAAGACCTTAATACAGGAAATAAACAAAGAGCAGGAAGATTACAAAGAGGTTGGTATGGTTAACTTCAACTCCTGTAAGCTATGCAGGGCTCCATTTGGAACAATATACCTCAGGCCATAGATTGTGAAACAACAGAAATAGTCTTGAACTAAATAACACCCTGTTATGGTCCTGTTTCTTAACGGCAGCTAGTAGAGTTTGTGTGGATGGTGTCCATATCCAGCTGCATGCTATTGTGCATTCGTGGATACTATTTAATTCTGGTACCTCTTAAAAGTTCACCTTTAGCTCTATGACTTGTTTGACATGTTGGCTTAATGTTGAATTTTCTTTCTGTTGAATGTGAATGAGTTTAGTTTTATGATGCTTTTTAGCAATATTCCAGCAATATCACTGCAGGGGACCCCTTGTACCCCATGTGGGGAATCAAACCAGGGTCTTTGGCGTGATGAGTGAAGGCTTTAACCACCAGGCTACCCCTCACCCGCCTTGTTGTTTTGAGTTGGCTTACCTGGTATCAACTTGTCTGTGATGGTCATTGGTACAGCTGGAATATTTCGGACCATACTAAGAAGAATATGTTTCAATCATGTGTCGGACAGTGAAGAGACAATCAGCATGATCAGTCTCTATTTAAATCTGTTGTTATTGCAATAGACATATTCAGTAATTAATAAATATATATATGTTTTGGTTATTGAATTTAATTAAAAATGTGTAGTAAAGGTATTGTGGACAATTTTTGTTATAAGGGAGATTCTGAGACGAAGAACAACTTCTCTGAGTGGCATTGAGAAGTTGGTATGATTAACAAAGGGGATAAATCTATGGATATACAACTTCTTTATTAAGTATATTCAATCTGAGCTGATGGACTGAACAGAATTTCCAAAGACCATGCCTCACACTTGTGGCAAAGTCGCAGACTGAGAAAACAGTGCCTCGGACATGACATACAGTACAACCAGAAATTATTGAGAATTTAAAGATTGTAATTTAAAAAAAAAAAATTCACTCATTACTCGCATATTAAATGTGAATATTAGCAGAACATAACTCCAGATTCAAAGACAGGTGAATAGTTAGTGTTTTGTCAATTCGCCATGGGCAGCAATGCAGGCTTCAATGCGGCGGGGCATACTACTGATCAAAGAAGTTAGAAAGTCGTGCTCCATGCTGTCCCAATATCGGACCACCTCTTCTTTCATTTTTTAGCAATATTTGTCAGATTTTTCTTATTGACACTTTCCTTCATAAGTACCCAAACATTTTCTATTGGATTTAGATCAGGGCTATAGCTTGGCCAATCTAATAATGTCATAATTTTTCCTTATCCTGACTCATGCTCTTTTGCTTGTCTTCTTCTTCTTGCGAACATAGTGGAACACTTGTATCTCCTTATTTGAAGCTCCCTTCAAAATAAAATCACTAATTGGTACTCACCACGAGTTGCTCCCCTTTGTCTCCCCTGGCGGGAAAAGGTGTCGCCACCCTCTGGCCATGTGCTCCACTCTCTCCTTCTTCGCCCAGTGAGCAGGATGTGAGAGCGCGCCTTGTGTCTCCTTACACACATATCCTTTGATAATCTCTTAGTTTTTACCTCTCATAGGTTACTATAGAGGTATAGCTAGTATCCTTTACTATTTGTATTGATTAATTATCGTATTTCTACTGTTTATTCACGTGTATTCGTGATTGTTCAGCTAGCTTTACGTTCATGAAAATCTGTACGATTTGTAGATTACGTTTTTCTGCCTCCGATCCACATGTAATATGCCCTAGTTGTTCTACGCCGTGTGCGTTTAATTCACGTTGCAGTTACTGCATTAATTTATCTCATTCTGCATTTAATAAATATCATCTTTGCGTCTTAAGACGTGCTGCAGATAGATCACGCAAACAAGGGCAAAACATGGCAGAGAGTCCAGATATTCCTTCCAGTCAGCTGCTAGCGATCGACCCTCTCCCGTCTGGTGTTCTGCTAGAGACCCCTGCGGCAGAGGAACGTGGGACGCAGTCCGTTACCTCGAAGAAACGACCGGCCTCCCCAGACATCCCGTCATTGCAGACTAAGTCTAAGAGGGCCTCATCGTCGTCTCAACGCAGATTGAGGACACCCAGGGCAGCGCAGACTTCCAAAGGGAAATCTACGAAGACAGCAAGAACTTTCTCAGCCGAGATCGTTCCAGCAGCAGAGTTGGGCGATCAGCCGATAATCATCCCCGACTTACGGCAGAAGAAGCGACCGGTGTCAGCGACTGTGACTTCTGCAGAGATCTCCATGCAGCCTGATGCCTCTACACCGACGTCAGACGTCATTGATGTGAACCCCATCGCAGAAAAGACGCCGACGACTTCGTCACAGATCATCCCAGAAGACATGATGCGGCAGATTATGAACATCATGGAGGACCACTACAAACTGCGCAAGCAGGGTCCGAGCCTCCGCGAAGGCTCCAACGTAGACAGCACCCCAGAGGCACCCCCGCCAACGTAGCAGCCAAGACGATGTCACCCTTCGAAGGAAGTCCCGCGACCACCTTGACGAAGGACCTAGATGTACAGCTTCGCTAAGGCCTTCGCGAAGCGGGAGAGATCATCACCATCTTCGATTTCATCTCTAGATATGGACTCAGACCATCAGACATCACGGAAGCCTTCGCGAAGGTCATATCATCGATCCCCGGACCGACGCGAATGAAGCTTCGCGAAGGCATTCGCTGAAGGACACATGATTCCAGATCTTCATCGCCTAGAAGAACATCGAGGGACTGCCGAAGAGCTTCAGCGAAGCTATCAACATTCACCTCACAAGTCTCCCGAGAAGATCATCCCATAGACGATCTCCACTCCGCTCATCACCAGGTCGATCACCCATCAGATCTCCACATAGAGCCGCGACAAGTCAACTAGATCGCCACAAACCTCATCAGATATACAGACAGCTACACGCAGTCCCGAAGAGCATCTACAATTTATTAATGATGATGGTTTTGAGGATGATGGAGGAATCATATTTTCTGATGCAGAGATACGGTATTGGATGGTCAATAACCTAGATCTCACATCACCATCTAAAAGTGGCAATACAGCTCAGACGTATTTGATGAAGGAAGATGATCCAGATGCAATCACTCTACCCCGATCGACCGATTGGCGGCAGTGCCACAGAATCTAGATGCAGCTTTCCAGAAAGCTCTTAAAGTTCAGATACCACATCTGCCCAACTTTCAAGCCAAGAAGTTCTCCACGCATAACATGGACTCCTTCTACAAGGCCCAGGACATCGATGAGAACTATAAGATCATCAGCGATGTAAAGAACAAGATTTACAAGATGGATGATCGCAAGTTGGCTCATATAGAAACCATGACGAGACGTATGTTCTTTGGGTTAAATAGATCTAGGACGATCAATGAGACTCTTATTACTAGATTCCGGGATTCCACGACGGAAGATGATAGAATGATTTATTCTGCCTTACTTATGCAAAAGAAAGATCAGCAGTTTTTAACGGATCATCTTACATCTGTTTCAGCAGCACTGACCTTAGCTCGTCGTCGTCAAGGCCTCCTCGCCTCCTGTAATTGGGGAGAACTTTACAGCCCCACTTTATACAGCCCCCGTGGTCGACAACATCCATCTTTGACGGAGAAATCGACAAGGTCGCCAAGGAAGTCTCTAAGGATTCCAGGGAAGTCCTTATGATTAGATCGATGGACACACTAGCCAGCGCCATTCGCCAGACTTCACAAAGATACTCAGGCAGATCTAAGTTCACGGGCCTACAAAGAGCAAGAGACAGGAAGATAGCCAGCTCTAGAGGTAAAGATTCTTTTTTCAGCCCATATGGCAACTATAGAGGAGGATCAGGAAGAGGCAGGACACCCAGAGGTTCCCGCAATTATAGACGCTGAAACACAGGTTCGGAACGACTGGAGTCTTCCACCCCCAGCCGTTCCAGTACAACCAGCTCAAGTGGGTGGACGCCTCCAACTACACTGGGAAAACTGGGGAATACTGCAAGACCCTTACGTCTCCAACATTATTCAACACGGATTTCAGATCCTCTACAGGTCAAGCCTCCGCTGACAATCAAACCCCCCAAGTTCGATTTACAAGCGCAACAACTACCAAAGATAAAAGAGGCTGTTTCATCACTCCTATCCAAACAGGCCATAGAAGTAATAGATCAAGCAAACGTCGAACCAGGTTTCTACTCCCCAGTTTTCCTAGTTCCCAAGAAAAACTCCACGGAGAAATACAGACTCATCTACAACATGAGCTTTTTCAACAAGAACTATCTCACGCGAAACCACCGGGTTTCGCGATGATACATTTACCTCAGTTACGCCAGATGATTCGGCCCTATGGACTACATGGGCAGCATAGATCTACAGGATGCCTACTTGCACATCCCCATTCATCCCGATTCCAGGAAATACCTACGATTTACTCTAGAAGGGCTACATTACCAGTGGAAAGTACTCCCATTCGGAATATCATCAGCCCCCTGGCTATTCACGAGGATAACGAAACCGATTATCAAATTTCTACATCGCCAAGGGCTACGCAAGTGCTTTTACCTCGACGACGGGATACAAGTAGATCAAGATCCACTGCGTCTCAAACTACAGTTAAATTACATCATAAAGCTACTAACACAACTAGGTTGGTTAGTAAACTTACGCAAGTCGGACCTAGTACCATCGCAAGACCTACAGTTCCTAGGTATTCGATTCATCACAAATCGCGAACCGTGATATGGTACCAGAAGACCGTTGGCTCAAGATACAACAGACCATTCCACCAGCTCTACTCTCTCCGCTACCACTCGCGACAATGGCAGAGCCTACTAGGTCTTCTCACATCAGCCCAAGACATGACTGTCACAGGCAGATTACAGTTACGCCCCCTACAGGTCCTCATCAACGACATCTCAACGATGTACAACCATTCAGTCTACCGAAACATCTCAGACCACATCTACTATGGTGGACCAAGAAATCGAATGTCTGCGAAGGGATTTGTTTAGCAGAGCAGGAATACAAAACCCATCTGTATGTAGACGCTGTTACTCCAAGGTTGGGGAGCTCATCTCACCAACCACACGATATCAGGGTTATGGAATCAGCAAGAATGCAAACCCATATAAACAGTCTAGAAATGAAAGCTGTAATCAACGCCATTCTACATTGGAGCACATTTCTACAAAATGCGCCTAATGATCCATACAGACAATTCGACAGTGGCGTTCTACATAAACAAGCAAGGCTCAACGAGATCGATGAACCTTTTGAACCTAAGCTTTCAACTGTTCGAATTAATACAAGATCTAAATCTACATGTCAGCAGTGCACATTCCCGGAGCCAGAAATATACTAGCAGACGCTCTCTCTCGGCCTCATCTACCATCACCGACAGAGTGGATGATCAACAGGGAAATTTTTGCACAGATAATCAAGCAATTAGGAGCCGCTAATAGACCTATTCGCCACGCCGATTCAACAATCAGCTACCGACATTCGTGTCACCAGTCCCAGACCCCCAAGCTTGGGCAACGGGATTTAAGTCTATCATGGAAGGCCTCACGCGCACGCTGCTCCGCCAGCAATAATACCTCAAGTATTACAGAAAATCAGACAAACACAGAGCCTACAACTCACTTTGGTCGCTACTACTGGTCGGCCAGAACGTGGTTTCCCATACTAATTCAAGAAATCGGTCAACCAACACTGGAGCTACCCAAGCGCCAAGCAAACCTGTTAATTCATCCTCACACCAAACAAGTGCACGGAAACCCAGCAATGTTCCAACTACACGTATGGACTGTATACAAATGTGTTTAAACAAGAGAGGATATTCTGCCAGGGCGGCAAAAGCAGTCACGCTTTGCCTTTACGCTACTCAACTCGTGAACTTGTACCGACGACAAGTGGCACAGTTTCAAAAATTATGCAACAAAGAAAGGGTTTACAGCAAGAGAGGCTTCACAACCTCAAGTGGCAGACTATTTGTGTTACCTACGCCAAAACAAACATTTAAAAGGTTCAACGATATCAACATATCTTGCCGCTTTAGCTCTGTAATCACCATGAGAACGGGTGTCAAATTGACAAGATCTCCAGAGTTACTGGCCTTACTACGAAGCTTTCCGATTGAGGACCAAAAGCGAAGTTCCACTTCCAGCTTGGGATCTGAATGTAGTGTTACAACACCTCACGAGTGAGGTCTATGAACCTTTGGAATCGACAAACTTTGAATTTCTCTCACAGAAAACATTGTTTCTGCTATCGCTAGCCACAGCAGCAAGAATGTCTGAAATTCACGCTTCTGGATTACTTAGAGGATACAGTTTGATGACAATCATAACACAGCGCACTCCTCGGATTAAGATGGGATTTCATTGCAAAAATCAACTGCCAGGTCAACCAGACAGATTATTCCACATCCCGGCGCTTATCCTCTATTCTCGGATCACAAGATACACAAGACCTATCACTGTGTCCGTAAGAGCTCAAAGTTTATTTTACGATTCCATCCAAAACAAGGAGAAGATTTCTCAAACGCTTATTCATCCCATTATCGCCACTTAATCAAACAGAAGTGTCACGGACCACAATATCTATTTGGATAAGGACTGTCATTCTCCGTGCCTACAAGGCAGCAGGCTTGGACCCACCAACAGCATCAAATCCACATGAGATCAGGGCACTGGCCTCTACCCTCGCCTCTACACGGTAACTGTTCCTTGAACACGATTATGGAAGGATGCTATTGGAAATCTAACATGGTATTTGCTAATCACTACCTAAGAGACATCACTACAGAAGATGTCTCTGGCATTCACCATTTCGACCACTGGTCCTCGCCAGCAACTGACAGTCCCTCGAGGCTTAAAATATTATCCTCACAAGATTAATATGTATTTTATACATACTCATCTAGCTTATAACTCTCACGGAGTTTTAGGGCTATGTATATATGTTCAGCTTAAGTATTCAACCTTAAGCATATACTTTGATATAGTCAATTTCAGTGCCTCTATCAGAGTCACCTATATATATATATATATAATTTATATGTATTGTTCAATATATTCATAATGTAATTCCCCTTTAATGGCTTTATATAACCTATGGTTTTCTTTATACAGGAAACATCCTAAATCTAAGCCTTCATGAAGTTCCTGAGGGGATATTACAGTATATCTATACAAAATCACTAATTATAAATCCAAAGTATTCTGTTACCCACCTCCGCTCAGAGGATGCTACAAGCAAAAGAGCATGAGTCAGGATAAGGAAAATATGTAATTTTTAGAGTAAAATTGATATTTTATACTTATCCTGACTCATGAGGTTAGCCTCCCATCCTCCCCACATAACACTTTGGATTTCCTGTAAATTCAAGTGTTGGGCTCGCTAAATCAGGAGAGAGTGGAGCACATGGCCAGAGGGTGGCTTACACCTTTCCCCGCCAGGGGAGACAAAGGGGAGCAACTCGTGGTGAGTACCAATTAGTGATTTTATTTTGAAGGAGCTTCAAATAAGGAGATACAAGTGTTCCACTATGTTCGCAAGAAGAAGAAGACAAGCAAAAGAGCATGAGTCAGGATAAGTATAAAATATCAATTTTACTCTAAACGTTAAATTTCGGACTGTACTTTCAGAATTTCAGTGTATTAGGAAACACAGAACTTTCATCTGAGAAAATCACATTGTCCCAGTTAAAATTTCTGTGCTATAAGCACCAGTTCAACCTTCGCTCCTTTTGTTCAGGTTTCATGATCGGTGATGGAATTCCTCGACGTTTCTGCCAACCCATTGCATGCAGCTCAGTTCTTATTGTCTCCTTACAGACAGCAGACACAGTTCCTCTATCAATCATATCCAGCCTTAAGTTTTCTAAATGCCTTCGTTTGTTTTTAGAAACAAGAATACCAAGCCGCCTCCTGTCACTGACAGTCAATTTTCTGGGCCTATCTGCGCCTCCCTGGTGCTCAATGCCATATCCATTTGCAATATTTTTCAAAACACGATAAACAGTGGACAAAGGGATGCCTGTTCTACTTGAAATAACTTCAGCTGATCTGATGTCCATGTTATGATACTCAAAAATCAACTTCCTCTTCTCTAAATCATCCATACTGAGGATCACTGAAATTATCGTCTGCTATCAAGTAAACAAAGGGGGATAACTCTTCACAAACTAATGAAGAAGGATCAACGGAGTTGTCTCTCTTGAATGAAACCAAGCATTTGATAGCTGGTCAAGGTTGTTTATACTAGAAATCCAATTAAACATATTCCTAAAATTCTCAATAATTTCTGGTCATACTATATGATCCTTCCATAGGTCATTGAGCTCATGGATTTGTTTTGCTGGTGTCCATGATCTGGCTGGCTACTATGAGACATCCTCTGCTGGTTTTGAATTATGGTGTGTGGACAATAAAGTAAGTGCTGGCCAGTTAGTTGTAACTACAGGTCAAATCAGACAATGGGTCTAATTGAAGGAGGCTAATGGTCCCAAGGCTGAAACCAGTGTGAGTCTGGTGTCTTGATTCAATGACATCATGACATAATGGCATCACACACATCTTTCTAAAATCTAATTGAAAGGATATCTGAATTTATCATTATTTATGCTTGTTTCAGACAGAAATTGTCAAAGAGGAGGACCGAATCTCAGCTTAGATTGGATGTTACTCCCGAAACACCTGCTGCTCCTCACATTAAGGCTTCTTCAAGATTGATACCAAAGTTTTTGCAGTTCCTGTGAATTTCTGACTTCTCAGTGCATTGAAAGGAGAAAACTTTAGTGCTTCACATCATACTTGTCCAACCGTGTCATTGCCAGAAATGTTTGTTTGGAGATCAGAAGCTGTCTCAAAAAAGCACAAGCAAAATCGCAAACTGTTAATTTTCCCATCATTATTTTTATATCATTATTATTTTTTCATTATCAGTTTGAATTCTATTTCTCTGATTGTACTGGTTGTAAAGGTTGAGAAGAGAACACCCTATTGTTTCATGTTACAAAGGTGAATGGTTTCATGAACATGTTTAGAAAATGAGAAGGGACAGATGGTAAAACTGTTAAGTTTACTTTTCATTTAGTGAAGAGGATGTGTTTGTCACTAGTGGGGACATGCTACAGTAGTTTATTTCTAATGGTGCTAAAATTTCCTTGCTGATGTACATTTTTGTGTGTGCACTAAACAACATAAGTGCTCAGTAGCAATACTGTATGTTATATATATATGCTAGCTTTTTAATCTTTTTATATGTTTGATTAAAAGTGTTTTGAGAGGAATTTTGGTCGTTGTTATTTCTCGAAGAAGGAGAACCAGGGCATGAGTAGGGCAACAAGAGGACAGTTTGGGCAACCAAAGTATGGAAAGGGAAAGCAGAAGATGGGTAGAGGACCTACTGGTAGGTGATTGCTATAAGATGGTGGGTAGAGCACTGTGACAATTGTTGGTGAATGTTTAGCACAATCAGCAGTAACACAGCAGTCCGCTAATAATCAGGTCTGGACCAGACAATCCAGTGCCATCCAAATTAGGATGCAACCTTGTATTGAAAAAGTTTCATCAACGTAATCCTACACTTACTTGACCCTGCATCCATTCCTTTGAAATTACATAAGAACTAAGAACTCTTGAATAGCAAAGGTATATATATATATAAAATAAATTTAAATTTAAGAGCCCGGGTTCGTGTCCACAAACAACAAATAAAGTGTCCTGAAACCCGATGTATCCCACTGAGTGAACATCTAGATGTCTGTGCAAAAGGAAACGATGTTAAATTTACAATATTTCCTTTTTATCAAGTTCAAAATTCGGACAAAGTAAAACGAATTTTAAAAGAACACTACTTCATAGACAAGTACAAACCAATGTTAAACCATTGCAAGCTGTGACCTTGTCGCTCTAGAATGTTGTCCCTATTGTGACGTCACAATATATATGTAATGACGTCATACTGTAACCGCTACAATCTCCCTAAAGAGTAAAGAACGAAACATGTTGGAGAAAAAGGCATTCTGTTTTTATTTATCTATGTAATATTTATGACTGAACACCTGTACTATTTTGGACATTTTGTGCGTATATATATATATATATATATCTCACCCAAGCATAATGCACATCCTAGTCTGAGGGACTCAGTTTTTAGAAAAGAGATATTCAAGTTTATTGTGCAGACAAACTACATCTGTGAAATTAGGTGTCAACAAACATGTACAACACGCTTGTTCAATACATACTTGAGATCACTAGACACCATGACTTACAATTTAAACTGTATCCTGTTCTGCTGGGCATTGTTTTATATGTAGAGATTACGACTACTGTCTGTATTGTCTCCACAGGAAATGACGATCAGCTGTGCGCACATTTCCTACCAATCTAAGGATGGTTCAGTTAAAACAATCCCAAATATATAACTTATATCTTTATCGTATTTTAGGGAATAATAATATGTTATGTTGGCCTCAAATTTCAATAGAAACAAATATTAATCTTTGTAACCGAAAGCCCTTTTACATCCTTGAATGCCAACCTTTAATGGTGATGGGGTAGCCTAGTGGTTAAAACGTTTGCTTGTGACATCGAAGACCCGGGTTCGATTCCCCACATTGGTACAATGTGTGAAGCCCATTTCTGGTGTCATCCCGCTGCGATATTGCTGGAATATCACTTGAATGCAAAAAGAATAATCATAAAGATTCAGTAGTTGCAAATTGTCATGAAGAAATATTGAATTATTTATACATTGTGCTCCAGAAACTAAATGTGACTGACAGCTTGAGACATTTCTGTATTCCCTGTGGGAGAAAAAGGGTGTGACCATTTTAGTCTACAAACTTAGATAAAATAACAAGTATCCCAGCGAAATATGCAAGTCTGGAAATGAACCGCTGACTAATACAATGTATATAAGCATTGGCGCACAATGACCCACAATCTGCTTTCTATAGCAAGCTTGACTGCCAAGTTCTCGTTTTGTATGCCCTTTCTACATGCATGGATTATAAGAAACTATTTCTTCCTCTAAATCTCCATGGGCTTACGGAGTGATGTGTGAAGGGCCATATGGTTTCCTTGTCTGACAGTTTACTCTGCATTAAGATCACAACACATATAAAAATGTTTTTCAACAAGTACAAAATGATGTATTATCAATTTATTTACCAGGTACATCTGTACAATATTTACAACAGGAGAAATTCATAAAACGAGAAATACATGTACATGATATTGATGCATACAGTTTTTGGTCAAATAACTTCACAAACATAATAGTTGAGTATTTAGGTTGCGAAAGTGAAAGTTTTGCATCGAAGTAAACCAACAAAACCTCTACCTCCATCACATCAATGCTACACATCCTGTATTTATGGCTGTAGTCACTTATAAAGCTAGATTTTCAACAAATACCCTTGCAATAGCACCATTTGAAAACGTGGGAAAACTTCCCAAACATCTCTAACCGAGAGACAGATGACTAGGGAGGGAATACATTTGATTTAATAGAGGATGTATTCTTAGAATTTAATACATAATTGTTAAAATATTTGTGACATTAGGAAATGAAAAATCTTTTGTTTTAAGTACTTAACCTACAAACAGTTCATACAAGATTGTATAAAAGATTTTGATACAGTAAAATTGGGATATTGTCCAAAGATTTGTGACATTAAGAAATGAAAAATCTTTTTTTTTAAGTACATTATATACAAACAGTTCATACAAGGTTGTATAATAGTTTTTGATACAGTAAAATTGCCATATTTAAGTCTGATGTGTGAAATAAAATGTGAATATATAGCAATTACCAGAAGCATATTCACTGATGTGTTGACTAAAGTACTGTCGGAAATAGAAAAAAACCCTGTTATTTCGCATTTATATCTATAATTTATGGAGTTAATACATGAAAGTGTGAAATATCTGTTAAACAAAGTTCGGCCTAACTACAGTCTCAGTGGTAGGGAGATAGGAAATGTAGAAAAGGGACTTTACTGAGGAGAGATTAGTGCAGAAATGGGCAATGTGTTTTTTTCTAAGTCCATGTCGACTTATTTGGAACAGACCATGGCTTCATGCTAATTAGTGTGCGATGATATTGTATTACAAAGGACACTTTTTAATGCCCATTTGGTAATTAAACTTAGCTTCATTATGAACGATAGCTGACATAAAAAATTATAACTTTAACACTTAAACTATTAAGGATGTAGCTGCCATGGAGTCTCATGGCAGAAAAAGAAACAGGTGGGAGGGGTCGTCTCAAAAGCAAAGCCAGGATGGGCTGGGGGAATAGAGATATCAGCTAAGATAAAATCCTTCAGGCGAATTAAACTGGGGAAAAAACCCGGCATGTCATAACAATTTACAAATAATATCCAATCCTGTCGATCTTCTGGTAGTCATGCCACCTATATATTTTGAGACATTTCATACGATGGCTGATATAAACTTTTCGTATCACAACATAAACTTTATGAAAGAAAGACACGTAAGATGTTAATAGACCAAACATATTCAACACACATAAAAAAAGCATAAAGTATCTTTGAGATGACCCCTTGTGCCTGTAGGCAGCACATGCATTTCATGCCAGGTGAGTCGACGGTCCCTCGTCATACCTGGCTGAGCGACCTAATTGCCATTTATAGTCTGATCTATTGTTTTCAGCAGCTGTTCGTAGTTTTTCCCGATTTTACGAGTAAACATGCTTTTCTGGATATCCTATTACGCATCCCACTAAACGCCAAGTTAGGCCGATGTGGGTTATTTCGACATATGCTATTTGCAATGGTGTAAATTTTAGGGATACAGAGTAACGTCCTAAAAAAAGTTTATTTCTATTTCCGACAGTACTTTAGAAGTCCACTGATGAGTGCACCCTGGGCACCATGGTGAGTTACAAAATCTAGGGTAGCCTAGTTGGTAAAGCTCATCCCACTGAAGACCTGGGTTCAATTCCCCTCATGGGTACAATGTATGAAGCCCATTTCTGGTGTTCCCTGCCATGATATTGCTGGAATATTGCTAAAAGTTATCAAACGTCGAGAATCCAAGTAACAAGTGATTGGAGAACATTTTAAGCTGTCAGGGTTTTGTTGTACATAGAATTTCCTATGGCAAGAATATGGATTAAGAACGGTTTTTCGGTTCAATTTGAGGGGACAGATCACTTGTCTGATATGAGATCATAGAGGAACTGGACAACTCTGATCAGCTGGAATCATCCTGTAATACATTATAGAACCAAGAGTGTTAATCCAAACCCATTTTGTTTTACAAAAACTTTGCAGTGTTAATTTTCACAAATGAGAATGTTGTTTTAAGCCCCAGTTAGCAATATTCCTTCTTGGTGGGCTGAACCTGCCAAACCAGTGACTGAAGGCACGAGTAGTGATTGACAATGATGGGATGGGGAATGTAGACTCTCAATCAGCCAGGTCCACACTGTAAACACCTGATCCTCATCATGGGTGCAGGGACCAAGCTGAACCTACAGACCTACGATGACGTATCTCCAGTGAGTGCTGACTGCGCGTTTTACAGCTATCTAGTCATATGATCGCTTGTCATCCAGCTGCCTAGTCATATGATCGCTTGTCATCCAGCTGCCTAGTCATATGATCGCTTGTCATCCAGCTGCCTAGTCATATGAACGCTTATTGTCGTCCAGCAGTCGAGAGCGTTCATCGACAGAGGAGTAGGATTCCTCGGCCCCCTGAATGTGTCGCTGTTCAGGGCGGATGTTCTGCATCTCCTGGCCTGTCTGACAGCAGGGTAACCAGGAGAAGTCCAGCAGGTTGTTGTACAGGGCTGTGCCAATCATCAAGAAGAAGAACCCATCAACTGAAATATATTTGTAGAAGATTCTTAACACCCAGAACAGTGTCATGTTGAATATGAAGTTTTTACTCCCAGCTACAGCTAATCGAAAATTGTCCCTGACCAGACAAGATGCAAAACACAATAAAACATAATCATGATAATTAATTCCACATATCGGTTTAAAACCAATATCACAGTTATCTATGATATGTTGTCAACTGTAACTGTTTGTGGGATAATATACTGAAATGAAAGGTCTTATGCTTGTTCCATGGTGCCAGAGTGTTACCTTGCAACAGTCCATATGTCTTGTCAAATGGCTCCCCAAAGTTCTGCAATGAAGAAAAGAATTGTGAAAGTTGACAGATTATTCTAGAAAATTTTATTTCATGGACACTATGATGTTTGTTTGTTATTGTTGAACACTGCACTCAGTAATATTCCATCTATATGGCGTCCATCTGTAAATAACCAGGTCTGGACCAAACAATCCAGTGATCAACATCATGAGCATCAATCAACGCAGTTGGGATATGATGACATGTCAACCAAGTCAGCCTGCCTGACCACCCGATCCTGTTTGCCGCCTCTTACGACAAGCATGGGTTGCTGAATATCAATTTAATCCGGATCTTTACAGGTGACTATGAGGATTGGGGTAGACTAGATGACCTGGTTGGCATAACTGTAACTTGTAAGATTTTATCTTAGTTGGTAAGCTTGTCCCCTTTGGTGTTTTGGTCAACTGAATTAGTTCTCGGTTTTTTTTCTTTAAAGCCACCCACAGCAATATTCCAGCTGTATGACAACGGACTGTAAAAGCTGAAATCTGAACAAGACAATCCAGTGACTTATAGTGAGAGCATTGTTCCTCACTGTCAGGTATGAGGACATGCAATCAACTGACTCTTAACCACCTGACCAGTTTGGTTGCCGCCAGTATAGGTTGGGAATCTATACTAACAGAGAATTCCCACATGGATTATTATTTTTGTGTGGTTATACAATCAGTTGCTCATAATTTCAATCACTGGTGTTAATATTGAATAATACACATGAAGGAAAGTAACTGAATAATTCCAGAGCCATGTAATACAACTGATTCTTGCCTTTTGAATATAATTTACCTTGTCGAATGCATAGAAGATGAACAGATCTACTCCCCAAACCAGCATGGTCCGACACGCATCAATCAGCGTCCGATGTACAGCTGGAACACACATTGTACAACACATTACACACATTGAATACAACACATTACACACATTGTACAACAACATTAAACACATTGTTTTACAAATCTTTTCAAACATACAGTATACACCTGGATTATATTACCTGTGAGTGACTTGGTCACAGACAACCTGAAGTAGTTATAGAATGCAATTGAGATGAGGTACTGCAGTATACACCTGGATTATATTACCTGTGAGTGACTTTGTCACAGACAACCCTAAGTAGTTATAGAATGCAATTGAGATGAGGTACTGCAGTATACACCTGGATCGTATTACCTGAGAGTGACTTGGTCACAGACAACCTGAAGTAGCTAAAGAATGCAATTGAGATGAGGTACTGCAGTATACACCTGGATTATATTACCTGTGAGTGACTTGGTCACAGACACTGACTGAGTTTAGTTTTACGCCGCTTTTAGCAATATTCCAGCAATATCACAGCGGGGGACACCAGAAATGGGCTTCACTCATTGTACCCATGTGGGGATTCGAACCCGGGTCTTCGGCGTGACGAGCCAACGCTTTAACCACTAAACTACCCCACCGCCCCCTGGTCACAGACAACCCAAAGTAGTTACAGAATGCAACTGAGATGAGGTACTGCAGTATACACCTGGATAGTATTACCTGTGAGTGACTTGGTCACAGACAACCCGAAGTAGTTGTAGAATGCAATTGAGATGAGGTACAGCAGACAGAATATCAGGAGACGAGGGCTGTTTCCTATCTGGTAGAGAGCATCGAGACTGTTCTCATAGCTGTTGTTGACCTGCTTCCCCGGGATAAAGTACATGGCAGGGAGCACAATCTGAAACACCAGAGTCGACCATGTCAGTCTTGCGGTCATGTAACACAATGGAGGGAACATGTCAGTCGTGTCCCTCAGGAAGAACCGCTCTGCTGGTCTTGTCTCCCTGTAGGTAACTGTTTTTGGTCAGCACACTAGGTCCACCTTGTCAGTTTGTTGGCCTTAGCAATATAGCTACCCTTGCAGAGCTAATCACCCAGTAATGTCAGCCTTGTGACCCAGTAGTTGTGGGCCTTGTCAACCATTAGATGTGGGCCTTGTGACCCAGTAGTTGTGGGCCTTGTGACCCAGTAGGTGTGGGCCTTGTCAACCATTAGTTGTGGGCCTTGTCAACCATTAGTTGTGGGCCTTGTGACCCAGTAGGTGTGGGCCTTGTGACCCAGTAGGTGTGGGCCTTGTCAACCATTAGTTGTGGGCCTTGTCAACCATTAGTTGTGGGCCTTGTGACCCAGTCGTTGTGGGCCTTGTCAACCATTAGTTGTGGGCCTTGTGACCCAGTAGGTGTGGGCCTTGTCAACCATTAGTTGTGGGCCTTGTCAACCATTAGTTGTGGGCCTTGTCAACCATTAGTTGTGGGCCTTGTTACCCAGTAGTTGTGGGCCTTGTCAACCAGTAGATCAGTCTTGTCAACCAGTGGATCAGTCTTGTTAACCAGTAGATCAGTCTTGTCAACCAGTTCATCAGTCTTATCAAGCAGTAGTTGGTGGACATTGTCAAACACCAGGTTGAACTGCCTCTCAACCAATGACTACTGCAAACTTCCGAATCCCAACTAGGGAAAGCATGGCGTACTTGTTTGACCCAGAATCAACAGGAGACAATCATAGGCTACTGGGGGATCTGTTCTACCCAGAATCCATAGCAACAGGAGACAATAATAGGCTACTGGGGGATCTGTTCTACCCAGAATCCATAGCAACAGGAGACAATAATAGGCTACTGGGGAACCTGTTCTACCCAGAATCCATAGCAGCAGGAGACAATCATAGGCTACTGGTGGACCTGTTCTACCTGGAATCCATAGCAACAGGAAACAATCATAGCTACTGGGGAACCGATTCTACCTGGAATCCATAGCAACAAGAGGCAATCATAGGCTACTGGGGGATCTGTCTACCCGGTATCCATAGCAACAGGAGACAATCATAGGCTACTGCGGAACCTGTTCTACCTGGAATTCATAGCAACAGGAAACAATCATAGGCTACAGGTGGATCTGTCTACCTGGAATCCATAGCAACAGGAAACAATCATAGGCTAATGGGGAACCTGTTCTACCTGGAATCCATAGCAACAGGAGACAATCATAGGCTACTGGGGGATCTGTCTACCTGGAAGCCATAGCAACAGGAGACAATCATAGGCTAATTGGGAACCTGTTCTACCTGGAATCCATAGCACAGGCGATAATCATAGGCTACTGGGGGATCTGTTCTACCTGGAATCCATAGCAACAGGAAACAATCATAGGCTACTGGGGGACCTGTTCTACCTGGAATCCATAGCAACAGGAGACAATCATAGGCTAATGGGGAACCTGTTCTACCTGGAATCCACAGCAACAGGAGATAATCATAGGCTACTGGGGGATCTGTTCTACCTGGAATCCATAGTAACAGGAGACAATCATAGGCTACTGGGGGATCTGTCTAACTGGAATCCATAGCAACAAGAGGCAATCATAGGCTACTGGGGAACCTGTTCTACCTGGAATCCATAGCAACAGGAAACAATCATAGGCTACTGGGGAACCTGTTCTACCTGGAATCCATAGCAACAGGAAACAATCATAGGCTACTGGGGAATCTGTTCTACCTGGAATCCATAGCAACAGGAAACAATCATAGGCTACTGAGGAACCTGTTCTACCTGGAATCCATAGCTGAACCATAGCAACAGGAAACAATCATAGGCTACTGGGGATCTGTTCTACCTGGAATCCATAGCAACAGGAAACAATCATAGGCTACTGAGGAACCTGTTCTACCTGGAATCCATAGCAACAGGAAACAATCATAGGCTACTGGGGAACCTGTTCTACCTGGAATCCATAGCAACAGGAGACAATCATAGGCTACTGGGGAACCTGTTCTACCTGGAATCCATAACAAAAGGAGACAATCATAGGCTACTGCGGGATCTGTTCAACCCGGAATCCATAGCAACAGGAAACAATCATAGGCTACTGGTGGGATCTGTTCTACCTTGAATCCATAGCAACAGGAAACTATCATAGGCTACTGGGGGATCTGTTCTACCTGGAATCCATAGCAACAGGAAACAATCATAGGCTACTGGGGGATCTGCTCTACCTGGAATCCATAACAACAGGAGACAATCATAGCTACTGGGGAACTGATTCTACCTGGAATCCATAGCAACAAGAGGCAATCATAGGCTACTGGGGGATCTGTCTACCCGGTATCCATAGCAACAGGAAACAATCATAGGCTACTGGGGGATCTGCTCTATCTAGAACCGCAGGAGACAATAGTGTATTTGGGACAAATTGTGTGCTTATAATTTCTATTGAAGACAACTAGGGACCCACACTGATGGCCTACAATCATATGCTAACATGACCCTATTCTGCACCGGTCTCTTTGTGAGGTACTGTAACATATTAGGACCTATTCTGTACTAAGAACTGCCCAATATATGCTTTACCCTCACTCTCTGAAACTCTAGTTCCTATGAAGAAAAACAACTTACGGATCAGTTTGGGTTCAAATGAGAACGATGAATGATTAAATAACTCAAAATAGGGATAAGTGAACAAAACGTAAATAAGACACGTGGTCCTGAAATCTCTGTATCCAACAGGATCGTTTTATGAACGATCACGGAAAAAGTTGTAAACAGCACCGACACACACTTCAGGTGCACCTCAGCACAGCCCCTCAATAGTCGGGAAACAGCCGGTGCTGTTCCACCAGCCGTTTGTCATCCCTAATCATGAAAATAGAACAATGTTAAAAAAAATTCCGTGATCGATCATAAAACATCAGATTTCAGATTCTGTTGAGTACAGAGGTTTCAGAACCATGTGTCTTATTTATGTTTTCTGCACTAATCCCTATTTTGAGTTATTTAGTCATTCATCATTCTCATTTGAACCCAAACGGGCTGTATATATCCTCATGATAACTATGCATAAACTGAAACATTTTGTTTTAATTCTGGCAATGTTGTTACAGAATTGCTCATGAAATCCATTATTTTCATACTCACAAACATCATCAAGAGCAGACCAAATGTCCCTTCCATACCAACAACCTGAAAAACAGAGGAGAGTACAACAGAGGAAATATCTGGACTTGTTTTGGAAGTCAGGCTGGATGTTTGGTACCAAGGTGGGTAAATGGAAATGTGATAGGATGTTTGGCAGTGTGGAAGGGTTTTGGAAGTGATGTAGGATGTTTGGTACCAAGGGTGTATGGAAGTGATTGATTGAGTTAAGTCTTACGCCGCACTCAGCAATATTACAGCTACATGGCGGCAGACTGTAAATAATCCAGTCTGGACCAGACAATCCAGTGATCAACAGCATGAGCATCGATCTACGGAATTGGGATGCAATGATGTGTCAAACAAGTCAGTGAACCTGACCACCCGATCCTGTTAGTAGCCTCTTACGACAAGCATGGGTTACTGAAGCTCAATATTGTAACCCGGACCTTCATGGGTCTTATGAAACTGATGCAGGATGTTTGGTAGCAAGGTGGTCTGGGAGGAAAGCTCTGATCTGGTATTTCTATGCCACATGAGATTATTAATATATGCAAAAAAATAATTAATACAAAATATGTATGCAAGTATATACATTATTGACAGGAAATTCAAAACAAAATACCTGTAAAGGGGGAAAATTTCTTTTCTTCAAAAACAGTTCTTCAATAACCATTTGGCTGGCGCTGACAATCTGACTGGAGACTATCAGGGCAATACCTGAAAGAAGCACCATATCTACCCATAGATGGCAATAATTACTCTCTACCTCTAGATGGACAATAATTACTCACTTTAGCCCAAGATGGGCAATAATTACTCACTCTTGCTCCAGATGGCAATAATTACTATCACTAGTCCTATACAGGCAATAATTACTCACTCTAACCTAGATGGGCAATAATTACTCACTCTAGCCCAAGATGGGCAATAATTACTCTCTAGCCCAAGATGGGCAATAAGTACTCACTCTAGCCCAAGATGGGCAATCATTACCCACTCTACCCCTTGATGGGCAATAATTAGAAATTCATCTTGTTGGAGTCTAGTAAAAATTAGGATAGTGCAGATCCAGTGTGTCAAGTCATCTGAGTTTGTAGCTTGTTGTGCTGCACAAAGCAGGGATTGGGGGATTCTAAACTCAGAAATTTGGCAGGGAAAGTTGGAAAATACTACTTCTAATAGATCTCCAGTGTTGCCAGTCCCTAAAGACTACCAAGATTGAAGTTTAACTACATTCATCTGAAATAGCACACACTACAACGACTGGAGAAATGTTGGTCAAATTCCCTTGCTTTTCTTTTCCATTCGTCTACTGTTTCAGAGATGAAACTATAGTTGATAGAAGATTACAGATTTATGTCATAACAAAACAAGAAACAAGTTTAACATGTGAGTTAAACCACAATGTCTAACCCTGCCTGGAACAAGGTTATGGGCTCAGCTGGGAAGACTGTTTCCCTACCAAGCAGAGTGTTGGATGCCGATGTTCCAGCTTGACTCTTGAAGACACTAGAACATCCCACCAACACCAGACCAAACATCGTCACAATCATCCCAGACCAGTGGATACACGTCAGTTTCCTTTTCAAAAATATTTTCTGAAACATGACACTGATATGAAAATAATATTCAGTAACTAAAAACTGAAAAACATGTATAACATATCTCAAATCTCTTGATGTGAGAGTAGGTCAGTTGAATATAATCCCTGATTGGGGAAGGCAAATAATCCCTGATTGGGGAAGGCAAATAATCTCTGATTGGGGAAGGCAAATAATGCTTGATTGGGGAAGGCAAATAATCTCTGATTGGGGAAGGCAAATAATGCTTGATTGGGGAAGGCAAGTAATGTTTGATTGGGGAAGGCAAATAATCCCTGATTGGGGAAGGCAAATAATCTCTGATTGGGGAAGGCAAATAATGCTTGACTGGGAAAGGCAAATAATCTCTGATTGGGAAAGGCAAATAATCCCTGATTGGGGAAGGCAAATAATCTCTGATTGGGGAAGGCAAATAATGCTTGATTGGGGAAGGCAAATAATCCCTGATTGGGAAAGGCAAATAATGCTTGATTGGGAAAGGCAAATAATGCTTGATTGGGAAAGGCAAATAATCTCTGATTGGGGAAGGCAAATAATCTCTGATTGGGGAAGGCAAATAATACTTGATTGGGAAAGGCAAATAATCTCTGATTGGGAAAGGCAAATAATCCCTGATTGGGGAAGGCAAATAATCCCTGATTGGGGAAGGCAAATAATCTCTGATTGGGGAAGGCAAATAATGTTTGATTGGGGAAGGCAAATAATGTTTGATTGGGGAAGGCAAATAATCCCTGATTGGGGAAGGCAAATAATCTCTGATTGGGAAAGGCAAATAATGCTTGATTGGGAAAGGCAAATAATGGTTGATTGGGAAAGGCAAGTAATCCCTGATTGGGGAAGGGAAGTAATCCCTGATTGGGGAAGGCAAATAATGCTTGATTGGGGAAGGCAAATAATCCCTGATTGGGGAAGGCAAATAATGCTTGATTGGGGAAGGCAAATAATCCCTGATTGGGGAAGGCAAATAATCCCTGATTGGGGAAGGCAAATAATCTCTGATTGGGAAAGGCAAATAATGCTTGATTGGGAAAGGCAAATAATGCTTGATTGGGAAAGGCAAATAATGCTTGATTGGGAAAGGCAAATAATCTCTGATTGGGGAAGGCAAATAATCTCTGATTGGGGAAGGCAAATAATGCTTGATTGGGAAAGGCAAATAATCTCTGATTGGGAAAGGCAAATAATCCCTGATTGGGGAAGGCAAATAATCTCTGATTGGGGAAGGCAAATAATGCTTGATTGGGGAAGGCAAATAATGTTTGATTGGGGAAGGCAAATAATCCCTGATTGGGGAAGGCAAATAATCCCTGATTGGGGAAGGCAAATAATCTCTGATTGGGAAAGGCAAATAATGCTTGATTGGGGAAGGCAAATAATGCTTGATTGGGAAAGGCAAGTAATCAATCAATCAGTTTATTGCATGAAGGCCAGAGGCCCATATACAAAATAAATATGAATGATATGTACAACATATACAACATGCGACATACACGTTACATTGAATCTCTTCTCAATATAAGCATGTGATAAATAAATAGAGCTATCTTATATTGTAATAGGGATGCTTTACATGAAAGTATTGAATACAGTTTTGTAGCATTAATATTTGATTGTAGCAATTGTGGAAAATACAGCTGCCTTAAATCATTATATGCAGGACAAAGAAATAGAAAGTGTAATTCATTCTCTACAGTATTACAAAATGGACAGAACCTTTGTGATTTTATAATAGATGAATATCTCCCTTGATTGATATATAAATCATTTAGGTCAAGTCTCAGGCGTATGAAAACATTACGAAGCATTTTACTACGTAAGTTGTATAGATACGACTCAGGTTCAAGTACAGATATAAACTCATGATAACAATCATATCTTGAACTTTCATATAAAGATGAATGCCAGTCTTGTTTAAAGATATCGATAGCCCTGATACGAAAGTGTTTGATAAATGTATTAACGTCGCCCAGGGTTTGGGATCACCAAACAAATCCAAAGCCGTATCTAACCAAAAGATTACGAATACGGGCCCCAAGTATTTTTACCAATATTATCAAGATGGACAATCATATTGTAGGTTTTTTTGGGCAGACGATGTTCTGGCATATTTATTACTGTCCACCAGTACTTTAAACAGCAAGAGTACGAAATTATGTACACAGGAAATCTCCCACATTCACCGCACACCATATTATTAGGGGTAGACATATCAACATTTAAAAACCTTTTACATGCATGAAGGTGAACCTTTTCAATGGCATAAAATTCCTTATAGCCCCAAATTTCAGACCCATAAAGAAGAATAGGCTGTACTTGGGAATCAAACAATTTGAAAAACATATTGGGACCAACAACCCCCAACTTTGGTATAACAGAGAGCAATTGAAGTAGGGCCCTTTTCCTTCTAAAACAAATCCAGTCTTTCAATGAGACATCTTGAATCAGTACTTCGGTCATAAAATGGAGAATTGACAGGGGGAACATATATACAAACAAGAAATAAGTCATTTGGTAGATTAAATACAGATCTCTGGAATTTCAAACACACTAAATTGTTGATTTCAGTCTTCAGTTCAACACATTTGTTTGCAATGTCCTGTCTCACACATACACACACGCCACCTGAGTGTCTGCCAGATGTGGACAGCTTAGCTGCTGGGGCAAAAAACAATTGGTATCCTGTTAACCAGTTTATATTCATGAAGTCTGTTATGAATGTTTCCAGCAAACATACAACGTGAAATGAATAAAGATAATCAATAAAATCACTGTCATCAAGTTTCTTCAATAGTCCATGACTGTTCCAAGATAAGAAAGTCACATGATTAGTATTACCGGTGTCTATGTTCGTAGTTCCCTCAGTGAAGGGATCTGGGGCCTGGTCTGATTGCTACCTCCTCTTCTGTCCACCGCGCTGAGACTTACTTCTCATTGGTGGTCTCGTTCTCTCGGGTGCCTCCGTTTCGCGTGGAGTTTCTTCATCGCGTGGCCTTGTAATTAGCATTCCATTTTTGAAATATCCTATCAGTTCCCTTTCCTTCGCGTCCTTTAGCTGTTCACGTTGTCTGACAGTGAGATCACTGGATACGCCGTAGCCGTTACACTTCAGTGCTGCTCGAGATTTCAAAATATCAACCTTATCCTCACTAAAACGTAACTTGGCAATGAGCGGTCTTGGTTTTGAACCATCACTACAGGGAGCTGCTAGTCGATGGGCACGGGCGACATCATTATTATTCCATGTTTTAGTCTTTACATTTTCATTCAAGACATCGATCACTTTGGACTTACAATCAGTATGCCTCTCCTCCGCCACGTTGTAGATGATGACGTTATCCCGCCTGCTGAAGGCCTCCAGCTTGTCGAGCTCACTGTCGAACTGGGTGACCTTCTGCTCCATGTTGTCCATCCTCTCCGCATACCAGGCTGACGTCCTCGTTCATGAGTTCTTGGTTGTGACGTACATTGTCCAGGTCGCTTTGAAGATTAGATAACTTCATTTCCAGGTTATCGAAGCGTTTACTCAGGTCTCGGACTTCGGTAGAAAGTGTGGTAATCTGATTTCCAAGTTCATGTTTCACGTTACGCACTTCCTTCAATAGAGTTTCCTTGACTTCTTCAAAATCCTTGTTTAGGGAAGGCAAGTAATCCTTGACTTGGGAAGGCAAGTAATCCTTGTTTAAGGCAGGCAAGTAATCCTTGACTCGGGAAGGCAAGTAATCCTTGACTTGGGAAGGCAAGTAATCCTTGACTGGGGAAGGCAAGTAATCCTTGTTTAGGGCAGGCAAGTAATCCTTGATTGGGGAAGGCAAGTAATCCTTGACTTGGGAAGGCAAGTAATCCTTGATTGGGGAAGGCAAGTAATCCTTGATTGGGGAAGGCAAGTAATCCTTGTTTAGGGCAGCCAAGTAATCCTTGACTTGGGAAGGCAAATAATCCTTGATTGGGGAAGGTAAGTAATTCTTGACTGGGGAAGGCAAGTAATCCTTGATTGGGGAAGGCAAGTAACTCTTGACTTGGGAAGGCAAGTAATCCTTGTTTAGGGCAGCCAAGTAATCCTTGACTTGAGAAGGCAAGTAATCCTTGATTGGGGAAGGCAAGTAATCCTTGATTTGGGGGAAAGGCAAGTAATCCTTGATTGGGGAAGGCAAGTAATCCTTGACTTGGGAAGGCAAGTAATCCTTGATTGGGGAAGGCAAGTAATCCTTGACTTGGGAAGGCAAGTAACCTTGATTGGGGAAGGCAAGTAACCTTGATTAGGGAAGGCAAGTAATCCTTGACTTGGGAGGCAAGTAATCCATCACTGGGGAAGGCAAGTAATCCCTGATTGGGGAAGGCATGCAGTCCTTGACTTGGGAAGGCAAGTAATCCTTGTATGGGGAAGGCAAGTAATCCTTGATTGGGGAAGGCAAGTAATCCCTGATTGGGGGGAAAGGCAAGTAATCCTTGTATTGAGTAGGCAAGTAATCCTTGACTGGGGAAGGCAAGTAATCCTTGTTTAGGGCAGGCAAGTAATCCTTGATTTGGGGGAAAGGCAAGTAATCCTTGATAGGGGAAGGCAAGTAATCCTTGATTTTGGGGAAAGGCAAGTAATCCTTGACTTGGGAAGGGAAGTAATCCTTGACTTGGGAAGGCAAGTAACCTTGATTGGGGAAGGCAAGTAATCCTTGACTTGAGAGGCAAGTAATCCCTCACTGGGGAAGGTAAATAATCCCTGATTGGGGAAGGCATGCAGTCCTTGACTGGGGAAGGCAAGTAATCCTTGTATGGGGTAGGCAAGTAATCCTTGATTGGGGAAGGCAAGTAACCCTTGACTTGGGAAGGCAAGTAATCCCTGATTGGGGAAGGCAAATAATCCTTGATTGGGGAAGGCAAGTAACCCTTGACTTGGGAAGGCAAGTTATCCTTGTTTAGGGCAGGCAAGTAATCCTTGACTTGAGAAGGCAAGTAATCCTTGATTGGGGAAGGCAAGTAATCTTTGATTTGGGGGAAAGGCAAGTAATCCTTGATTGGGGAAGGCAAGTAATCCTTGACTTGGGAAGGCAAGTAATCCCTGATTGGGGAAGGCAAGTAATCCTTGTATGGGGTAGGCAAGTAATCTTTGATTGGGGAAGGCAAATAATCCCTGATTGGGGAAGGCAAGTAATCCCTGATTGGGGAATGCAAGTAATCCCTGATTGGGGAAGGCAAGTAATCCTTGATTGGGGAAGGCAAGTAACCTTGATTGTGGAAGGCAAGTAATCCCTGATTGGGGAAGGCAAGTAATCCTTGATTGGGGTAGGCAAATAATCCCTGATTGGGGAAGTCAAATAATCCCTGATTGGGGAAGGCAAGTAACCTTGATTGGGGAAGGCAAGTAATCCCTGATTGGGGAAGGCAAGTAATCCTTGATTGGGGTAGGCAAGTAATCTTTGATGGGAGCAAGGCAAGTAATCCTCGATTCGGGAAGGCAATTAGTAATAAATATTTTAACCATCCAACATGTTTGAAAACTTTATACCAAGTCATAAAAAGGCCAAATTACTCCTGCCTCTATGCATAGCTGTTACCATGGCTACCTGGCGATGTCAATCACTGGACCTACCGACAGAATCCCTGCAAATATGATGATGGACCCTCTGAGCATCTGCCAGACTGAGGCGTCCACATACAGGAGGCCGATCCCTGCAACACAACTGTCTCTGTTTCAGCTTGAATGTGCAAGGTCTGGCCTGGTCTTATGAAGCCTCTCTTTAAAAAAATCAACTTCATGGAATTGTTTTCATCATTGCCAGACATTGCTGACTGACTTTGAGCTCTTTTCATAGACTGGTTCCCTGGCAATATGTGCACTGCATTACTTTTATCACACAAAGCAACATATATTTGCTTAATTCATTCTATTTTTTTATGTACTTCTGTTGTATTTGATGGCATTGGTTCTTGTTAAAGTGTTCAATCTTCACATCTAACACCCAGATGGCTGGGATATTGATAAAAGTGGTGTAATTTCCTTAACATGCTCACTCCCATCTGTAACCTAATCATTAATAACATAGAATGGAAAATTACCAGCTAGTGATGTCCCGAAAAGGTCACACAAGGTCGGCACAATCAGAATAAATTCAAAAACTCTGCAATGAAAATTATGGCATGAATAGACACTTTGTAAATATATTCAGGTATTCCTTTCAGACTTTGACTGAAATCCTTATAGATAATGTTCTAGACATACAATCATTGCTAACAATGTCTCAGACACTATGAATCTAGTATAGCAGTGACATTCAAATAATTTCCTACATTCTAAAACATTTACTTAATCTTCATTTCACAAGAATAACAAAATAAGGCAAATCTAGGCTCAGATACACAACTGGCATCTACTGTAACTACCCCATCTTCCAACCTATATAGGGGCGGGTGGGGTAGCCTAGTGGTTAAAGTGTTGGCTCGTCATCCCGTGGGGTTCAAATCCCCACATGGGTACAATGTGTGAAGCCCATTTCTGGTGTCCCCCTGCTGTGATGTTGCTGGAATATTGCTAAAAGCAGCATAAAACCAAACTCAGTCAGTCAGTCAGTCCAACCTATATAAAAGACCGGTTTTTAATCTTGCTACTGCAAAATTACTTTGCTGTGTTTAATCATACTTGCCTAAGAGATGACTATCACAAATGTCATTATTCTAGTCAGAGAACATTTTACAAACTCGACATCTGAGTTCCAAAAACCTGCTCACTGTAAGGACCACAGGCACTGACAATAATAATAAAGGAATTTCCAATGAAACTATTTTAGAAAATTAAGAGAAGAAAAAACATATTCAAAGTGGTTTAAAGTTTCCAATCAACTTGGCCAAGTACTTTTAAATATTTGACTGCAAACGTAATTCTTTTATCTCAACAATGACTGAATCCTCATTGCAGTGAGAGAGACTTAGTGCTGTATTAGATGTCCCCCAACAGTGTGTGCCGTGTTACTTGATACTACTTGGTCAGCGTGCCTTTGTCAGAGGTACAGATAAGCTGCGTATCTGCGTAAATTATGCAAATATTTATATGAAAACTCAATTCCTATTAAGTCTATTGCGTACAAGTACGCTTGAATTTTTGTAAATACCCAGTAAATGTGATCTTACATGCGTACACAACTTTATTATATTTTTACAATTAATGGAAAATGGCAAAATACTCAATTGTGTTTGAGTGAGGTGAGTATAATTTGTTTGGTTACTCAAAGGAAAATTAGGATACCCAATTGAGATGAGGGAGTACATAACTCAATGACCAATAATGTTATCTGTACCTCTGCTTTGTTGCTGTAAGAGTGACCTGCTGTTCAGAATGTTTCCCGGAACTTGTGCCGGTAGTCTACTATGTCTACTGCCTATTGAACCTAGAGACAGTCTCACCTTTTCTGTTGTAGAGGACGAATGGGAGCTTGAGGAAGTGTCTGGCTCGTCACCTAAAGTACATATATGTTGTTCAACACAAAATGTCATCTGTGCAAGTATCTTGTAGGAATGTTACTAGTCCCAATAGCCACCCCATGGAATAGAATAGAAATATATAAATATATAATGAAACTGTAAACAATTGATAACTGAAGTTCCGATATTGTAGAAAACGATGATCTTGACATTTCATTTGGAGTAATAATAGTAATTATTATTTAATATATTAACTGCAATCACACAATTTCACACCAGTTCTCATCTACATACCTCTTTTGCATATGCAATTCTTTCTCTTCTTCTGATGACACATAAACCAAACAGACAAAACATTTCACCTGAAACAACACGGACACATCATGCTAACAACATAAAAAAAAATAGTACAAATTTAAGCAGGCCTAAAATTCCAATATCCCATTATTTTCCAAATTAAAATTAATCTGTTGATAACAATGTGCATGACATATACACTACACAATAGAGCTGTGACGATATATTATATTGTAGCTAAAATACATGGAATTATCATGAAACGGCACTCCCATTATCAGAAATTTGCGTGCCTCTGCAAATGATATTGGACCGCTCAACCTTAACGACGGGCCACTATCAGTTCTGTTGTCAAGTGACATCATAGTGGGTGCGTGGGCTTAAGGTTCATTCGACATTGGCTTTGGACAGGCAGATATTCTGGTTCAAACAAGTCAAAGCAACCCGAATTCCCGCTTTAAATAGCGGTAATATTGGCTTTCTTGCTGGTGCTAACCTTAACAATTGCACTATTAATGTTGTTGTTGGACCAAAACCGAACACTGACATAGTTTGACATGTTGCAGGCTATGTTCTTGTCAAAGGCCAAGGTCGAATATCGTCACTTTCTGTTGTGACGTCACTGAATTGTTCGATGACGTAATTGCATTCGGGCAGTCAACCCCGTCAGAAGTTGGTTTTGAGTAAACTTACAGTCAAATTCCTTCATTGTTTCCTTTTTCTTTTCAACACAAATTCCATGTATTTTTAGCAATAATAATGGTAATGCTCCTTCGTCGGGCAGTTAATAGAAGACCTCGAGCTTCTGCAAATGATAATGCCCTAAAAAATAGCATTACCCTTATAATATCGACTATCGTGATATTATATCTGATAATGAATATATCAATACTTTTACGTATTGTTGACATTAAAATGGTTCATTTTCACTAGAAATTGACAGTTATGTCAAAATTTACACTGTTGCTTGCTATCAAAATACACCTTAAAATACATAATAACTACAGATAGCATATCACGATATGCATCGAATCAAATCATATGATTCCAAGATATCGTGATACGAATCGTATCATGAAATGTCTGTAACGTCACACCTCTACTACACAAAACCTATTATAAATGACCACAAGTGAAGGCACTGTGACAGCTGGGTGTTCCTTAACCTATTGAGTACTCTTTAAAACACCTGGTACATCTGTCCAGGAGTTGAACTGATCATCATCCCCTCCGCTGTATGAGATGCCTATTCCTCCAACACAGTAATGTGAGTGAGTGAGTGAGTGAGTGAGTGAGTGAGTGAGTGAGTGAGTGAGTGAGTGAGTGAGTGAGTGAGTGAGTGAGTGAGTGAGTGAGTGAGTGAGTGAGTGAGTGAGTGAGTGAGTGAGTGAGTGAGTGAGTGAGTGAGTGAGTGAGTGAGTGAGTGAGTGAGAATGAATTAATGCGTGCAGCAGCATCACAACTAGCGGTACCAAGAGATGTTTCCTGTTATGGGAATCAAACCAGTGTTTTCAGCATGAAAGCCAAAGATTTCAGCCACAAGACAAGGTAACCACACCCAAATAATGTTTAAACGGCATTATGTTAAAGTTTGTCACCTCTGACAAGCCTAAAGTTATAATCAGCAACTTGATGCCAAGTTCATTTACAAGATGTAGTTATAAACACAAACCCATGGGAACCATTATAAATGTTTTACTAGTATTTAACCATTAACCATTATGATATGTTTTATGCATTGATCAGCATGATCAGGCAAGATGAAAAAGTATCTCCTTATTCAATTCATTTTGTGTCAAGTTATAATTTCTCAATTATTTTTGTTCAGATTATTGTACTCTCTAAGTAAATGACACAGGTAAGGCTTACCTAAAAGAAAAACACTGTGGCTTCAGGTTTTACATTGTCAATGATTGTTAAGCAGAGGAAAGCCTTTGCCTCTTGCAACAAAGCTGAAGGTCCAAGTCAGTCCGCTCACTGATAATGCATAGCACTCACCTATAAACATGATGAAGGTCTGAAACCAGGGGTGGTCAAAGTCATGTGGTGTTGTTGTACTGTTGGCACTTCTGTCTGGGTATCCTGGGGCACTGACACACAAGAGACATAGAAGACAGTGAGTGAGTGAGTATAGTTTTACACCGCACTCAGCAATATTCCAACTATATGGCGGCAGTCTGTAAAAAATCAAATCTGGACCAGACAATCAAGTGATCAACAGCATATGCATCGATCTACGCAACTGGGATATGATGACATGTGTCAGCGAGCCCGGTCACCTGATCCCGTTATTCACCTCTTATGACAAACATGGGTTACTGAAGAACAATTCTAACCCGGATCTTCACAGGTACATATAAGACAGGAATAAACGTAAACACATTTGAAGACAGGGGAATGATGTATAAATTCAATTGTATTGAAGATCTGGCAATACTTTATGAATATATTAGTAGTACTAATGACAGGGCATATCAAAATTAATTTAAAATACTGAACTAGTATTGAAAATCATGAATGCATTCAAAATTTAAATTGCATTTGTGTCTGCTGCTGATGTGATGTCTGATTGTGTATGTTGCATTCGACCACATCTAACATGTCAAACTATTATTTATTATATTCTTAAGGGTGAAATGCTGTAAATATTGGTGAAAATAAAAATGGAATGTTCACGGAGTAGAATAACATGTTATTTCACTGAGTAGAATATCCCTTTTGCCTGGAACTAATAATAATAAAATAATAATAAAATGCAGACTTACTTGATGTCTCGGTCATTTATAAACAATTATCAAAATAGAATAAATAGAATATTTAGTTAATGTTGTCAGATAATATGTAGATCATCGAGTGGTCTGACAAAGTTGATATGTTCACTTGTGGCTGCGCCTCTATATAATACTAGCTTGGAATAATTCTGTGAAATACCAATAAGATTTACTTGTTAAAACCAGAGACCATATAATCTATTATATATACAGAAAACAAAAATGTTACCCAAGTCACAATTCTAAAAAACCAATACGTTGATATATAAAGAAAAGAAAAATCACTTACATTTTTGTTCTAACTTTTCAATGAATACCTACTGGAATTTGACAGAATCTTCCCATACTTGTATGATAGTAAACATGTTGTTCTACTAGGGATAACTATGTACGGGGAATGTATTTACGGGTTGACTGAAACAGACAGTGAAACAAGCTTGTCATGCGAGATACATAGTGTCATCAAAAAGAAGGTTGTGAAACAAAAATAAAAACATCACTTTGTACGGAAGAGGCGTGTGAGGAGAATATTACGTCAACACGTCAAGTAAACTAATCTGTAAGTGGAAAGGTGCACTATTGTCATTCCTTCACCAAACGTGAAATGGATTTAAAGACATACACACAATCATTCTGTGCTTTTTTACTGATCGTGTTTATGCTACCAGTAACAAGCATCCCAATCATGAGAGCTATCTGCATACAGGACAGCGCCATTTTGAAAAGTGATCATGTGACTACAAAACAATCACGTGATTCGCGTTGATACCGAATGCGTTGTCAAGCACTAATGGTTACATTTCACAGAATTAGGCAAATGCCCGTACAGTTACAATTTCGAGAGATTCAAGCGCATTCAAAGTATGTCTCTCAAACAAATAATATAACAACATTTTAAAAATTGCAGTATGTACAAACATATATAAGCGACATAAAGGTTTTTGGAAACATCTATCACTGTTTAAACTAAGCTTTTTTTCAAGGAATCTCATTGTTGTACTTCTATGGCCAATTTAAATATATTTTTTTGCAAAGTATTTCGCAATAAGCAAATTGTTGAGGGAAGCTATTACACTGTTTTGTTTAATATGTTTTGTGTTTCACGAAAACCTTGAAAAATGGAACCTATTTAGGAATCAATTAATCTCGCAGTTGCACTTCTATGATCATTTTAATATACTTTTTTTCAGAAAGCATTTCATCATAAGGAAATAGTTACCGGAAGCTATTACATTGTTACGTTTAATATGTTGTGTTTCACGAAAAGCACCTTTTGTACTTCGCTTTAATAAATAGTACCTCGTTCAGTTTTCTGTTAAACCCACAAATTCATCGACCCCTTTGATAAACATAATACTGCGTATATTGTACAGCACCACACCAAATGTACTGATGTTCAAAGTGTAAATGAAACACCTAAATGCAACAGATACACTCACTGACAAATACAATTATACCAATGTGTTTATATAAATGTTTGATATTTTTGGAGTATGTTATATATTTTGTGCTGCGATCGTTGTGGCGTTGCAGGGTGATCTATCGTCAAATCCCTGCATCGTTGACCTAAGAATACCTGCTTAACCCGTTCACATACATGTACAGATTCACTGAGCATAATTGCACCCCACAGTCGGGCCAGAATCCGAGGAGACTGGTTCGGTTCTCATATATTAGCCCTGATTACGATTCTTTTCTGTAATCGACATGATATTCCTGAGTCCCTGTTAGTCCCATGTAGATGAGATTGTCCCTGTTGCAGTAAGGAAAAGTTAGATTCAGAAACTATTGTCATTCATGTTGATATTGATAGTAAGTTTAATCATATACACATGTATAGGTTTAAGTCTTATGGAGGCATTATTTACGTCGACATTCATTCATTCACTCACTCACTCACACGCTGTACTAAACCATGAAAACAATAATATCATGAAATCAAGACAAAACTTAAGTAAGCAAAAACAACGTACACTTTACATTACGACAGACGTAGACAGACCCAGAGTATTTAGTTCGTGTCCTGATTATAGCTCTTGGTCTGTCCACGAGCTTGTGACGTGCTGGTAAATGTCATGGACCTTCCCTATTTCGGAATTTCCTTTCTCATCAAGCTGATCGTTTGGAATACTGTCAAACGTGGGAGCTCGCGAGAATGTCCCTTGCAGTATTCCATATGACCGACTGTAAAGTAAGTGAAACACTGTTCAAACAGTGTCAACTCTCTCTCCTTAATTCCATGACATTACATAACATGTGAAAGAAATGACATTCCAAAAGCAGGGCACAAATCGATCACATTGAAGTTAGATAGGTTACCTCTGTGAACGTACTGCACGTACTGCGCGTACTGTGGTCCCGTATCTGACAAACAGATCTAACTTAATGACACTGCCTTGGAGGACGTTAGATAAGGATATTGTTTACCCACCTGAGATATCGAAAGAGTAAATTGCTGAACACTTTGAAATATTGATTTGAAAGTTGAAATATTTGAACACTAGCTTTTCTTCCTCATTCTTGCAGGTGTGGTGGGACCTTCTGATAGGACGAGCTTATCGTATCATTCTTGATCATTGCACTTATATAGCTCAGTCCAGACTTGTACCGGTTTTACAGTGCAAGCTCTTTGAGATACCATTAACAAGGACACCCCGCCCTCACACAGTGTACCTTACTCCGAGTCGACTAGTCCATATTTTACCCTGTGAATGAGTGAGTTTCGCTTTACGTCGCACTCAGCAATATTCCAGCTATATGGCGGCGCAATTGGGAACCGATGACATGTGTCAACCAAGTCCGCGAGCCTGACCACCCGATCCCGTTAGTCGCCTCTTACAAGCATAGTCGCCTTTTGTGGCAAGCATGGGTTGCTGAAGACCTATTCTACCCCTGATCTTCACGGGTCCCAGACAGGGTAACAAGAAGCACCATCATTTAACGTCTATTGGCATGATGCAGCAGAGATCGAACCATCGACCTGCGTCACTGTGGGGAGACGTTCTATCCTTTAAGCCACGGAGGCATAGCACTCGTATAACTGTGGTTAACATGAGTGAAAAGGGGCCGATTTGTCTAACTTCAAATGAAATCCAAGTCAGAGTAAGTTTGAGACCCAAGAATTTAGTAACATATGCTTATATATTACAAAACGTGCTGCCACAAAAGCCCCAAGTTCAGTTTTAAAATTATCCTATGCATTTAGTGTTGTCAGAAGCCCCGTTAAAAAACTTGTTGAGACAAAATCATGCACGGCACACAAGTTATTTGGACATACGCGCGTTCGTTTGGAGCATGATACTCACACACGTAAGTTTTGAATGAAAACAGCCTCTAATTAATTTTTTCCACGTTATCAAGTGTCCGCAAAAACACTTTAGTAACCGCCATGACGCACCGCAATGCCGCCACACTGCCGGAAACCACTGTCTAGGCGCTGTGAGTATGCTGCAAAAATGAATGATGCCAAACGGAGCTGCAAGATAATTCAAATGTTCATCGAAACTCAGTGCATCTTTTTGGAGACGTTATCTACAGGACAGCACCGATGACCATTTGGTAGAGGCCAGGTAGTGGGAGAACATCAAGCATCTGGCCCCACGTCCAGCGACACCTCCGATTTCACTACAAAGTCACAATCAAGCAGGCCTCCATGTAGAAAACAAAACTTGCATAGCATACATTTCACAGTTTAATCCACGTTTCATCTGGACAGCTCTGATGGCCGTGCAAGGGTTTTGTGGGTGACCGGGAGTGAGTGACTATATGGGTTTTCGCTGCTTTTAGCAATATCACCGAGGGGGACACCAGAAATGGGCTTCAGGTATTGCAATCTAAGTGAGTTTATTGGAAGAGAGTGCTAAAAAAGATGACTTCAGTAAATCAAATTCCTTAATTATTTAATTATTTTTTGGGGGTAAGAAATCCACATTATGGAACTGATTTTGTGTGTTAATTCTCCAAATGTATATGCAAGCAGTAGTTGAATGAAATTGTCCATCTATCCCATTACAAAATGATTTGTCTGTTAAGTCGAAAAAGTGATCTTACTGTTTGGTGTGTTAAGTATGGGAACATATTTGTTGTTGCAGTGTTAGTGAGTGAGTTTCTTGGAGTGTCAGCCTGAAGTGATGCAGGTGCTAGACCTTTACCACATTGGTGGAACCCTCCAGCATGGGTATGGTGGAACCCTCCAGCATGGGCACAGTGGAACCCTCCAGCATGGGCACAGTGGAACCCTCCAGCATGGGCACGGTGGAACCCTCCAGCATGGGCATGGTGGAACCCTCCAGCATGGGCACGGTGGAACCCTCCAGCATGGGTATGGTGCCCACCAGTCTAGAAACATACCCGGTAACTGAGGCAAATCCCATGTGATACACTGGGATGGAGTATGATAGCACATTCAGTTAGCCCTTACAGCATGGATGATATAAATTATTAACATGGTTGTCTATATACATAATAAATGTCAACCAATGCAAATAGTTGCATTCAGTATTTCAGTGTAAGAAAAACATTGTTATCCTTTCTTTTATTCAGTTTCACTGAAAACATTGCTTCCAGAGACCATGCAAATGATTATTACATCACTACATGAGTACTTTCTTCATACTCACTAAATGATTCAACAATGTTCAATAGGTACAAAATATACAAGTATATGAAAATGTCACAATACACAGAATGAGATTGATCAATGGATGAATGACTCTTCTGGTCATGAAACAATTGTCTATTGTCTTGAAAACCTTTTTCAAAGCTCTGTCTGTAAGCTTTACAAATTGAAAATGTTTCACATATCATGTCATTGGCATGTAAAGGAATTTCTCCACACTGGTTGTTCAGATTAACCTTGATCATTTCAAGGGTCGTGACAAGGAAAGTCTGAGAAACGGTAACTAAACAACCTTCACTTCCGTGGAACAATGCCAGGTCACACATTTGATGTACATTTGATGTCTAATCACATGGATGAACTTTGACCTTGATCCATGCCATTACAGTGACCTTGACCATCCCACAATGAAATGTTTCCAAGGTAACCAGTGCATGAACTGCTCACATCCGTCCTCCAATTCTCTCTGTTTCCTCCTTTCGTGAGCCTCCCACATCTGTTCAGGTTTGAAGCCTCTGCATTTTCACACTGGATGAAGAATGCTGGAAACTGTGGTATTACGTCCATTATTTCCAAAAATGACAAACCCAGGTAATAAGTTAATGCCAGTTTGACAATATAATATTTCATCCTGAAGTCAGTTTAGCCATTAACATGTCCATCTTGCTGGCGAAGTTTCTCCCTTCTAGTCTGTCCAGATTGATAGCTTTAAACTGCCCGCCAAGGTTGTACCATTTGGGGTCTGTGACGGGCGACGACTTGTTGTACTCGCAGGGGTCAAGGTTCTTCAATGAAAGCGATAGCCCACTTGATGGGCCACTCTTTAAGGCAAGAACTCTGGAAGAACAGGGCTAAGGTGTTAGTGATTTTATCTTTTTCATTTGTTTAATGCTGCACTCGGCAATATGCACACTGAATAATGGCGGTCTTTAAATAACCAAATCTAGACCAGACTTTCCAGTGACAATATAAGCATCATTCTACTAACTCAGTATACCATGACATGCAACTGCATGGTGAGCAGTCTGACTACCCGGTGCCATTAGGACACTGTTACGGCTTGAAGACTGACAGGGATATGGAAGAGCAGATAACTGTTTACACTCACATACCACGATCAGTCTGGATTATATAAAACAAATCTGGCAAGTTCTATTCCAAATCAGTATAAAATAATATGAATTTTAGTGGAAACATATGTCTTGTGTAATGACACATGACTGTGTACTAGTCTAACGTTTCACCTGCATTTTCTGTTTGTCCATGTGTTTATTTCATAAGATAGTCAGGTGGTGTCATTTTGTGCCACATCCAGTGATATCACACCTGATTTGAGCCTGGAGCTGTAATAGCTATGGGACTTCAGGGTACACTGAAAGCTAGGTCATCATTTACCAGGGCTCTCACCTCAATAAACAGAGTAGATAACAAAAGGAGTCGACTGTTTTCAGTACCATGCTGACTCAACAAAATATTACTATACTTTGAGGTGATGTTAAAGTGGTTATGAGAGCTACCAACCTGTGAGTGAGTGATTTTAGTTTTACGCTGCACTCAGCAATATTCCAACCATATGGCGGCAGTCTGTACATAATCGAATCTGGACCAGACAACCCAGTGATCAACAGCATGAGCATCGATTGGCACAGTTGGGAACCGATGACATGTGTCAACCAAGTCAGCAAGCCTGACCACCCAATCCCGTTAGTCACCTCTTACGACAAGCATGGGTTACTGAAGATCAATATTCTAACCCGGACCTTCATGGGTAGCTACCCACCTATCTCCCTTGGGAGAAGCAAACATAATGGAGCCGCGGTGCCAAATGTCTCCATGTCTCCGGATCCAATGCCGCCGCTGAGAGACAGCAGCATCCAGCCCTGGAACTTGACCAGCTGCTGTACCACCAGGACGTGGAACTGTGACACCTGAACAGGGGACACATCAGTTAATGTGCTGATTGCATAGAATACATATCACGTTGTGTCAGCTTGATCTGAATGATGTAATTGCTTCCTTTCTCCACTCTGGTGACCCCACGAGCACTGGTCTAGTGCAAGGTTCAATATCACACACTGGGATTCCAACACAAAACATCATGAAGAGTATAGAAGGAACCTCAAAAGATCTTTCTTATTAGCATAATGTCAAAGACAATTATTCTATGTGACTGAAGATTCAAAGACTACGTGAGTAAACTTCAAGGGCTCCTGACCTCCTTTATATGAAACATGGGCCATATTATCAGAACCTTGTCAACAAGAAATGCAATTCCTGCACGAGATCCCTTCATGGTACCAATTCATGAGCTGAAATTCCAAATCATAGGACCAAGCTGTACTTGCAAGACAGGAACCTAATGTAACACCATTTAACATATTTTCACTTTCAAGTCATATCTGTTTGAATAACTGTAAGAACAATTAGCCTTGTGTAAGACAGGCCTTCACGATACACACACCAGCCCTGATATTTGAATTCTCTTAACACAGGTGTTACACAGAAAACAACATAAAGTTTTTACCTGCCAGTGGATCAGATCCTTCAGCTCCTTGTCTTCAAACGACAGCGTACACGTCCGCCCATCTTTCAATATCACCTGGATGGAGTCCACTCCGATCACAAGGCTGAGGTGTGTCCTACAAACGTCATCAAACCAATCATTAAACTCAACAGAGATGTTCAAGTACATCAAACCAACCCTACCATGGTGACATGACCAAGATGACTAGTTCCAATATTCAAACGAGCAAATAAATAAACACTTCCTGGTACCCCAAATAATTCAGCTTTTCCAGTTAGTGACATTACCGGTCTTACCCGAAATTGTCATGAAAACCGAAACACTGTCTGCCCTGCCCTCAACACTGACTCCCTCTTGATACTGACTTGCCCACAACACTGTCTGTGATGATCTTGATACTGTCTGCCCTGCACTTGACACTGTCTTATCTGCTCTGATCTCGACACTGTCTGCCCTGATCTCGACTGTCTGCCCTGATCTCAACACTATCTGCCCTGATCTTGACACTGTCTGACCTGATCTCGACACTGTCTGCCAGATCTCGACACTGTCTGCCCTGATCTTGACACTGTCTGACCTGATCCCAACACTGTCTGACCTGCCCTCAACACTGTCTGACATGCTCTCAACACTGTCTGACCTGCACTCAACACTGTCTGACCTGCCCTCAACACTGTCTGACATGCCCTCAACACTGTCTGACCTGCACTCAACACTGTCTGACATGCCCTCACCACTGTCTGACATGCCCTCAACACTGTCTGACCTGATCTCAACACTGTCTGACCTGATCTCAACACTGTCTGACCTGATCTCAACATTGTCTGACATGCCCTCAACACTGTCTGACCTGCACTAAACACTGTCTGACCTGCCCTCAACACTGTCTGACATGCCCTCAACACTGTCTGACCTGATCTCAACACTGCTGTCCTGATCAAGACACTGTCTGACCTGATCTCAACACTGTCTGACATGCCCTCAACACTGTCGGACCTGATCAAGACACTGTCTGACCTGATCCCAACACTGTCTGACATGCCCTCAACACTGTCTGACCTGATCCCAACACTGTCTGACCTGATCTCAACACTGTCTAACCTGATCTCAACACTGTCTGACCTGATCTCAACACTGTCTGACCTGCACTCAACACCGTCTGACCTGCCCTCAACACCGTCTCACCTGCCCTCAACACCGTCTGACAAGCCCTCAACACTGTCTGACCTGATCCCAACACTGTCTGTCCTGATCTCAACACTGTCTGACCTGATCTCAACACTGTCTGACCTGCACTCAACACTGTCTGACCTGCGCTCAACACTGTCTGACCTGCCCTCAACACTGTCTGACCTGCCCTCAACACTGTCTGACCTGCCCTCAACATTGTCTGACATGCCCTCAACACTGTCTGACCTGATCCCAACAGTCTGACCTGCACTTGACACTGTCTGACCTGCACTCGACACTGACCCCCTCTTAAAACTGTCTGCCCTGATCACGACACTGTCTGACCTGCACTCAACACTCTCCCCCTCTTAACACTGACTGCCCTGATCACAACACTGTATGACCTACCAATGAGTACCATCAACACAGTCTGTTGGACCTACTCCAGATACTGCCCAACCAACCTGACGCTGTCCTACCTACCCCCAAATCATTTATCATCATCCCGACCAACCTGACACTCTCGTAGCCATATGAAGTTATGTTGATGCGGACACTTGACTGCAGACTGTTGTTCAGGCAGTTCCAGTGTGCAGTGATCTGGGGGTCTTGAATCGACACAGCAAGTTCATCTATCAAATGCATCGTTCTGAAATAACAAACCAAACATAAAATCAAAACTGTACAGGGGTGGAAATAACCCATTGCCTGACGCCCGAGTCCAGTGTTTTTTTATGTCGGGCAAGCAAATTTGTATATCACACTGTACCGGAGTCCAGTTGACTTTCCAATGTTAATTATGTTGTTTATTTAAAAAATCAACAAGAAAATCGGTTAGTATAGTGGAAAAATTATCAAGGCAAGTGATTTTACTTGTGCCACTGTACCGGAGTACACTAGCAATTTTAAAGTTATTTCCACCCCAGCTGTAAAATCCCTTTTAAGATCTCAATATCAGATATTGATCCTAATAGTTCTAGCTATTCATGCAACCAAACAAAATGTTTCTACAAAATGTGAAGAGTTCAGCCACGCTCCTCACCTGACTCGTAGCACAGCATGTTTGGTCTGCTTGATGATCTGCTCCAACAGGGTGTCACTGAGAAGGAAACAAATCACAACATATCAATCACAACCCTGGCTTATTTCTCAACAATGATTGTGTCTCGTCCTCCACTATTCTGCAAACCTTGCTCTTGTTTCATATGTAGTTAATCTGCATTCAGCAATGTGACAGATATATGACAACAATTTGTACACTATCAGTTCAGAACCAAACGATCCAGTGATTGGCATCATCAGCATCAATCTCCACAACAGGGATAGGACAACATGCAGCAACCAAGTCACTGAGTTTCACCACCCAATCCTGTTTGCCTCTTGCGACAAGTATGGTTGCTGAAGAGCAATTCTAACCTAGATTTTCATTTCATCAGGTGTACCAGGACCAAGAATTGTGTGTAATGGTGGACTTCTGCTGGTGACAATGACACCACAGTGTTTACTCTTACTCCTAACACATATCTTGTACTACAAAACAGTATCAGAAAGGACAAAACCCAGGGAAATGGAAAACAAACTAAAGTTAAACTTAATACTGACATCAATAAGAATTGCAGTAAGCAAACATGAGGTACATGACAATATTGTATCATAACAACCAACCACACATGAACAAAGTAAGTTGAAAAGAAGCTGATATCCTATGATCTACATTTTTAACTACAGTTGATTATGGATTTGCTTTGAGCAATATTCCAGCTATGTGACAGTATGCTCCACAATAACAGGGATCCACACATGAGAACAGAAAACGCAGAGAATAGAAAACTGGCATTCAGCATTATGAGCTCAAAAACAAGACATGTTAATGGTGTCAGTCTAAATATCAGTAATGATCAGCTTTTATGGGATGTAGAATTATCAATCACATAACATTTACACTGAATGATAATGCAAACATCATCCAAGCCTTATTGCGGTAATAAGCCCACCTTGATCGGCCATATCGTGCTGCCATCTGTATGAGTTCTCCACGTGTGACGCCCTGAGGTCCGGCCAGTCGTCGCCGCTTCGTCATACCAAGCGTGGCAAACATGGGGTGTGGTGGATCAAGGTTGACGTTGTGGTAGTGGACCTCTCGCAGGAGTTGGTGCAATGAGTGCTCCAGGACGTGGTTGTGCTCCAGCTTCTGAGGTGACAGAGGCATCTACACAACACCACAGAAAGGACCTTAACTCCCTGGTCCACACTGCCTACAGGTGTACAAGCTAAGGGTGTACTAACTCCCTGGTCCACACTTCCTACAGGTGTACAAGCTACAGGTGTACTAACTCCCTGGTCCGCACTGCCTACAGGTGTACAAGCTACAGGTGTACTAACTCCCTGGTCCACACTTCCTAGAGGTGTACAAGCTAAGGGTGTACTAACTCCCTGGTCCACACTGTCAACAGGTGAACAAGCTACAGGTGTACTAACTCCCTGGTCCACACTGCCTACAGGTGTACAAGCTACAGGTGTACTAACTCCCTGGTCCACACTGCCTACAGGTGTACAAGCTAAGGGTGCACTAACTCCCTGGGCCTGGATTTTCGAAGCTCTCTTAGCGGTAAGATAGTCGTAAGTTAATGTTAATGTATGGCACTTACGACCATCTTATCGCTAAGAGAGCTTCGAAAATCTAGGCCCTGGTCCACACTGCCTACAGGTGAACAAGCTACAGGTGTACTAACTCCCTGGTCCACACTGCCTACAGGTGTACAAGCTACAGGTGTACTAACTCCCTGGTCCACACTTCCTACAGGTGTACAAGCTACAGGTGTACTAACTCCCTGGTCCACACTGCCTACAGGTGTACAAGCTACAGGTGTACTAACTCCCTGGTCCACACTGCCTACAGGTGTACAAGCTACAGGTGTACTAACTCCCTGGTCCACATTTCCTACAGGTGTACAAGCTACAGGTGTACTAACTCCCTGGTCCACACTGCCTACAGGTGTACAAGCTACATGTGTACTAACTCCCTGGTCCACACTGCCTACAGGTGTACAAGCTACAGGTGTACTAACTCCCTGGTCCACACTTCCTACAGGTGTACAAGCTACAGGTGTACTAACTCCCTGGTCCGCACTGCCTACAGGTGTACAAGCTACAGGTGTACTGAACTCCCTGGTCCACACTTCCTACAGGTGTACAAGCTACAGGTGTACTAACTGCCTACAGGTCCCTGTACTGAACTCCCTGGTCAGGTGTACTGAACTCCCTGGCCTACAGGTGTACAAGCTACAGGTGTACTAACTCCCTGGTCCACACTTCCTACAGGTGTACAAGCTACAGGTGTACTAACTCCCTGGTCCACACTGCCTACAGGTGTACAAGCTACAGGTGTACTAACTCCCTGGTCCACACTTCCTACAGGTGTACAAGCTACAGGTGTACTAACTCCCTGGTCCACACTGCCTACAGGTGTACAAGCTACAGGTGTACTAACTCCCTGGTCCACACTGCCTACAGGTGTACAAGCTACTGTACTAACTCCTGGTCCACACTGCCTACAGGTGTACAAGCTACAGGTGTACTAACTCCCTGGTCCACACTGCCTACAGGTGTACAAGCTACAGGTGTACTAACTCCCTGGTCCACACTTCCTACAGGTGTACAAGCTAAGGGTGTACTGAACTCCCTGGTCCACACTGCCTACAGGTGCACTTAACTTCCTGGTCCACACTGCCTACAGGTGTACTTAACTTCCTGGTCCACACTGCCTACAGGTGTACTTAACTCCCTGGTCCACACTGCCTACAGCTGTACTTATCTATCTAGTCGAGAGTGCCTACAGGTGTACTTAACTCCCTGGTCTACACTGTCTACAGGTGTATAAGCTAGAGGTGTACTTAACTCTCTTGTCCACAGTGTCTACAGGTGTATAAGCTACAGGTGTACTTAACTCCCTGGTCCACAGTGTCTACAGGTGTATAAGCTAGAGGTGTATTTAACTTGCTAGTTCACAGTGGTACAACCTGGATTCAGTTATCCTCATTTATTACTTGTATGTCAAGATCTTTTACTTCAACATGATATTTTGTATACAATGCTGTCTTATCAGCATATCAGTTTCATGGAGCAATTCAATAGATTTTGAAAACAAATATGTACCTGACCATCCCCATTCTCAAAATTATGTTCAAGAATCATGGCATACACAAAGAAACATCCTTCTTGTGGCTGCCTGGTATATTTCTAAAGTCAATGCATGTCATATATCTCACAGTGTCTCACACATTTTTAAGAGTAGTAGTAGAGTGGGGGTTTTGCATTAGATGCGGCTTAGAGGCTTATTTGTGGGAATTAAGCCTCCCAGCCCCCCTTAAAAACGGCGATGGTTTGTCGAGAGGCATCCTTCGATGTGCCAAGATAGAAAGATAGAAAGGTTAAAAAAGTAGCAACACGTCCCCGGCAGCCGCAATTCCCCAAGGGATGAAATCGAAAGATTGATGGTTGCGCATTTTCCCCCAAGGGGAATTGCGTCCGCTGCCTTTCTCTCGCCATGAGAGTGCCCCGCTCAGCTAGGCCCTTTTCAGAGACCCAACTGATGTGATCCTGATTCCTTACCCGAAACACCACCACCACCGAAAATTGCAAGGAATCCACTTAGGCAACTGCGGGATACGAACTGATAATGTATAGCCGCGCAAACTATACATTATAAGCCCGCACCACTCAACCGATCGCGCTACCGGGGACTTGACAGCTTAATTTCGGTTTAACGGGTCTATCCTGAGATTGCATCATGCTCTTAAACCGGGCTCCGTCTATAGTAGCACAAAGGATGTCTGAAACCCGTCATTCCACTTCCGCTTTAATGAGATCGCTCTCTTCAAACACGTTTGGTGGCTTTTTCACCTCGAATCAATGTCTCATAAAATACAAACAGGATGCCCGTAGGTAGTTTGAACCACGCTGAATACGATACATTAGTCGACGTACGCTGAAAAAAATTGTAGAGGCCACAATCCATTATTTATCTTGAGCTGGGCTCCGTCTATACTAGCTACAGTAGCTCAGAAACCAGTCTTGCTCGCCTCGTGTGAAACCGTACCCCACGCGCAACCGAGTCGAAGGACACTTGGCTGGACAAATCCCCTGGTACTTCGTGTTTTCCCGTTCGCTCGCGGTTCTCCATAGCACCGTGTAGCTGAAGAACATGTCGCTGTTGTCGATGCTCAAAATTTTGTTTCCGCTGATTTTGACGGTCGTTTTCTTCACGATGGCGCGACTTCTCACTTATCATCGTCGGATTCCAAACTGAAAGTTGGGAAAGCGCACCAACAGCGTTTGTTTTTCGTCGATCATGCTCGGATGTTTGTGATAACGTCACGGATTCACGCATGGCTTTGACCGCCAAGGGTTCTCTCAATTTTCGGTAAGGGTCGAGTTTTCGTCCGTATTGCGACGCCATTATATATATTAAAAATATATAATATATGTTCAATAAATAATTAATCATGGCCGACAATATTTCCATAGCGATTTGGGGGACGATAGAACCCCTTTGCTCGACGATGAGGAGACCTCGTTCACGCAAGGAAACATGGGTGATGATCTGCTAAAAACGACCGTCGATTATTATTACGATGCCCTGGAGCAACGAGAAAATATAGCTCCTCTTTATCGCGATCCTTCCAAGTTCGAACTCGATCATAAAGGGATACTGCGAGTGAAAGCTGCTCCGGGCATCCATTTCATGGACTCCCGTACAAGAATACCTCTCGCTTTGTCCACACTGGCCAGTCGCCACGGTGCCGACTTTATCTGCGATAAATTAAATATAAACAGCTATCGACAAAAAATAAGCCAGAAGTTCGACAAGGCTTTACGAGAAGCGAATGCTGAGCTCGATGCCTTGGCGGGTGCAGTCGGTCGAGATGATTTGAGTGACGTACCACAACGTGCTGACGACGCATCGAACAACATCGAAAAACTATTGACCACGTAGCGGAACGAACACTTGCCCGGGTTCGAATTTACCTTTCGGGAACTGCGAGGGCTCAACAAGGCCATGCAAACCATTTGCGGATCGCTCGTGGACAACGTAGCCAAACTGGACGCACTCGATGAGCATATGGCGCGTGAAAAAAACAAACTCAACGAAGCGGAGGACGAGTTCAGCCGACATCTGATCGCAGAAAGATTGCGCAACTTGGAAGAGGAAAGATCGACCCGATTGGATGTGGCGTCCTCCGTCCGAGACGAGCTTCGATCCCAGATCAGCCACATGCGCGAAACCACCGACCAAGTGTTGAGAGACTGGACAGTCAAAACAATTGAAATTGCTCGGGGAAGCCCTGGCGAGACTGGCCAGCAAAGCCGCGGAAGCCCTGCCAGGCATCTTGGGCAGCATCGTGTCCTGGTTGCTGGGCTTGTTGTTGAAAATGGTCACGTGATCCGGCCAGAACCTGTGGACAGTCGACGACGGCGTGGCCGGCCTGGTGTACGTCGCCGCTAAAGAATTTTAACCAAATGAGGCACACCCCGACCGCGATCCCGTCGACCATGAGCGCTGTTTTGCAATCGTGGTGTTGCTGATGTTTGACCTCCTCGCATGGTGATAGGCGTGGTGGTGATGTTTGATCGCTGGGCTCTGGTGCTGGTGGCGGCGTCACGATCCCCGTTTCACCGGTATGCGTGGGCGGTGGGACTCGACTCACGTTGACATCGGGATTGATGCCCAGTTTCTGATCAGCGGTAGCGATGACAATTTTGTTGTTGTATCCCACCGTTGTTGGAGCCATGTACAGTCCCACGCCGACACATAGTCGACTTTCGACCGGGCGTATTCCCACGTGTCCTGGTAACGCCGGATGGCACACGGTAAATCTACCGGTCTGGCGATGACTGTTTCTGCGCGCCGTGGGCTGTCCCTTGACCCACGATGCCGGAACGTGTTTGCAACTGAGCGCCAACACGTACGTTCAAATCGAATCGTTCAACCGTACGATGCCTGCACGAGTAAACCCTTTCGACGTGTCCAGCATATATATTTTCCAATCGTCTTCAACGTATTGGGGCTGCTCAACTTTTTTGGATGGTGAAAGGAATTCTACCTTGACCCGTAAAGTTCATGCGATCATCTCTCCATTCATTACTTTCAAGAACATAGGCCGGTGTTAGTAGGATATCTTGTTTTAACAAAGCAGCCCTGGCTTCTTTCACGGGAAGTCCATCACTGTAGGGAATAACCAACCCGTGGTTCGTATCCGGTATACGCCATTCCGTGTTCGGATCGATTTCGAAATCACCACAAATCCGTTCGTAAGCCCGCTGATGGTATGGATTGTTCGATGCATCCCATGCCTTGTCCTGCCGAATCGGGGCGCTGATCTCTTTCAGGATGCGTCTGATCTGGTAATACACATGGAAATAGAACACGGACCGACGAGTGTCCTTCAAGGTCACGCCGCACCCAGTCGTCGCGCACCACACGGCAAAATTGAGTTGATTCTGCCAGAATTGCATTGGGTTGTGAAACCATGCGTGGACTGCCTTGACGTTCGTGACTGAAAGCCTATACTTTTCAAATACATCGATAAATCGAGCTCGAAAGTGGGAACCGTCCTTTGCATCCACCACGATTTTCATGTGCGTGAAATCGGTAGCGGTGACAACATCGCTTTTAGGATAAATCACTCCAGGCTGGTACTTGGGTGTAAACATATTGAATTATTATAATTACGTACATTTTTTTTTTTTTTTTAATATGTACGTCACGCTCCCGGGAATCATGAACGGCGAACCCGTTCCGCTGCTGCAAGCGATCGATAACACGTCGGGGGAACTCGAAGTTGCGCTCTGGGATCTCACCTACTACCCGCGATGATCGAATATCAGCGCTAAGAGAAACAACAACCAGCTGTTTATCGATAATAGCCGCCACCTGTTGACCGATGGTTATTAAAACGTGTGTATGCTGGACGACGAAAAAATTTTTAACCCGTCGGAGCCAGTCTTAAACTCAACGAGTCGGATGCCACGCTCAAGTTGAAGAACAGAGACCAACCCATCAAACTGGGCCTACCCTTGGCGAGAACACTCGGGTTGACGACTTATGAGAGACACCGTCGCGGGCTCGAAATTGCCGAGCCTCGTCCCCTACCGCGAACTGTGCATTCACCTTGATCAGCTGAGCACAATGGACAACGTTCAAGGCGAACGACCTTCCACGCTGCTGAGAGCCGTGCCGGTGAAAAGGGAAAAGTACAACGACGGCAGAACCGAATCGTTTTCGACCTTGCAGTACAAGAAATTTACGCAAGGCAACATCACAGATATAAAATATAAACCCGTTCATATAGGATACCTCAGCGCAACGCTGCACGTCAAACGATGATGACTTCAGCTTCGGGTCCGGGAATACGACCGAGAAAATGCGCCAACCTAGCGATCTCCGACCTCGCGACGGGGACGCAGCGGCGCGACAACCCGGCGTCGACGGCAGACTGTACGCCTTGCAACTCAAAAACAACATTTACAAACGCGTCGAAGTGAGCGGCAGATCTGGTCGTAACCTAGGAGATTTAGACGATGTCGAGACCGAAGGTCCCTTAAAAAACATGCAGTACAATCTCGTTCGCAACGCCAATAACACATAGGTGATGGTTCCAATCTTCGGCGGCAAACTCTTCGACCTGGACGATGTTGAGAAGATGGTCGTCGCTCGAAACACGCCCGTCTTTACCAACGACAACCGATGGGTGTTCGTGCCCTCTCGAATCGACTGGAATCTCAACACCGCCCTTGACTCTCCCCACCTGTTCACAGAAAACAAAGACCACTACCTCACTAAAGTCGTGAACAACGGAACACTGATCATGGCTTAAGTCCCGACGCAAAGACGCAGCGTTGTCGTCAGCACGGTGTCACAACCCATAGCTCACATCCTATCGAGTAAACCCGAGACGTCAAACGCGACGTTGCAGTTAGTGTCGGAAGTCGACAGCGTGGTCAGCATCCTGCAAAATCTGCCAGTGCAATCCACGCTGATCATCCAAGTCTACTTCGGCGAACCACGGGTTGGTAACGTCGAAATCGTCAAAGGCATCAAACTCCAGTGGACCCAACAACACCAATACCAAGTTTACTCCGTTTACGTACGGGTGGGCGTGGATGCCTTCACCAGTCAGCAGGGAGTCAATGTCGCCGTGGAAAACACGATATCGCTCACGAAAATTTTTTACCTACACGATTACATACATCTGATCTGATTCCGAAAACCAATTAAAATGTCTTCTCTAATATAAACCATGACAAACGTGACTCCGCTAGCCACCATCACATTCTCTGATCTCGGGGACACGTGAGGATTCGACAAACCCAGCACGGAAAACGACTTGTACGTCCTGCACTTACAAAACAACGTGTACGAACGTCGAGAAGTCATCGTCGAATTGAACTGGATCATCAAAATCGTCCAAACCTACCCCTATCTCGTCATGGATCAGGATTGTAATATCCTCGAACTAAAAAACAATGGGATTCTACTGGGGAGTTTTATTCCGGTTCATTAAAAGGGAATGTACGCATCACCATTACCAGAACAAACGGGTTATATGCTAGTCCCTCACTCGGAAGACGCAACGAAATGGCTCTATTTAAATCAATATAGTGAAGTCCCAGACTCGTGGATCACTGTGATACCAGGTTCTACCCTTATTATTGACATCGTTCTTGGAAATGCCTCCCGACAATGGGTGGGACTTCCGTTTGGGTTAAACATACCCTGGCACGATCGCCATAAAAAAATCAACGCTGTTGTATTTATGTACAACTAGGAACAGCTTCCACCACAAGCCTTGAGGGAGTCGAGGTTTTATTACAGGTGAAATTTTACTCTACCAGAATTTTGAATCCGAACACGTTTACCTCATCAGCTTCAAGTATATTCATCGACGATTGACGGAGGACCAATTAAATATTATTTCGAAAACTATATACATAGTGCAAGATGGGATTGTATCCGGCCATGGACGACGTGGCTCAAACACTCGAAACCGTGGATGGATTTCGTTTGCGACAGATCAGCGACATCAAACGCCAACTGGAATGAGAACGCGATGTGCGACTCGGATTGCACAAAAAGGACCATTGGGCCGTCAATGCCATCGACGGCGTGGACACGGCCCTCGTGGTCGCTGGCATGGGACTCTGGGGTGCCGGCATCGGCTTGTTGTCGACCATCGTGGCCGCACCCGTCGTCCTCGGGTAAGAAGTAGCCGCCGGGGTATCGGGGCTGGCGGGTATAGCTCTTAAGCTCGTTTCGTGTCGGTTGCAACAGAAGGCCTTACAACACGACGAAATCCGTGTGTTGGCTGAAGCCAAGCTGAACACGATCAACAATCACGTCTCGTCGCGCTTACGGACTGTAAAATCTCCGAAGAAGAGTTCCGCCTGAATTTAGCCGAACTCGACAAGCACCACTGCATGAAGGAGGAGATTCGAACCAAGACTCGGAAAACCGCCGACTTCAGCGAAGACGAGAAGAAAAGGCTCATAGAAGAAGGCCGACAACAGGTCAATCAATCCTTCCTGACCAAGAATGTAAACGATTCACGTTCCACTGCTTCGTAGATGTCATCACCTAGGAGGAGGAATGACCCCCGACCTCGCTTACCCACGTGACCTGACTCGACTCTGACTCACAAAAGTGTTTTCATCGCTACCCCGACTCGAACTGCAAACGCTGGATTACAAGTACAAAGCTCTAAGCATCACACTGGCGAGCCAGCTGATAGTCCAGGGCTCGGAACTTTGGGTCTAAGCGGAGGGTGGCTATTTTAGAGCGAGTCTTGTCGGTACCATTCACTGAAGTCTTTATAAGCCTGTTTAAATAGTCAGTGATATATCCACTGTCTATTCAGGGCAGCACACAGCTATACATAACTCTATGGTTATACGCTCCAGCAGACCGGCTGTATGGGTGACTGCATTCAACCTATATATATATAGCTGAGCAGGTCACTCTGACTGTGAGAGAAAGGGTAGTAATAAGATTGGGGTACGGGCCACTGGCACATTGAAGGATGCCTCTCGACAAACCATCGCCGTTTTTAAGGGGGGTTGGGAGGCTTAATTCCCACAAATAAGCCTCTAAGCCACATCTGATGCAAAAAACCCACTCTACTACTACTTTAAGTCAGTTAAGAATATTTACCTTCTTTTCTTTTCCAGTATAATGACAGAGCACTATGCATAGCTGAATCCCAGGAAACACCTGTAAAAACCATTCATCAATGTATTGTTAGCATGGCACACAAATGAAATCATAAATGAAATCACAGGTTGTACATATTTGTCCCAGTAGACAGTTTTCCTATGACATATCCTCTAGTTTGGATACAAACCATGCCACTCTGCAGTATGTAATCCAGCTGTTTTATATTGGCCAAAAGGCCCCAAGCCATAGAGCTCTACATGCACAGAGACCCATCCTACTGGGCGAGTGTCCTTACTAAATTGTTTCACAGTTGCCAAAGTTGCAAAAATGTGTTAAATGTCTCGGCTTTGTCACATTTAGACAATAGGTTTCAGTTTTTAGGTTACTTTTCATAAATTGACAACAATTATCCCAACAGCTTGTCAAGATTTGATTTGGTTCATTTCCACGTGATCACTACGGTGGTGCCTATAAGTGGTGATAAGAAACGGCACAACGACTTCACTGTACACTGGGGTTTGTATTCTTCCCCAGCATGTACATTTCGTACAATGACAAAACATAATGTGTCCATTTATATAGCGCCAAACTCCACATGCTCATAGCGCTAACAATCAAGGCACAGCACATTATTACCCCGGATAAAACAAGCTGCCTGTCAGGCGCTAGAAGGTTATAGTCATATGACTTTTCCACCAGGTACCCATTTTCCAGCTGGGTGAACAGAGACAATTTTGAACAAACTCACTTGCCCAAGGTGAGACCACATGTGTCACATGTGCTTCGTTGTGGGGCAGGACTCAAGACCTAGAAACTCTCAGGAGTCAAGCTGCCAAACACGGTCACCCATCCAAGGACTCTCCGAGCTCGACGCTGCTTAACTTCACACAATCTATGCATTACTCACATTCGTTATTATCTGGTTGCTGATGACCATGTGTGGGGAGGTGCCTTTCACCTGGACGGCCTCTCTGGCTAACTGAAAGAGAAGTTTAAATTCTCTCATACTAGAGGTAATTCATGTGCGACTACTACTACATGTTTTTAATGCATTTACTGCATGATAAGTGACCAAACATCAAAACAATAAAATACTGGGTACACTTACAGAATACTGGATACATACCAACCATATTGTTAATGTCATGTCTATCTAACTCTAACGCTAGCCCTAACCCTAAACCTTACCCTAACCCGAACCCTAAACCTTACCCTAACCCTAAACTTTACCCTAACCCTAGGAGTTAGGAAGGTACCCGGTATTCTGTAATCTTACCAAATACTGGAACGTAACAGTAAAAGAATTGTTATAATCAGTCTATATTTACTCAAACTCTACATGACAAAAGGAAGCAACATATAATACCTGAGCAAATAGTTCTTTACAAAACAGAACATTTTGTGCAACTTCTAGTTTCTGCTGCCAGTAAGCATCTGATGGGACAGACCCCAGGCCAGCTGGCATCTTCAGTGTCGCCGATGTCAGATCCATCATGTCTGAAACAAAGACAGGGAGTGAGTTTCAATAGTATTACTATCACTGCACAATGTTTAGATGTGCATACTTTATGTTCCTTCATCACAAGTGTATGGATGAATTAATTATTCACAGAGGTTAAAGTCATGGAGATAAAAAAACTCATTCATGAACATTAAAAGGACCAAGTATTTATAGAACAAATATTGTACATAATCTGACCAAGGGAGTGAGTGAGAGAGTTTAGTTTTAATCCACGCTCAGCAATATTCCAGCTATATGGCGGCGGTCTGTAAATAATCAAGTCTGGACCAGACAATCCAGTGATCAACAGCATGAGCATCTATCTGCGCAATTGGGAACCGATGACATGTGTCAACCAAGTCAGCAAGCCTGACCACTCGATCCCGTTAGTCGCCTCTTATGACAAGCATAGTCGCCTTTTGTGGCAAGCATGGGTTGCTGAAGACCTATTCTACCCAGGATCTTCACGGGTCCTGAACAAGTAGACTTCTGAGCATGTTAGTTATAAGGGGAAATGATGACCAAAATGTAATTTTCTGACTAAAATTTAACTAAACCTGCAGAGGTTTCCAATTCTTTGAAGAGAGTCGTCCTTGGGGTATATATATGCATTTTCTGCAGCTGAAAATGTCCTGTGACAGTTGTATCAATGTTTTAATAAAAATATTGTACAATAAATAAAATCTTTTTTATCTATTATACGGCCCCCACCACATGGAGTTACCTCCCTGCTACGCAAGAGCAGCCAACCAGGTAAGCACCTAGGCCCGTATCATCATTCCTTCTGCTGAATATATCAGTGAACAGAATTGCGGGGAGGTGGGCGGCCCTACCCCAAGGACAACTCTCTTCAAAGAATTGGAAACCTCTGCTGGTTTAGTTAATTCTTTTTCAGAGAGATCGGCCTTGGGTTTCATATATGCATAAACACAGACTCCCAAAGACCGGAGGCCAGGGAGGAGGGAATTCTGTCAAGTGCACATGAATAGCGATTGTTAAGAATAATGTAATAGACGCCACAACACTCACCTGTCACGTGTCCCAGAGATTCCGTGAGAGGCATTATGGGAGGGTAACCGACAGGGAGGATAGGTACTTAGAACCGACCTCGTAGGTTAAGCATAGCAAGTTCACACATAGTGTGAAAATAAACAACCCCACCCACATCATGGTCTATTAGAGAGCACCATAGGGGGGAAAACCAACTCACAACCGACCATAATCTCGAAAGGAGTTAGATCACACAACAGGGTATATATGAATAAACACAATTGAAAGCAGCGTCAACTAACCAGATAACCAAGACTCACTCGGTCAGGGTGGCAGGACACTGTCCACTAGAGAGAACAGAACGGCCAAAACGCGCACCATCACGTGAATGTGTATCGAGCTGATAGTGCCTGATAAAAGTGCTAGGCCTGCTCCAAATAGCGGCAGAGCATATCTCTTCAATGGGTAGTGCCGATGCAAAAGCTTTTGACGTGCCTACTGCCCTGACCGAGTGAGCCTTCAACCCCTCAGGTGGAGGCTTGCCTTTAGCCTGATAAGCAGCACAAATGACCGAAACAAGCCAGCGAGACAGGGTCTGTTTGCTCGCCGGCACCTCAGCCTTCCCGCTACCGTAACAGCAGAACAGATGGGTACCCGTACGGATCCCCTGTGTTCGTTTGATATAGACCTTGAGAGTCTTTCAGTCATCCAACGGGTGAGTGTTCGTAGGAGAGGTCCCTGATGTGGAAGGCTGGGTAAGAGTAGGAAGTTCGATAGGAGCTGTCACATGGAAAGCGTGATCGACCTTCGGGCGGTAAGTATCCAGGGGGGTTAATTCTGACATGATCTGGATGGAACACAGTCAGCGCCGGGTCTGCCGACATAGCATGTAAGTCGCCGACCCTACGCCCAGATGTTACCGCCACCAGAAATACAGCCTTCCATGTTAACAACTGAATGTAAATAGCCGATAGACGTGAAAAGGTAGGACCGGACAGCCAATCGAGCACAATTGACAAATCCCAAGGTGGGCTGGTTCGCCTGACAGCAGGTCGAACCCGATCCACGCCAGCTAAAAGCGCTGCATGAGAGGGTGCTGGCCCAGAAGAGCACCATCGACAGGGGTGTGAAAAGTGGAAATAGCGGTGGAGTAGCCACGAATGGTCGAAGCCGCCAAGCCTTCTTCCAAACGAGCTTGCAAGAACTCCAATACTCGGACTAAATAAGCAGAAAAGGGATCTGCAATCCCCTTATCTGAACACCAGCGTGCATAGTGGGGCAACCTATCCTCATACTGAACGTTTGTCGAATCCCGCCTCGAAGCCAGAATTGTGTCTGCAACTGCTGCAGCAATTCCGCGTGCTTCGAGGCTAGACCTGACAGAGGCCAAGCCACCCACTGAATCCTTGGATTGGGGTATGGCGCGCCGTTCTGAGTGAGAATGTCCGGTCACAAAGGTAATAGAACAGGAGGCTGAGCCAGAAACCTGAGAATTACCGGAATCCAGCTCTGTGACGGCCATAGCCGTTCTGAGTGAGAATGTCCGGTCGCAAAGGTAATAGAACAGGAGGCTGAGCCAGAAACCTGAGAATTACCGGAATCCAGCTCTGTGACGGCCATAGCGGTGCCAGCAGCACAAGTAGCCGAGCTGGCTGGGTGGACAGCTGGGAGAGGACCCGGGGAATGAGTGGTAGTGGCGGGAACGCCCAGAGCACTTTGCCCGTCCAATCCAGCAGGAAGGTGTCGGAAGCCAACGCCCTCTGCTCTGAGACTCTGCTCCAGATCCTCCGAGTGAGCCCACAGACTCGCCAAAGCTTGCTGTATAGGGCGCATCCTCAACCGCGCCCGCCACACTACAGAGATAGTCGCCGCCATATGTCCCAGTAGACGGAGCCAAGTCCGCGCTGGTGCCTGGGGCTGGGAGAGGAACAAAGACACCATCTCCCGTACTCTGGTGACCCAGACGGGCGACAAGGAGACAAGATCCTTGTGAGTTTGGAACCGCGCCCCGAGAAAAACCAGATCTTGGGTGGGTACCAGGTGGGATTTCTTGAGGTTTATGATCCACCCCAGTCGAACTAGAACATCTATCACCTTGTGAGTAGAATCTAGGCTCGCTGGCTGAGTTAGAGCGCTGAGCAACCAGTCGTCGAGGTAAGGGTAACAACGCCTTCCTTGCGATCGTGCGAGGGTAGCTGGCACTAACATGAGCTTGGTTAACACCCTGGAGGCAGTGGATATGCCAAAGGGGAGCACTGTGAATTGGTAATTCATCCCGTCGTAAGCAAACCGGAGGTACTGCTTGAACGATGGATGAATGGGCACATGTAGATACGCATCCTTTAGATCGATCGACGTAAGCCAATCGCCGGGCTGAACAAAGGAGATCACCGAGCGAAGTGTCTCCATCTTGAAGGATGGAACCTCTAGCATGCGATTCAACCCCTTGAGGTCGAGAATGGGACGGAACCTGTCGTCTTTCTTCGGAACGAGGAAGTACGTGGAATAAAATCCCGCCCGTTACGCAAAGCCTGAACTTCGTCGCGCAGTATACCCGCCCCGACTGGACATGATGACACCGGAGTGCGACGTATGCCGGTGAATTCTGGCGGGCCTCGCTTCCACAGTGGTAGATGTCCGACACTGACGGTGGAAAGCACCCAAGTGTTGCTGGTAGCCTTCTCCCGCTCCGCCAGGAATAAAGAGAGGCGGCCCCCCACTGGGATGTGTGGTAAGAGAGCGTGAGTGGTCCCGTGCAGACGAACTGACTGGGACGGACCCACGGCGACAGCCTGTTGGGTTAACGGGAGGTCGGGCCAAACCTCCCGCGCCAGCGAAAAGGCTATGAGCCAGACGAAGAGGACTGCTCCTTGCCCTTACCTTTGGCGGGACGGCTCCTCTGCCTGCCCCTGCTCAGCGGCCTAAGCCAGCCGGTAGACTCGTCCCCCAGCTGGTACCTCTTTACGAGTTCAGGCAAGTCGAACCGGAGGCGTGTCCCAACCAGGAGGAGATCCATCACGTCCTGCACCAGGGAAGGCAAGATGCGGAGCAGTGTCTGTGAGGGTTGCCTTGGGGCAAACGCCTCGCCCGGCAGGCGGAACTCAGATGAGTCTGAGTGACTGGTGGGTACCGCGGCCTGGGAAATGAACTCGACGGAGACCTCCAACCGACTCATGAACAAGGGACTTCATCGAGTCCATATGATGCTGGAAAAATTGCGTAATTAAAGACATATCAAAACCACTGTATGACTGAGAAGGCGCCTTAGGCGCCTTAGCTTTCTTAGCCGGCTTAGACTATTTTGCTTTAGACTTCCTGGGTCAGTTCCCCTCCCACCTCTCGCAACTCTTTATAGAAGAGAAAATCCGCGGCCCTTCGTTTCTGGGCCCAGGGGGAGAAGGCCATGCAGAGTTCACAAATGTCAGGATTGTGGCCGACTTTTTCAAGACAACACAAGCACTTGTCGTGCTTATCAGCTCTGGGAATGCTCTGCCCACAGACAGAACACCCAGTAAACGCCTGAAAGCAAACACGCAAGCATGTAGCTAACAGCGGAGCCAGCAGCATAAATATACACGTACAAAACATTGAAAATTATGTCAATGCGACCACGGGAAGAAATACTTGGTTAATAACGCAATATGACAACCACATGGCACGCTAGACATCCCGCCATGGAAAAGTAACACGTGCGTAAACCACGGGAAAGCTAGCGTATAATTTAATACAAAGTCACAATTATGAGAAATAACTGACTGCAAAAGTCTTATAAAATTGTTCCGTCAAGAACAAATAAAGACCATACATACAGGTGAAGTCTCAGACATTATTCTCTTTAGAACAAGATATTCAGCAAGGCAACTCTACACGTCTGAACGGTTGAGTGACAACAGAAGGAATGATGATACGGGCCTAGGTGCTTACCTGGTTGGCTGCGCATGCGTAGCAGGGAGGTAACTCCACGTAGTGGGGGACGTATAATAGATAAAAAAGATTTTATTTATTGTACAATATTTTTATTAAAACATTGATACAACTGTCACAGGACATTTTCAGCTGCAGAAAATGCATATATGTACCCCAAGGATGATCTCTCTGAAAAAGAATGATATTTTATACTTATCCTGACTCATCCTAAATGCTTGTCTCCTTCTCCTTGCGAATGGCAACCTCCCCTCTTATGGCACTCTGGATTTCCCTGTAAATCCGGGTGTCGGGCATTCATACGGAGAGAGAGTGACAAGACATGGTCGGTCAGGTGACCAAAAGGGTGCCAAAGGGGCAAGGGAGGCAACTCCTGGGTGAGTAGTGATTTTACTTCTGCTTTTTAGAAGGGAACTTCAAGGGATTTCAAGTGTTCCACTATCATTCGCAAGGAGAAGGACACAAGCATTTAGCATGAGTCAGGATAAGGAAAAATTAAAATGCTGGCTTCACCTGGGACACTCTTGACCTCTACCTGGATGTAAGCCACGCCCTCCAGCTCACTGGGGATGTGCACCTCCAAGCAGCTCTTCGGACCCCCAGCATCCTGCTCTAATGTTGACTCGCTACTTTTTACAACCTCGAACGTCCCTGCCTGCATGAACCTAGAACCAGCTGCAGCCCAAAGCCAGGTGAATTAAACATAGACAACACAGTACATTTGTTATGCCTCAGTTAAGAATCTTTCATCATTTAATCCATATGATGTCATGAAACATTTAAATGTTGAACTGACAATAGAATACTAACTCGGAAGGTTTGGTCATGTGACTGACAGTGACCTTGAATATAAGTTCATCAAATGATCATTATTGACCTCATTCCATATGCACGATTTTTATCGATCGAAGGATTTGACAAATGGGAAAGCGGTGACAGCAAAGGAAGAAACTAACAAAACATTTCATAACTTGTGGCAAGTTCATTAAGCAAAAACAGGAACCTACAGTATAATGCCCAGTATCCCATAACATTTCTGTGGGTGCAGGTGTGACTTAATCCAGCCTGCCAGACTCTGGCAGAAAAAGTCATTGCTACACTGACTCAATTTTGAATCAGACACTGACATGTGACTCACTTATCTGAGAGCAACAACTACCTTTTTGATTACAAAGTTAAACATGCTAAAGGCATGAAGTAAATCTGTGACAAGTAGTGATCATAACATGTAGCTACAAATATCACTGACAACTTTAAAGACAAATACAAATTAGTTACCATGGTTTCTTGACTCACCCGATTTATAGCTGAGATCCCCAAAAATGGTGTTCCCCACACGTTTAAGCCTCCAGTTCTGTCGCAATTTGAGTAGCTCAATGTGGAAGTCATTCTGGGTTCTGTTAGAAGCATCTATCTGAGACTTCTTCAGTCGGTCAGCGCCTCTCATTAGGCATGCAGAGGCTTCTATCAGACTCTGTAGAAGATGAGTTACTTGTCACTGACAGTCCAACACAGGTACAACTTGACTGATATGACAGAAACTGAGACTTCAAATGTCCACAAATCTAAGTTTGATGTTCACACAATAACATTTTAGCTATTATCTTCAGTTTGCCAGCATATTTCAGTTATCCAGTACATTTTCAGATAGGGGTGTCATTAATCAGAAAGTTTAGTAATGACATATTAACTCAAAAGTATCATTTACATAATGACTTATATAGACAGACAGACAAAAATGCCCTACCAAATAACAGAAATAATTCATTATGCAAAATGTGAATACGACCGATCCATTAAATGTTAAAAATTTAACTAAAATTATATTGTCTATATTATGCATGATAATCTAAACATTTTCACATTTCTGTGCAAGTGAATTATTAATCAGGATTGACATTTGGATGTCATTTTAACTGTTTCTCATTTATTAACTCTTATCAGCTGCTGATGTATTGATAAAAAGGGTTTAATTAGAAATAGTAATTAATTATGATCAATATACACATGGAACAACATATTTCACCTTCTTCTTTGCTAGCAGTTGTAAGGAAGCTTTCTGATCTGGTGATTCTTGTGAGACATTTTCAGCAACCATGTACCGTTTCTCTTTGGCCAAGTTGAGCACATCTAACAACACGCTGATCTCTGTCAGGGAGGATCTGTCAGGACAACAAGACTACCTTCTTATCATCATGAAACAGGAATCAAGTTTACTTACATCCAACATGCCATGGGTGTGAAGAAATGGGGACCTAAAGACAAATTCAAGATGTTTGGGAATTAGGGCTGGGACAAGTCACATTTTACATCCCAGGAACCCAACCCTATATTTCCAGAACATGGTAACCACTGTATGTCTCAAGAGTTAGATACAACATGTCATCTGGAAACTTTCTAAATTGATCATGCTTACAATGAAGTAAAATGAACCTTTACTAAACTCATAAAAGTCTAAGGCATGTCTGTACAATCAGAATGAATAGTGAACAATAGCAACTTGTCTTGTTACCAATATTGGAAAAGCATCAAGCAAGATATCTTGCCAACATTACCACGGGTGTGGGTAGTCCTGTGGGTACTCTGGTTCTACTCAGGACCCACATAACCCCAAGACCTCAGTCACCCGTGCTGGCCCTAGGAGTGAGTGCATATGCATCTGCTTGTACTAGTCTGGACAAATCCTGGTTTGATAGTACCATGCCAGAGTTGTAACCAGCTGGTAACAAAGCTAACTTATTCATACACAGTAAACAGAGTCCTAGCGGACTAGTCCTTGATTTGTCCTTAATGCCAAGCACCAGGTATAGTAATAACTAGTACTATCCTTTAAGTCTTTCAGTATGATTTGACTGAGGATACAAAAATAGATCTTAAGTCTTCTGGCATAGTTTCTATCCACTCGACCACAGAGGCAGTCAAAACATACTATTAATAATATATGATTAATAATCTGACTATACCTCAGATATATCTTAAACATGTTTCAAGAAGGTGTGAATGACATGTAATTGCTTATTTAGTGAGTCACAACTAAGCATGTTAAAAACCAACACTATTAAAATCACTTACTTAAGTTTATTTCGTACTGAATCCCAGGGCCACAGAGATGGCTGAAAAGGGGCCAGGACTTTCTCCTCATCGCCGTCTTTCTCTCCTTCTGACGTTGGCTTGCCCTTTCCCTCACTCTCATCTTTGTAGAAATCAATCTTATGTGCAAGTTTTGAGAGGTTCTCCGACATAGACAATGGACTGCATAGAAAGAGAAACAATATCAAGGTCATGTATTCTTTCTCTGTTTACCACACTTCATCAAATTGATTCAACTAGCATTCCATTGCCATGTTTGTCTGAAGTGTAGTTAAAACAAATTAAGAATGGGCCTTCCTTTCAAATATTTAAAAAAAGATTCACATTACACTATTATATATTTTGTGAAATGTCATCTCACAAATGGTAGCCAGCCTTAGTGACATGAGTTGTGACAATAAGTTAAGTACTGTGCTGAATACTAAAGGTGCTTCTAATCACCCTTTATAGTGATGCCTATCATGCTTTCTATTATGGTAAAAGCAAACAGTATCATAATTACAGGAAAAGGGACTGGGACACCACTCACGAGACATAGAGGGACAAAACAAGGTTACAAATTTCATGAAAACTGAAGTTTTGAAATTATCACCATTGTTTATCATATTTACCCAAACTGAAAGTATTTACGAGAGAAACCCATGGAAGTATTCCGGCTAAAATGCACTTTACCGGGTGCAGTACTCCCAGTATTCCTAAGTGGCATAATCTCAACAATGAAGTACATCCGATTTACCCCAAATGGAACGGTCACTTGTTCCCGAAAACTTTCCATAGACAATAGTGAACTACCGCTGAACTAACTGTGACATAAAGCGACAGCATGCAACGTATTTGTTTATGGTATGATGTACTCTGTTATCTATCATTAACATAAACAGTGTGCATTGTTAAAATAAACATAAAATATCCGTACGGTACGTAAACTTCCTGTCCATCGAGCTTCACTTCTTGAATTTGGTGTTCTAACACTGGTTCAACTGTTACTGTCACACCGGCCAACGCCATTTTGAAAATATCTTTGCAGGTGCGTGGTTTAGTTCCGTATCTTTCCGAGACGATAGTATCCGACACAACGCTGTTATAGTAAATTCATAATCATATACTTATAGATATTTTGTAGTGATACACAAAACACTTTTTTTGAGAAAAAACTTTTGATACGAAAGCAAAAATGATAGCTTTGTCGTTGCAAAGGAAATGCCATTTGTGTCAAAATGGCTGATGTTTGTCTGTGCTCAAGACAACATAAAATTATGAAATTGGGCCATTCATGAGGTCTTTTAAGTAAGTTAAATTTATATCATAGCATGATTATTAGGTACTCTCGGTAAATATGTAAATATTAATCCTCAAGAAACTTTATGCACCTATTTAAAATGCATTTAAAAATTCTATCTTTTGTTTGTTTGTTTTGAATAATTCATATCATGCACCTTGTTTTGACAGCCGTGGAGTATTGTCTTTAGTTTCAGAGTGAAATACTATCAGCTGTGCATTCAGTGTAACTGATTAGCACATCATGATCTTAACTAGGCCTATTCCTTTTGGTTTTATCCATTTATGATTTACCTTGTTGGTTAAGAAAATGTGGCGATCATGTCAACCCCCACTAAATTTATTCCACAGATTAATCATTTACACGTATTTGGCAGACTTTCAGCATTGGAAATTTCAGAACAATTGTAATGAATCAATAAATTCAAATGTAGAGTTACAGTCACCATACAATGTTGGAGTAGACATGGTAGAAAAGAAACACATTTGGGATGATGATTATTTTACGTTGGTTTAACATTTTTACAGGAATTAAGAAAGTAAAGAATGGTGGTGAAACTTGCCCACCGATTCCTCAGCTTACCACCAACAGCATCTTGAAGTCCATTGTGCATCAGAAGTCATCTAATTTCTTCCTTTCACCCAGAGCAAAGTCAAGATCACAATCATGGGAACTGGAGTACCACTGCTGAACGATTACAAGCAGGAGTTTTTCTGGAAACGATTTCCACAGACTGTCCTAGGTGGTCCAAAGTTCCGCCTTGGCTATGATGCACCAGCTTACGTTTATCTGAATCAGATTCTTCTTTGGATTATTCCATGGCTACTTGGCGGCATTTTCACCCTTGTTTTGGAATTGAATTACAGCGATGAAGTCATACAGGAGCAGCTGCTGCTCTATTGCTGTGTCTATGGTGCGTGTATGTTTATATTTGTGCTTGTGCTGCAAGTCATCAGCACTGTCGTCAAAATGCAACAAACTGAACTTGACTTGAAAATACGAAACAAGAAAAATTTATTTGCAGAAGAGGATGAAATTGACTTTGAGTCCTGCTGTGGAGCAGAGACTGTTGAGTTTGTTACCCCACCAAAAAGTTACAAATTCAACATTTTCTTTCATGCTCTCGTGTCTGGAGCGATGTGTGGATTGACTCTGTGGTATCTGTTGCCCTACACACTAAACCGACTGTACGGTTTTAACTATGGCGCTACTGCTGTGTTGCATATTTTTGGTTGGTTGACTCTTTGCATGGCTCAGTACTCTTTGACAGCGGCACCCCCACCTGAGCCAGCTATTTTCAAAACAATGGATGTTTATGAGATAGCCCCTCTCATGCGACCATTTTATGTTCTAGTCTGTACATCTCTCCATGTGTTATACTGGTAAGTAAAAGTGGTAATAATAGAATCAACAATAATTCTGTTAGTAATCTCTTCATTTAACAATAGCTAACAGGTACAAATACAGACTGATGTTCAAATTTACATTCTGTAATCATGGTAATCTTTTCTACTGTAAACAGTAATGGCATTCCTTGTCCCTCATCATGATAACCTAAGCAGAGTGGAACTCCTAAAATATTATGTTGAATACAGTTACCATGTAATTATGGTAAGTATTATTCTCTTAGTTTGTTTACAGTATACGACTTCAGTGTCATCTTTGCAATCATTTGAATCTGGAAGTCCAGGTGTCTTGGGGGGTAGGCAGCATTGCATGCCGCCTGATAGGTTAAGCCACTCTGGTTGTTTTCATTGCTATTACTATTAGTGGTGGCCTAAGAGACAGCTGGCAGTTCCGGCAATTACTGATTGCGCGAATAATTGACTGTGCGATGTAGTCTCAACTGTCAATACTGCAAAATTTGCACCAAGCGAAAAGAAATTCCTTTACCAGTAGTCTGTATTTGGTTAGATCCAGTCAATGATCTAATCTAGCCTTCATTTACCACAATGTTGCATGTTAACATGGTTAAGCAGTACAAATTTGGTTGATGGTTGTCATGAAATAGGACCGTTCATCATCAAATTATATTGCATGTAAATATATGTTTTCCAACTTCAGGTATTATGACACTTTCCAAGTAGCCAACCAGGTTCTCCACATCCTGTTTGCTGTCCTTCCTCTCTTGTGGGTGACTGGTATCCTCCCACCAGTCGATGCCCTTTTCCTCTGGCTTATGGAGCAGGTGCATGTGTTTCTCCTCGGAGGCTCACCCATGGCTTCTAATGCAAGGTTGGTACCTGAGCATAGACATGGTTACCAGTGGCTGCTTTTTGAGGGCTGCAACTAATACACTATGAGGCGAATACGATGTCCAGGGCTCGAAAAATTAAAAAATCTGTACTCACCATACAGGTCAAGTAATATGAACTTTCGTCCTTCTAAAACTGTACTCGCCCTATAGATCATGCAACACAATGAATGTAAATTTAAATTGTTTTGTTTCAAAATGTTTGCTTGGAATATTACTTACTTTGTCTCCTGTACAAAGTCTTTTGTTTAATCTAATTTTCAGTTTAGTGTACGTGGTAAATCATATCAAGTATTTTCTCTAACCTGGAAATTACCTGTGTATCATAATAAAAACAAATCGTCACTCTAAAGAAAAGTTGACTACGATAAACGATTGGTAATAACAAGCAGGGAAAATAACAAGCAGGGAACTCACTATTATAAAGCTTATTCTGATTTGACAGCAGTAACATTCATGTGGTGATGATTTTTCTCATTGGTCAGTTTATTAATAGCAGCCAATCACGATATTCCGAAGCATTTAGGTTACAAAACCATGCTGCATGATCTACATGCATGATACCAAACGCATCAAGACTTAAACTTTGCGGTTAGTTTTCGGGGAATTTGAAAATACTGCTAATCGGGAATGACGATGTTAAAATTTAAACTTGTTGTTTTGACAAATGGTTGGGTCAGAAAACGTACTCGGCCTGTAGGACAAGCAAAATATGTTTTTCACTTGCCCAAAACATATCTTACTCGTCAATACGAGCGGACGAGTGGAATTTTCGAGCCCTGATGTCTTGTACAAATATGCAGTAACGAATACTGGTGAATTATAATGGTACTATTGATGTTGTAAGGTAATTATGGGTTATTGTTGTAGTGGAATTAAAGTTACCCTTTCTTAGTAGCTGATGTAATTGAGATTGTGATCATGGTTATGGCTGACAATGAACGGTGGGAAGATGACACAGTGTGTTCTCTCTGTTGATCATGTTGATGTTAGTATCATGTACATGTAACTAGTGGTTACAACTTACATACTTGATGTGACAGCATTTAGGACTGTTTATTGCCTGGAAGCATGTGGTGCAAATTTGCAATATATTGCAATGTGCATGATAGATATCAATATAGTGATATGCATCTCAATATGTTGTAATTGGCATAATTTAGCTGAAAAACGTAAACAAAAGAGATCTTTATGTGAACAGTGACAATATATAGCTGGCAATAACGTATGAAAGTGATGTTTTGCACATTCACTTGTATCTTTGCCCGGTGGTAGTACCTACCTATATGCCGTGGACAGTGCATACGTGAGAAAATGGGGCGGTGGGGTAGCCTAGTGGTTAAGGTTCGCTCGTCACGCCCAAGACCCGGGTTCGATTCCCCACATGGGTACAATGTGTTAAGCCCATTTCTGGTGTCCCCCGCCATGATATTGCTGGAATATTGCTAAAAGCGGCGTAAAACCAAACTCACTCACTTGAGATAATATTTGTCTTGGAATGGCTGTACCAGGACGATTGTGAATTCTTCTTCTTTTTTTTTAATCCCCAAGAAACACATGTATTTACATAATTTCTTAATATACCAAGCCATTTAGATGGTTTTGCAGTACATACCAATTAAATTTAATGTTGCATCGGTAATACTGTGTAGTTTTCAATGCTGTTATTAGTATTACAAGTCTTTCATGTTAGGATTCACCCTTTGTTCCTTCTACTGAGAATAGGGTGTAATGTGTTACTCGTAACGTCTTCCTTTTGCTGAGGACACTAGGTAGCAAGTACACTGTACTCTGCGTAACTGAGTAATGACTCTTGATAGTAATGACTCTTATTTATTCAGTGTTTCTTGTTTTCTTTCAGATTGATTGTGCTACTTGTTCTCTCTATTGGAGCTTATTTGGCAGCCTACTTCATTCCTTTTGTGTTTGCAACAGTCGTCATTTCAGCCATATTTGGCTACATTCTTAGCATTGACCTCGGTCATCTAGGCACACAGATCTGGAACCTGTGCCGAACTACAAACAGGATATCCTCCAGTCAGAATCTTCGAGAGTCCCAGCGGGTGGCTAAAAATGAAGGATTTCTATGGACATGGGGCTTAGCAACATTTGCATATCATTTCATCATGTTTGCTGTAATTGTGGGAGAAAGTGCAGCACTTAATTACTACTCTCAAAGTATTAGCACCAGTGTCAAGGACATCCTGGGCTATGCCATCATTGGAGTTTGTGTAGCAGAGAAACTGCTACGAGATTCACAAGGCGTGTATGTGTTCTTTGGACTCTACAGGAACATACTGTTTCCTCACAGCTGCCAGATTCAGAGGGTCTACAGAAGAAGGAAGACTCAGCTTCTGTACCTGGGCTTGATGAGGAGAGTGTTTATTACATTTGGTGAGTGGACACTGTTTCAATTTTGTCATCATCCTGATAATGTTCATAAGAATTGACTGCTTTGTTGGTTCCTCTCATCTGTACCAGTGGTGAAGGTTTGAACATAGGTGAACGGAAGTAGATCATAAATCACACGCGAATGTAAGAGATCAGTTCTTAACTTTTTACTTGTTCCAAAGTCTACAGTGAATAGGTTTATCCTTGACCTAGTCACAGTATTTTGGTTTCTATGATATTATGTTTTGTAGCTTTATTCATTCATTCAAATTGATTTCTGGGGGATTAAAACTTGAGTATACCATCTACATAATTGTCCAAAAAAGGGAAAACAATTTGATATCATATGGTCAAGACTTCTTGCTGTTTTAAGGTTTTCGGGCAGAAATTACAGTCTTTTCAAATGTTTAATTTACTTCTCCATGACATTGCATAGAGCTAGGACAAAATCAGACATGAACAAAGAATGTCATGAACACAAATCTGCCATGCCTTGTCTATTCATTCTGCAGCCCTGATTCAGAATGTGTTTGATTTCAGTTGGCCCATTATTGATGCTGGCCTACTTGTCTCTCATCGTCACGCAGACCAATGTGATGACGTCATCTGCAACAGAAGGACTGGATATGTACCATGCCATATGGTACACATTCGGTGTTGTCCGAGCTTTCAGAGTGGTATGTATGGCATTGGACATGTTACGTGTCTGATTTCTAACTGCATGCATGTTTTCTGAATAAAAGAACAACAGGATCACTAGTCACGATTTTCTAACAATACAGAGCGTATGAGCTGGCTGCAAGAAAATGTTTTCAAACTAAACAATAGGGCTCTAATCTTTGAAGGGCAATCAGAAGTGGAATGCATAAGAAAAACAAGATTTATGGATGTCAACTTCTTTATTTTGACTAACATGACATTTCAGAGTGTATGCCTGATGAAGGAGCAAACATACACTCTGAAGTGTTGTGTTATTCACAATAAAGAAGTTGACATCCATAAATCTTGCTTTTCTTAAACAATAGGGCTATTGGGGTCCCAGTTATCATAGTCCCTATGCAATGTGGTGTCCCTTTATAAGCTTGGATGTCTTAAAAGAAGCTTGGATGTCTGTCAGAAGATTGGACGATTCACCTTGATTATGTTGATTGTTGATGGATTTAAATGTCTAAGACTCTCCTCTCACATCAAGCTGACAGGTAATAATATAGCTGAAATGCTGTCTGTGTGGTAATGACTTATTTTGAGCAGAAGTAGCAACCACAGTTGTTAATGATCCTGCTGTAACATTCTCCTGAAATACTGAGTCACGAGGAGGTGCTGAATGATACTCATAAAGGTTTTACAAGATCTGGGTCACAATATTCTCCCAGCAGTAACAAAGTAAAGACACTGTACATGGATTTTGACTCTGTGATGTAATGTTTTACAATTGTGACAAGGTTTAGATCAAAAATAAAAGTATGTGCTTGCTTTGATGCTAAGAGGAATGGATGGCTAGTTGTCTGTTATAATAAAGGCACTGCTGTTGACTGCTATTAGTTATGTATGCCAGAAACCTCTGCTTGTTTTCGAATAACAGTTCTCCCCAATCTCGCTTTGCCCCCACCATTCATGTGATACCCGTGTAGATCCGGTTTAGAATTGATCTTCAGTAGCCCATGCTTGTCGTAAGAGGCGACTATCGGGTGGTCAGGCTCGCTGACTAGGTTGATACATGTTATCGTATCCCAATTACATACTCATGCTGTTGATCACTGGATTGTCTGGTCCAGACTCGAATATTTACAGACCGCCGCCATAAAGCTGAAATATTGCTGAGTGCAGTAGAAAACTATTCTTACTCACTCACTCACCCAGCCATACCTGTCAGGCTTACCTCCCTCATAAAGCTGACAAGCCAACAAGCCAAGATATAACGAGTAATGACCAGAGTGACATTAAACCCAACTCACATTTGCATGATGACATGAAATAAAGGTAAAGTTTGTTCCCCCAACAGACTTGGCAGAGCAGTGTCCATGCCCTCCTGGAGATGTCGGTGCTGCACATCTTCACCCTGGCCAGCTCCGCCACTGTTACGTCCCTGGGAGCACCCCTACTCCTCCTCATCATCGGACTGGCTCGAGACAGACTCTTCCAGCTCATGAACAAACTCTACTTCTTTTTTGTCCTGATCTCCACCTCCTGGCTTGACAAGAAACAGCGACGTGGCTCTACTGCCATTGTCATCTTCCTCTCTCTCATCTTCTTCCCCATCATTTTGGCAATACTTGGGGCGGCTGCTGCTCTTTCAGCCCCCCTCCTACCTCTCTTCACCCTGCCACTATTTTTTATTGGGTTTCCACGTCCCCAGAAGTTTTGGGCGGAGGCTGTAGGTGGATCTGCCAATGTGTGCACTGATACAGTCTACTACAGACAGTTCACACCCCAGTTTGCAAGAGGCCTCAAGGCTGCATTTGCCAATGGGAGTCTAGGTCAGTAACTTTACATGTACAGAGTGTAGGATATTTGTTGTAGTTATCCTTGTTAAGAGGTCTGTTTGCAGTAGTCTATGGTTGATATAAGTCATATACTCCTTCCTGGTAACTCAAGGTTTAAGATGTCAGAGGGGTACTCAAAGTACTTGACCTCGACTTCCAGTTGTCAGACTTCTATTTTGTTGTAGCTGAGAGGGTTAGATTGCTGATTTTGCCTGCTGGCGAAAGTGGCGATTAGGTGCCTGACTCTGCAAGTGTCAGAATCCTGAATGGGACTTATCTGAAAAAAATGTTCTAGAATCTGTACTTAACTGAGAAACTGTAATCCCAAATATAACATGTTACATTTGACCACTTTCTAAATAGCATTGCATATTCTTAGCTTTCGCCAATAGGAACATGCAAGATTTTTTTTCGCAGTCCAAGGTTGAAATCCAAGTGACACCACTATGAATGTATTAGTAACTTGAACGGTCATGTAATCATGATAGTGCTTTACCTTGTCTGGAGAACTGTTCCTCCTCAGCATGATTGTCACTGTTTTTCAGGCGAGCCAAAGCCAGGCAATCACTACCTGGTGCGTTTCCAGGACCGCCTCCTGTGGCTGATGATCCTGGAGCGAGGGGCTGGCTTCTGTACCGTCAGTGTCAAGGGGCTGGAGCTGCAGGAGACTTCCTGCCACACAGCCGAGGCAGCCCGACTAGATGATATTTTTGAAGTAGCATTTGAGAAGGAGGGAGGATTCTCACCTTGCACCTTTAACAAATACCCCTTGCACTCTCTGACCCCCATGGATTCAGCCAAAGTGAAAACATACTCTGATGCACGGAATGTGTTGACGGGTGTGATTGACACTCGGGACAGTGTCAACGCCACCATGGCATTCTTTGTGAAAAGCCTTGTGTGGGTGATCCTTCATCATGTCAACAAGACAAAGAGAAAAGAAGAAAGTATTAAAAAAGCACAACCTGTGATAGAAAGTAAAACCAATGAGGAAATTAATCACAACCACCACACATCTGATCTGAATAACAAACGAAACAATACAGTGACAAATGTGCAGTCGGTAAACAATTCTTTGATTAAGAACAACCTTGCTGCAATTGACAATGGAGCAAGGCCACCATCAGCCCAGTCAGTTGGCAAGAAGCAGAGGAAAGCTTCTTGGTCATCTTCAATTCACAGTTTTACTGATAGTATTTGGTCTGATGACTTTGATGCAGACAGTGACAATCGTAAAAAGATGAATCTGAGAACATCGAAGAACACGATGTCACAGCCCAAAGCACCCTCACCCGCTCCATACTCACAGGCGGCCAAACCTACAAAGAAGATGTTTGATAATGAAATTGATGATTTGTTGGATGATTTTGAGTTTGGGTTCCCTGCACAAGACATGTCTCGACCTAAGAAGCCAGTGGCAGCTGCTGTGTTTTCAAAGCCGGTCACAAACTCCAAAATGAATCCTGTCAACCATATATACAAACCCGTCACCAACTTGGCAGGTTCTCCAGACTTTAAGTGTCAACATTCCTCCCACATCAGCCTGCCTGTCAAGTGGCGGGAGCTGCCTATAGAGTACTCCCAACTGTCCAGGCATATCGGTCAGTTCCCGGTCACCTGGTACCGCAGTGTGCTCAGCCTTTTGGACTGGTCAGCCACAGGATTGCCAGGGGAGAAAGTAGCCATTGATGTGGGTGCCGATGATGCGCTGACCAACTGCTATTCACAGTTGATTATGGCTTGCTTTTCTGCATTTGATAGTCAAAGTAAGTTGAGATGGAAAATAGTAAGGCGATCCATTTCTTAAGCTTCACTTATCTGAGTTGGTACTGGGCCTCCTTTCAAAAAGCACTATGGTGATCATAAATCATTACGGTAACCTTGGTGCAATGTTAAAGAATAGGAGTTAAGGTTAACCTTTGTAAAGGTTGCTTTGTGAAAGGAGCCCCTGGTATTTATATTATGCCCAGTAAAACGTACTGCCGTTTTAACTGCTGAAAGCCTCTTAAAAAATCTAGTTGAAATGACCTATCCATGCAGACTTCCCCTGTATTGACTACTCATAACATACTTGATGCATATTTATAAATGGGATATTCATTACCCTTACCAAACATACATCTGTAATTGTATGGCTGTGTCATACACTGAGACTGTCTGAGCGGGGTATCCATGTTAATCTATGACATGGCATCTCTCACACACACATCAACGGTCTTCATCAACCCATAGTTCTTGTAGAGACAACCAACAATAATGGATTTTCCAACACACGGGAATGGTTAATGCATGTCCTCATAACCCAACTGCATTGATCAATGCTTATGATATCAAACACTGGATCATCTGGTTCAGACCCGAAATAACTGGAATATTGCTGATTGCAGCATTAGACAAGCAGTACTGCTATTTATGTTAATTTGATACATTTGGTTGTACAAAAAATAAATGTCTGTACTGAAAAGCAGTCAAACTAATTCAGTGATGATAATTTTCTTGCAGACAAGCCAAATGGCCCCAACTATCTGTACAAGTGTTACACAGGTGATGTTCCGTGGAACGCCATGATGGACTGGCTGGCAGAGGACAAGGAACTATACAACCTGGTCATCAAAGCATTCAGGTAACTGTCATCATGACATGCATTCTAGGGATCCTGGGTTAGGGACCGTTCATTATTTATGGCGAGGGGGATGATGATGATTTTCATGCTGAAGCATGTACAATGTGAATGACTCCCTCTCTCTCCCCCCCACCCCCACCCACCCCTAAAATTTACGTTCAATGTAAGTGACCACCCCCATATCATGTAAATCAATTACCCCCTCCCGATTCCCATAGATTTTAAATATTTAAACACACACACACACACACAGTACATGTGTACTAAATTGATTCCATGTGTTCTGGATGACCACCCCTTAAAATCATCATTCCTCCTCCTCTTTTCTCTCCCTCCCTCCCTTCTCTCTCCCTCCCTCTCATTCCTTTAAAACGTGTACAAGTTGCATACAGTGCTATTGTGCCTGCAGATACGGGTTGAAGCTGATGATAGATGAGGTGCTGCTGGGGCCGATCTCTTCGGATGAGGAGCTGATCGAGTACCTCCAGGACTATGATGACAGCTGGTACATTGGGCGTGATAGTGATCCGCAGTGGAGCAAGTCTGTGTTGGCCAACACCAACAATCTGTTCTCTCTTGGACACAACTCCATCCAGGTCAGTTGTACACACTACCTCCAACGGGGAATACTGCTTTGTTTCATTAGAATAACAATAATGTAAGAAAGAGAAAAAGCACATCCGTAAGTTGAAATTTGGTAAAATATTGCTCAGTATTTGAAGGGCAAGTAATTGAAATGTGAAAGGCATTTTTCTTCAAGTGATTTTGAGGACAATGAATATAAATTCGAGGTTTATGAGTAACTTCGACCGTTTGAAACAAAATTGTGATCCCAACAATAATATAGATCAGAAAGGATGTCTCTAGTTTTCCAAGTCTTGTGAAGATCTTCAGCCATATTACCTTGTTTCTCCACTCTGACCTCAAGTTTACATGATCTGCTTACCTTTCGGGGAAAAATAAACATTTCCAAAAATGAACGACTGTCGAGGCATGCCCACATTGGTGGATTTGTTTGTCTCATGACAAGCACAAGTAATGACAAGTAATAAAAACATTTAGAGAATGTCTTCCGAATATCTTTTCATATCATGTCATCATGAGTTGAAGATTTAAACCTGATGTAAGACACCTGGGTGAGATTCCATTAATTGTCCACAATCATCCTTCAAACTATTACTATTTGTAAACAGTAAACAGTGTAAAATGTAAAGCTAACCAGATTCAGGAGGAGAGAGGTTTGTGGTATCATTTGATTATGAAGTATTAATGGTCAGCAATACTTTGTAGCAGTATCTTCTGGGAGATCATGTTCAGGTGAAGGATGATCTCCGGAGGAGGTTTAAGTTTGTTTTGGATGATAAACAGGCAGAACCAGTGTCAACTCCTAGTCTTCTTGTCAGCCCTGGAAGTGTACATGCTTCTTGCTAATATGACTATGATGCTGACCTGTTGTTGAACCCCTGCAGGGAACGTATAGCAGTCGGGTGCTGTCCCTCCAGGATGTCATGGTGCACATCGGACGACTTAGCCCAGAGGTTGTCCGAGGTCAGTGGGCCAACCTCAGCATGGAGCTTCTCTACCTGACCAACGACGATGAGGAGCGCTACAGCATTCAAGCACATCCCACCATTTTAAGAAATCTGACAGTGCAGGCGGCTGACCCTCCCCTCGGCTACCCTATCTTTTCATCTGAGCCACTCACTATTCCTACATTGTAGAGGCCCTACAAGGGGGGCCTTGACAGCAAGGACTGGGGCTATGATGAATTATGCTGTATAATGCTATGGAATATTTGAAAACATAACGTGATACATGTCTTTGGTATAGTTTTAGATATCAGTTTGTGATGTCTCAACTCTCAAGGTGAGGTATGAAACTCAAACTAGGTACCACTTTATTACCTGTTGATAATGATTTTCTATGTTAAACGAAATTGATCATGCTATTTTTCTTCATAAGTATGAAAAATGTGGAGTGTTGTGAAGCAAGTGCCAATGATTTGATGTGAGGATATTGACTCAAATTGAATATAATAATGGATTTCTATTTGACTGTTGTGAAAAAAGAAACATTTGCCCTTAAAAATCAAGTAACGTTCATGCTTTGATGGGTGACCCTCCGAGAAACTGATTTAGTGTGGCGTCTAACATTGATTAATGCTCACGCTATCAACCCCTGGTCTACATGTACTCTGTTACAGTGAACATTGCTGTGCTAAACCCTACCCACCCACTCAATGGAACATGTGAATACTGTTGTCCCACCTCCCGATACTGTTGCATGGATGCTTAAGTATGCTTAGTGTCTCGGTTTCTGTCTTACAAACATTTGTGAGGATAATTAATATGTTAGCTGTATGTTGTTCATGTGTATCGGTGCAAGCCACCATCAAGGTCACATGTTTTGTTGATACGACTACATAAACGTGGAGCTAATTAATATGGAACATGCAAAGTATGATATACTGAGAGAAACAAATAAAGGATCACCGGAAAATTCAAGCGTTCCTTCAATATTTTCCAGTTTTCATCACCATCCTTGAATAATGCTGTGGTGATGAAAACTCGAAAATAATGGAGGAACGTTTGAATTTTCCTGTGATCCTTTATTTGTTTCTCTCAGTGTATATATATATTTTTTGTTATTGTGATTGTTGAGTTGGGTTTTTTATAGGGAAAATTTCATGATGCTTTACCATGCTAAATTGGTGACAAGCTTGGCTTTCTTGGGTATATCAAGCAAACATTGAATGTATCAACTTGACAGCAAACATCTCAGTCATTTGCCTATGGTTTTATATTCTCCTTTAGATTTCCTTGAAGTGTTTTCTACTTATAATAATTTGGGCAAGTTACTATAGATTATATATCCAAACCCACCAATATTTCAACAATGTGGAGACATGTTATTCCTTTTACAGGAGTATCTGTTTACTGTTTGTGTTTTTCAGTTAGTCAGACAGTTCTTCTGGCCTTTTTCACTTTGCTAACCTCTCTCGGTGACACTCCACTGATATCATAGTTCCATATTTGTCATGTGCCTGGAATAGTTTAGCTGTTCAATGCGGTTCGACTGGTGTGTTTACATGCGGCACATCAGGTGCTGCAGCTCGTCCAACAGTTACCTTCAGTTGTCATGCTCTAGCTTTGTTTCTGTGGGCAACTGGCTCAACACTATCTAGTTAAACTAAGATCTGGCTTTCCTGTGATTGCAAATGGAACATTCACCAAACTCCCTCACTCATTTTAGGTTCATAGAAAAATAACACTGAAAATTTGTTTTCCTGGAAGAAAAGAAATGGGAATAAGAGATGACAAATTTTTGTATGCTGGTACTGTAGTAAGCTGTTCCTCCATACCTCTAATGACTGACTGTGTATATATCCGTGACGTTATTAAAATACAATGTTGTTGTGACATGTTTAAGAAACTCAATGCTGTTTTGGGGATGCAAATCTAATGTAAGGCAAGTCTTGTTCCCTAACTGGCAAGAGTAAGTGAGTATAACACTATTCTGTCCTTGATATGGATTCATTTTGTTTATGATATTTTCTTATTCTGGAGTAGCCAAAGAATCTCAACCAGTGTCTGCAGACACACTGCAGGCACCTGGAGAAATGTGTGAGTCTGTGTAAGCTGTTCTCCTTTACACATTTGTTGTCCAATATTTATTTTTTAGTCATGTGCAGCATTATCTTGGGAAGACAGCTTTATCAGTTTCATTTTCTTAACATCATTTGTGTGTTATGTGTTGTATTTTCCCCTCAGTTTTTTATCAGTGTAGTCACAGTGAAACTGGAATAATGCTGATGCAGCTTGAAAACTTTACAGAAACACAATAAAAATGTCAACTCGTAAATATATTTGTCATTTGAATGGTAGTGAAAAATGGTTAAAGATACTAAAAAAATTAGTTATTTTTACAGGAGTCCTTTATGAATGGTAATGATATTGCATGTATTTGCATGGTTGCATAAAGTTTCTGTAAATGTTGATACCATGTAGAATCTCTTGTAATTTCATGTGTGAAAACAATTCATCTATAGCTATCCATTATGTTCTTGTGTTTTATGTTTTTCTTACAATTTTATAGCTAAATCAGTTTTGGATAGTGTTTATCATCATGGATCTATCATATATATTTTATTAGATTGTAACAATATTTGTGTCAAATATTGAAAATCAAAATTATTTTCTTTGCTTTTTCATTAGTCAGCAAAGTCAATATTTTATTTGATCATGGAGACAATTATGAGTCAATTGTGACTCAGTCAAGGGTATTATAGAAGAGAAACACATTTTACTTAACATTAAAAGCATGTGTTGAATGTGGTTAGAAGATGGCATTGTGTTGTGGATACGTGTGACAAAAGCGTATGCCTTAAAGAACATGGAAGTAAAATATGTTAAGAGATTTATTTATGTCCATATCAAACGAAGACATGTCAAAATCATTTAGCTCAAAGGTTTGTAGCCGTCCATTTGTACTGCTGAAAGAAGTCAGAACTACACTTGAACTAAATAGTCTTTACATCCATGATTCTACTGGATAGTGTACATTTACCACCAAATACAGTGAAAATAACAAAACGTTCAAATATGTTTATTAGTGCTGGTGTGACGTGTTTTCTATACATGATGATAATGAGTAATTAATGTCTGCCCCAAACAGGGTACTTTCACGTTTTTTACCTATTTTCTTTTCTGTGTGCAATACTCACAAGATGTATGTGCAGTTTTAGTTGCATGAACAGCTAATATTGTTTCGTTTTTTTAGTGATGTATGACAAGGAATCGGTGCATCTTCTGCCAAACGTTTCGCTTCTGTTTTCATTGTAGAGGCATTGCATTCTGTTGATAAACTAACCATCGATGATGATGATTTGGGGATTTTATGTGCATGATGCGGATTTCATGCACGGTAGTAACTGTCAACGCTTTATACAGTATATCCCTCCAACACCATTCGGTGCATACGGCCACTTTGCAGTGTAGTCGCTATTTCAAACCAACGAATCAAAACATGACCGTTACCTTGGAGAAAGAAGCCAATGTTTGCTCTGGCCAGTGAGCGCTTAGCTTACATCGCTCAAACGGTGACACGTCTCTTTCCATGTGTCATGCAGCTATGTGGCTACCTACTCAACACGTCGCTTCAATGTCAATCAACGTAGGGTTTGCACAGAGTCATTTATTAGATGCTCACGTCCTCCAACACCACATACAGGCCGTATGTATTCATGGAGGGACTATGTTGGGTATTAACTCTTAGGTAGTGACAATGATGAAATCAGTAAGACCATATCTTGGAGGGGGGAAGAATATGACTGCGAACACAACTCTAAATTATAGATGGTTTGGGGTTATTTGAGTATTGCACATGTAATATGTCCTCTCTTAATGTATGTTTTATTTTCTGTGTTTTGCCATTGGTACTTTGTACCAGAAATTCTGTGATAAACATATTTTTGTATATATCGTGTGGACATACTCAGTGAAATAGACAATTTAATATTGTTTTTGCCCATATTTAGACTTCATATGCTACTGATAACTGTGTGTCATGTAAACTAAAGAAAATAAAACGACTTGAAAATATCATGAATCCTTATTGTATTGTATGTCAGAATTACAGTCCGCTCCTGATTAAGATGAGTATAGGAGCCACGGCACTGTAGATTGATTGATATATTGACAACCGTTTACAATATCAACAAAGACCAGCGTTGATTACATACCTTCTGCAGAACTACGAAACTCCAAGAATCGTAGATGTCAGCAGCCTGGCAATATCAGGAGTCGAAAGAGCTGAATACACGTGGCTCTTTGACAGAATTCAAGAGAGTGATAATAAAGGGTTATGTTATAGAATGTCGGTACATCCAACAAGTGGGCGAAATATGTTGAAACTCCGCTGTTACCTGTGAGACAAAGTAGCAGTAACGTGTGATAATGAGACTGATAGGACTATAGATTTAACATACACATCTCAAATGTCTGTGATGACGTAACATGTTGGTCTTTAACATCTATTCATAAAAAGTCCAGTCGAATTACTACATTTCACCACTGAAAGTTTGTCAAGAAAAGATCACGAATATTTGACTCGAAAGGAGAGACTCTGATATGAACATAAAATTTATAGTGTCGCATTACCTGAACACCATTATCGAGTCATTGAAAGTTCTCTGTGCCTATCTCGCAAAGCGTGATTAGTACTTAGATGATCTTAATCCCCATACTTTGACATATGGTTATAATTGGTCGGAGCGTCAAGATCACTTTGTGGTCCTTGGTCATGTTGCACAGAGCGACCGTAGTGCTTCGACCGTCGTAAATCCTTTAGGTTATGAAAGACTTAGGCAATCGTAGCCTTCCTTTGCGCAGGTCAATGTTCAAGTAGGGGAGTTACGACGACTTTAGCACAACGGTGGCTCTTTGAGCCTGATGTGTAGTGAGTGAGTACAATAGCAATATTCTAGCAACATCACACCCATATCGGGAATCGAACCCGGGTTCGGCGTGACGAGCGAACGCTTTAACCACTAGGCTACCCAAATGCCCCTCCTGATATGTGAGGTGAGGTGAGGTGAAATTGGGTTTTACGTCGTGCTTGAGAATATTTCGCTCATATGACAACGTGCATGCGTGTGTATGTGTATGTGCGGCTGCTTGTGCTAGCCCAGACTTAAGCTGGTTTTATAGTGCTAGCCCACTGAGATACCATGCCGCAGTTAAGCATGAATACCCCACTCAGACACATTATACTGACTCTGAGCCGACCAGTCCTTGTTGTACCCATTAATGCTGAGCGCCAGGGACCAACAAGTACCATATTTTAACGTCTTTTGGTATGACGCGGTCGGGGATCGAACCCGCGACCTTCCGCTCTCCGGGCGGACGCCCTAACCACTACACCACGGAGGCGGTCCCTCCTGATATGTAACTCCCTTGGAAGTGGCAGACATGCGTCACTTGAACCTCCCACTTCAGGATGTATATACTCGCCTGCAACATAGAAGCCTCCATGCCACGGTAATTAGTGAGTGAGTTTAGTTTTACGTCGCACTCAGCAATATTCCAGCTATATGGCGGCGGTCTGTAAATAATCAAGTCTGGACCAGACAATCCTGTGATCAACAGCATGAGCATCGATCTGCGCAATTGGGAACCGATGACATGTGTCAACCAAGCCAGCGAGCCTGACCACCCGATCCCGTTAGTCGCCTCTTACAAGCACGGGTTACTGAAGGCTCATTCTAACCCGGACCTTCACGGGGGTCCACGGTAATTAGCCTTATACGTACAATGAAGAGTCATGGAGACCCGGTACCAAATGTGGTACCAGATTGGATCCATTCTCTTGATATGCTGCTGGAGGTGAGCAGTGAAGATTTGTGTATGACGATCACGCCCCCTGAGAAACACGCCGACCAACACGCCTTGCAGACAGGACAATGAAAGGTGTCATTATGAAGTCTCGATAGCTCTGTCTTGTGAACCTTCTTTGTACAACGTGGGGCAGGGTTTTGTCAGTTATAGAATGTCACCCCATACCTAAACCGATTCATCGGCGAATCTGTCTGTCTGTCCCAGATTGACATTGGCATTGCGTTCAACGTCTCCTGATACGACCACGCCAATCAAGGAGGTGTCACGTTAATCACAGTGTATGGCCTGCAGTGAGTACACACGTTGTGTGTGCACATTTGATGACTGTTAGCAATGTGTTGATTTGAAATGTGTCCTACAACACGTTGCTATCGAGTGTGGGGATCAGCTGCACTTGGACGATGATTAATTGTCCCACCGTAACTGTCATTATCCAGTTGCCGGATGAAAGTTTGCAGTCGTCTGATTCGCCGTTTGAGCATTACTTCGTAAAGCTTGACTTATAACTGAATTTGTGTTGTGTTGTGATACTGTAAGCAATATTCCAGTAGTATCACCACGACACACTAGAATGGGCACGCGTTGTCCGTATGTGGAGAACTGAAGCCTGACTAACGGCGTGGCGAACCAACGCTTTATCCACTCGGCGCCTATCGCCTCAGTTTGTTACAGCCATGTTATGTGTGTATGGTCGACAACAGTGTTACCTTTCTCAGTGGATCAGTATGCACTGGAGTTTCATTTCAGCTCCACTGGGATTCCACAACCCAGGCTGCTCATGAGGTGCTTGAAGGTTAATAGTCACACGTCATCTCAACCAACGTTATCATTAAACTGAAAACATGTAAAACAGACCCACGGCAAATTGCAATGTACATATTCTTTTCTTGCATTCAAAGCTTTTTCGTCTTGAGTACTATCTTGACATGATTAGACCTGACTAGTATTTTCAATCTGAAATATCCCTTCTCATTACCCAGGAAGAACAGAGCCACACAGTCTTACACACATGCACCTTACGGGGCAGCACCTCATCCATAGCGGAAGTTTACACGGGGGCATCCATACATTTAGGATTTCAGAGACGCTAATCCCTTTAGTCCTCTCATCCCGCACTTCATCCCGGCCACTTTACAGCCATGACCAATTGCCTCTGCTATAGATACTCCTCCGCCAGACAAGGAGAAAATAGATCCGGCAATGAATGTGTCACCAGCCGCCAAGGTGTCAACGACCCGTTCAAGTTTTACAGCAGGGGAGATAACTACGTCTGAATCTGACGACTTGGACGCAGCACCCTTGTCACCCCAAGCACAGATGACCGTGGCTCTGAAATAATGACAAGATAAATCATCAGCATGGAACAACACGGCGCATTTTACCATAAAATGGTGTCTGAAAATTTTCTCAAGATGTTTGCTGTTAAATGCCGAGATCAGCTATATCTGATCTACAGCTGTTGGAAATTAATCAGGACCAGACAAATCTGAGACTGAAAGACCGGTTTGCTTACCGCATTGGATCAGAAGCTTTTGAGACATTGCCAACCCAATAAGTCAAAATATGTGAGCGCTGTTTCTTTAGGGTTAGGTTAGGTTAGTGGCACTGCGGCATGTTGGTGGTCGACTCTGGACCAGATACACCAATGGCTGGCCCTAACTATATAACGATGTATTTTGTACTTTAACGTTAGGTGTATGGCTATTGTCATAGTATGCAAGTACAGTGTTTCCTTGATCACATTGTCAAATATCCTGCTGTTCACAAATATGTAAAACGGTCAAGACTAAGCCTGTATATGAAGTGTTACATGTTTACAGACTTTACCTCAGTAGTACACAGTACAGTACAGATAGCTTCATATAGTATACAAGTACAGTGTTTCCTTTGTCGCTCACTCTAACATGCTGTTCACAAATATGCAAATATGCATGTACAGTACAGGTAGCCTCATAGTACACAAGTACAGTGTTTCCTTGATCATATTGTCAAATATCATGCTATTTCCAAATATGTAAAATGGTCAAACTAAGCATGTATATGCACTCAGCAACATTCTAGATATATAAAGGTGGTCTGTAAATAATCAACCCTGAACGGGCCATGATATATGTCACCTCTTTCGACAACATAGCTAGCACAAAACTCTTTCGACAACAAAGCTAGCGCAAAACCATTTCTAACCTGGATTTTTATTGTTTGTCGGTTACAAAGGCCACACGGGTTTCAGATTACTGATATTAAGATATATATTGTACATATGTCCAACATACCCAGGTTTAGTCTTGGCGGAGAAGCCTGCAACAGCATCTTCCATGTTGTCATAGCCGAAATGCTGGGCAAACTCCTTACTCAGAAATAGGTAGTCCGGCAGTGCGAAGAGCTGCTCTGCAACACAACCTTTCTCAGTCTAAGTAAACTTAGGCTCAGTATTATTCGTTACACTGCTATATACTGATACTGAGTCTAACAAAACCTTGTGGAAGGTCGCGTCAGGTAACCTTTGAGCGACCTATGACCGTCCAATCAAACGCGAGACGACGGAACGGATTTAACCAATCAGACAACGGCTACTATTTAGGGTTCGGCGGGACTTACAAAATGGATTTATTCTTCCTCGGTCGCCAACACTGATCTCACAACAAATGAAAACCCGCATAAAACACAGATATATGACCTGCAGAATATACGCTTTTGGGTTTCTGTTGACATGGTTATCATTAGCGACTATTTCCGCAAACTGACAAAACGCTATTTTCAGTGACTGTTTACTCACGGTTGTGGCGTGCTCCATGTGCATCACTCGGAAGCGATCGTACGGAAAAAAGCAATCGGAATCGTTCAGGTACAAAACTTTTTCGAGGTAAAAGTTCAAAATGTATGCGCGAATGTCAACTTTCGCGATTTGGTAAGCTGTGTTCTGATTGGTCAATTGAAAACGTTACCTGACGCGACCTCCCACAAGGTTTTGTTAGACTCAGTATAGCAGTGTAACGAATAATACTGAGCCTAAGTTTACTTAGACTGAACTTTTCTGTGAGTGGTCATTATGATGTCTATGAGATAATGTCTGGGCAAACCCTGCGAGCTTATCTAAGACAAAATATATACTGCAAATCATTGTAAACTTACCACACCCGTTCCGACCTATTTTTTCAAACTCGACAGAGGTAACAATGCTGTGTAGTCCTGCTGTTTTATTATGATTCTGCACATGCTCCAACATTAGGGCGGTCTCCTGCACATTGGGCCGACACTGCAACAGCACAGCAAACGGTCAACGTCGTACAATAGTCTGTAGATGAAGGAGATGACTCCTAGAGGTTAAAGCCTTTGTCCCACCAAAGGTCGGATTCGATCAAACACGGGCGTATCGTGGGAATTCGGGAGAAATATGTCTGTATAACGCACATGATGATCAGACGCGATGTTTACAAGTTTAGCACAAACCTCGAAATGTATCCATTTATATTTGTTCCTGGAAAGATCTATTGCCGTGAAGTCGTCCGCATTGGCTTCTCTCAGATTGCTGGAAGAAGACAACACATTTATACATTAACAGCAATGCTACTGTTTTTCATCAGTGTGTATAGTGTAGCAGTGTAATGATTATCGCGGTATGAACTTGATTGAAGTGCACTGATAATGGTCAGTTGACCTTGATTTAGATTGACCTCCCTTTGTTGTTTTATAGTCCAAACTCCGTCCCGGTGCTTGACACATTCATTACCTTCCTCGAATAGAGGGTTCCTCTGTGTGTCTTGCATTCATTACGATGTTTGAGTCCAGTATATACGATCCGATTTTCGAGAAGGCGTGCAGGACGACAGGAAGATTCGAGACGTTCCTTCTACACCGTGACTTATCTACTCTCACAGTAAAGACTGGATACCTATCGGAAAACACACGGACATATCTACCCGTTCCCAGCATTGATTTCTAGAGTGTTCCAGGGTGCTTCTGTCAACAGTGAAAGAAGTGAAATGCTGTACATTCGTGGGTGCACTAACATTTGTAATTGAGCCTTTGTTCATTGTTTTGTACCATACATTTCGCTGCATTGCCTTTTATGTTGGTAAACCAACTTGTGTGTGTTGAAATATAGTTTCATTGTTCATTAATCTTGTATGTTCATCACTGGCATGGATTGTCTGGTCCAGACTCGATTATTTACAGACCGCCGCCATATAGGTGGAACATTGCTGGGTGCGGCGCAAAACAAAACAAAAATGTTAAATTGATATCACATTTTATGCTGTTTACGTAACAATTTCAGGGTTTACCCTCGCATTTCAATTCTGGAATCAAAATCAGTACTGGAAACAGCAGTATGATTGGCAATAGAGAGGCATATAATTGCATTGTCGGCTGTTGCTTACTGATCAAGTCTGACCCAGGACAATCAGCACGCAAATGAACACTAGTCTGAACATCGACTCGAACTTGAAGACACCCAATCAAATATGCAACCACTGAAACCGACGGTTCTATAATGAACCGGCCCTTACGGACAACACAGGCTGGTCAGCCAAAGTCGGAGTGGTTTGGCTTAATTTGGACAACGCCGGGTTGTGTCAGTATGCAGTATTGTTTGCCGTTTGACTGACTTGTCACTATGCAGTATTGTTTGCCGTTTGACTTACGTGTCAGTATGCAGTATTGCAGTTTGACTGACCTGTTAGTATACAGTATTGGTTTCAGTTTGACTGACTTGTCAGTATGCAGTATTGCAGTTTGACTGACTTGTTAGTATGCAGTATTGGTTTCAGTTTGACTGACTTGTCAGTATGCAGTATTGCAGTTTGACTGACTTGTCAGTATGCAGTATTACAGTTTGACTTACTTGTTAGAATGCAGTATTGTTTGCAGTTTGACTGACTTGTCAGTATGCAGTATTGCAGTTTGACTGACTTGTCAGTATGCAGTATTACAGTTTGACTGACTTGTTAGAATGCAGTATTGTTTGCAGTTTGACTGACTTGTCAGTATGCAGTATTGCAGTTTGACTGACTTGTCAGTATGCAGTATTGCAGTTTGACTGACTTGTCAGTATGCAGTATTACAGTTTGACTGACTTGTTAGAATGCAGTATTGTTTGCAGTTTGACTGCCTTGTCAGTATGCAGTATTACAGTTTGACTTACTTGTTAGAATGCAGTATTGTTTGCAGTTTGACTGCCTTGTCAGTTTGCAGTATTAGTTTCAGTTTCACTGACTTGTCAGTATGCAGTATTACAGTTTGACTGACTTGTTAGAATGCAGTATTGGTTTCAGTTTGACTGACTTGTTAGTATGCATTATTGGTTTCAGTTTGACTGACTTGTTAGTATGCAGTATTGGTTTCAGTTTGACTGATTTGTTAGTATGCATTATTGGTTTCAGTTTGACTGACTTGTTAGTATGCAGTATGGTTCTGGAGCCGTTGCGGGTGTTGACGATGACCACAGACAGTGGGCAGGACGTGTCCGGGCACACAACGATGTGGTCAAGGCTGACCCCGTAGCTGGCAAAATCCTCCCTGAGAAACCTGGAAAAAACACTCAGCGTTACGGTAGAATTTTGTTCAGTTGAGACATGTTATCTTTCAGTCCAACCATGGAAGATTATATGGCCGAAAAGAGGTAAATACGGATCAGGTGGTCACACCATTAAATCCACTTACAAACCCTTAGCCAACTTTAAACGTAGTCAAATTCGTTTCATCGTAATTAGCTTGAGTAGTATACACAATGGGGCTACGGGACCAGGAAGTCCCTAATCCCGTAGCTCCATTGTGTATACTACTACTGAGGTGCATGCCAAATTTGATGAAAATCGGTCGAATAGTTTAGGAAATAATCACTTTTTAGTGAGCATGGGGTCGGTCTGGCGAAAGGCTAACAATCCAACGTATAGTCGTTCTTGTTATATATTATTGAGGCGAGAGGTGTTTTCGGCCGAATGAAACGCAGCTCTCGGCAGTTCCCCCGAGCTGCCTTGCTACCATCTCCTTAGGACGTACTTGTAGCGATGTGTCAGCTGTCTGAAGGTGAATGAAACGCAGGTCTCGACAGTCATCACCTCGCTACCGTCTCGGGGATTGCTTTGAGCGAGCGCTAAGGACGAGTATAAGTGGGTGTGTGTGTGCGTGTGTGTCTCGGCTCGGCTATGATGATGCACGGCTGGCTGACTAGCGAGGCTACAGATGTATTAAGGTGAATGAAACGCATCTCTCGGCAGTTCCTGCCGGGGGGTCGCCTCGCTGCCGTCTCGGTATCACCGAGCGAGTGCTGTGAGCCAGTCGCAGTGTGTGTGTGTGTCAGCTCGGCTTGTACAGCCGACCGGTTGGCTGGGTGGCTGGGCTACGTTATGTTGATTTCCACTAAATCATACGCAAGCTCTCGGCAGTCCCCTCCTGTCGCCTCGCTGCCGTTTCGGTAGTACTGAGCGAGCGCTGTGGGTGAGTCGCAGTGTGTGTGTGTCTTGGTTGGCTTGTACCCCCGACCGGCTGGCTGGCTGGCTGGCTGGAGGGCTGGTTACGTTATGTTGATTTGTGCAAAATCATACCGCAGCTCTCAGCAGTTTCCCTGGGTCACTGCAGCTCTCAGCAGTTTCCCTGGGTCACTGCAGCTCTCAGCAGTTTCCCTGGGTCACCTCGTTGCCGTCTCGGTAGCATTGAGCGAGCGCTGTGGGCGAGTCAAAGTGTGTGTGTCTCGGCTCGGCTATACACCTACAGCTCGCTGAGCTGGCTGGCCGGCTGGCTACGTTATGTTGATGTCCGCGAAACAGTTTATTGTGAATCTCCTATGATTTGTTTGTTTTTTGTAATGAAGGCTTGTCGGGCCTGTTGCTTCCCTTGTTCTATGATTTTTTTTTTCTCGTCTTCACGAGCTTTTTTACGAGACTTGGTCCGAATCTCTTGTTTCATTCTGTGATATTTTGTGATTTCTGTTAGCACCAAACGAAAAACTCTTCTTCGGAGATTTTAGAGTTGGTGAGCGCAGTGGAAATATGATCGTCTATCGTGTTTAACTTCGCTTCGGCTAGAATTCTAATTTCGTCTTGTTTCAATGCTTTACGTTGCTGTCTGCGAGATACGAACTTATGGGTTAATCCCATCAACCCTGCAACTCCGGCTGTTATTTCGATGCCTAGCACCACGGGTGCGGCCACGATGGTGGATAATAACCCGATACCTGCCACGCCTAATCCCATGCTGACTGAAACCAGAGCGCTGTCAACACCGTCCATTGAATTGACGGCCCTGCGTGTTTCTGGAGACGGCCGTGGTCTTGACGTCGTCCAGGTGGAACAGCCTGCCACGGAACACTGGGGTTTATGTCCATTCGTCCTTGTCGTTGCGGATCAGGTCGTATCGTGTGTTGTTGACCGCTCCTTCTGTATCGACGAAATCGCCTAGGTCGTTGTTCTTACCACCACCACCAGCGGCAGTAGAGGGCAGCAGTTTGACGCGTTGGTAATGTTCTTTTTCAGTTGCAAGGAGTACAGTTTGCCGTCGACTCTGGGTTCGTCGAATCCGCGCGTGCCCCCGAGATCGGAGATCGCTATGTTGGCGCATTTTCTAATGCGTGTTCCTCGACCTTGAGACTCCGTCATTGTCGGATGTGCAGCGTCGCACTTAGATATCCTATACTTACGGGATCGTGTTTAATGTCTACAACAGATATTTTCAATTCCGTGATGTTGCCTCGGATTAATTTCTTGTACTGCCGCGACGAAAACAATTCGGTTCTGCCGTCGTTGTATTTTTCCGTTTTCACCGGCACGGCTCTCAGCAGTGTTGAAGGTCATTCGCCTTGAACGTTGTCGGTCGTGCTCAGCTGATCGAGATGAATGCACAGTTCACGATACAGAACGAGATCGGGTAATTTCGTGCCGGTCACGATGATTTCCGGTGATAAGTCATTCAACGTAAACCCGAGCATTTAAGCCAACGGCCGACTGAGTCTCAAGTCATTGATTCCGTTGTTGGCTGTAGTAGCCGTCCGTTATTTGGTGCGGGTGTTATTGACGAACAGCTTGTTGTTTCTGCCGTTGATGTTGGTCCATCGCCGGTAGTAGGTGATATCGCAGAGCCCGACTTCGAGCTGACCGGACGTGTTATCGATCGTGTGCAGCAGTTGAATGGACTCGTTATTCCCGGAAGCGTCACGTACATATTGAAAAAGTAGATATGTATACTATATATAACAATTCAAATATGTACAAACTGGGAGTGTTTCATTCTAAAAGTAATAATATAAGTGCTATCAACCTCACACAACCAAGTATTGTGGTCGATGCAAAGGATGGTTTACATTTCATGGTTCGGTTCATCGACGTGTTTAAAAATTACGTGTTTTTGGTCACGAATGTGAAAACGGTACACGCTTGGTTTAACAACCCGATGCAGTTCTGGCAGTTCCCGATCAATTCAATTTCGCCGTGTGGTGCGCGACCACCGGGTGCGGCGTGACGTTGAACGACACTCGTCGTGACAATCCATACGATCGACGTGCGTACCACTGCGGTTGCGATCAATTCGAACTAGATCCGAAGACGGCCGATTGACGTTTGCCGGGTCCGAACCCTGGTTTGGGGATTCCCATCGTTCACAACATGTCTCTCGTGGAAGCCAGCAAACAGCTAGTGAAAGATTGGGGTTACAAGTCGTATCATTATGTCACAACGAACGAGTGGAATGACGATTACATGGCTTTCAACGACAGCAAGGATTACCTTGTTGGAGGTTTGAGCAGGGACCCGTGGACGATTTGAAAATGTTCATGCTGGACACTTCGAAAGGGTTTACTCGTGCCGGTGTCGTCAGTTTGAACGATTCGATTCGAATGTAGATGCGGGCCGTGCTGGGCGCTCAGACGCAAACGCATTCCAGCATCGTGGGTCGTGAAGGGACGGCTTACGATGCGCAGAAACAGTTCGTGACTAACATCGAGGATGCCATTGCTAGACCGGTCGATCTACCGAGTTCCATCGAACACTAGGAAAACGCGCTGGAATACCCCCGTTCGAAAGTCGACTACATGTTCGGCATGAGACTGTACATGGCTCCGAGCGACATGCAACTGAGGGTGAACAGAGCGGTAGGCTACAACAATGAAACCGTCATCGTCATTGGCGATCAAAAGTTGGGCTGTGTTGAGTCATGCCGCAGTATGAAAGGGGCATCGTGGCACCGACACCTGAAGAAGTAGAACCACCACGACAGCAACAACAACAACAGCAGCAGCTGCCCCCACACGTGCACACAAACAATCAGCGGCACGTCGATCGCAAAACAGCGCTGGTGGTCGGCTAGATCACAGTAGGACTGTGTCTCATTTGCTTAAAAATTCCTTAGCTGCGACGTACAACAGACCTGCCACGGCGACGATGAAAGCCCACAGGTTTTGACCGAGCCACGTGACGGTTTTCGACAAGAAGCCTAACAACCAGGAAACGATGCTGCCCAAGATGACAGGCAGCGCTCCGGCGACTTTGCCGACCAGTTTAGCCAGGGCTTCGCCGAGAGATTTCAAATACTTTTTGATCCAGTCTCTGACGTCCTCACTTGATGATGGGCTTGGTGGTGTACCACCACCACCCGTCAGCGATACGACCAGGGTCGATGTGATGAAGCCCAAAGCTGTCAGAACGCTGGCGATGGTGATGCCTTGTTCCCGGAACAGAATTCGGATCCTGTCGGCCAATGTGGTGTCCTCGTTCAAGACTCGGTCGATGGTTTCGTGCACGCGGCTAATTTGCTCCCTGTTGGAGGAAGCGGCTTCCAATCGGGTCCGTCTCTCTTCTTCCAGGTCACACAAACTTTTCTCCGTGGTTTCGTCGTCGTCCACGATCTTGAGTTTTCTTTTCTCGCGAGCGATGTGCTCGTCGATTTTGTTCAGTTTACCCATGTTGTTCACGAGTTTTATATTAAACTTATAAAGTACATAGTTTCAAAATAAACAATGTCGCAATATGGACGAAAGCTAGATACTTTCCGAAGATTGAGAGAGCCGCTTGGTGTCAAAGCCGTGCGTCAGTCGGTGACGAGGTGCGGGAACGAGGTGCTGAGCATCGTCGACAGCAACATGTTTTTCATTTACATGGGCCTGTGGAGAACCTCGAACGAACACGATGACATGTTGTATCAAGGAATATGTCATGATAACGACCAATCGAACAACCAACATGTGGGAAAAGTTTACGTGCCAGACCAGCTTGGCAATATAATGACAGGAAAAAAAGCCGTCGCCGAGGCGTACGGAATCGGTTTTGCATACTGCTCGACTTCAAGCTGCTGGAGGGGCACATGCCGTTTTAACAGGTCGCACTGGGCGACCGGCTGGAATTCGAACTCACGTTCAACGACTACAGCAAAGTTATCTTCACGCCGGATGGCACCGAGGCCAGCTACATCTCGCTGGAGGTCGACATGGTCACGAGCACGGGAACTGGCGCAGCAGATTCGCAACCTGTACTCGGGGAAAGCTGTCCATCCTGTCAGATCGCGTGTTGCGGCACCGGACGATTGTCAAGGACAAGAGCGACACGCTGTTGAACATTAAACTGAACGTGCCGGCTCGATCAATGAAAGGCATCTTGATCATTCCTGTGGCAGAATACGAGCCGTTTCAAAGAGAAAGCGAACTCACTTGGAATCCCGAGATCACAAAAGTGGAAGTGGCTGTCTAGGGCATGCCCAACCAGCTTTTCCGTGCCCAACCAGCCGGAGCCTCGGTTCATCCCGAGAAGAAAATTCGACATTTCAGCGCCGAATCGCTTTCACCAAGCCAACCTCCTGTTCCTACCTCACGACAGGGTGAGGCGTAAAACCTACAAGTACGCCCTGACAGTCGCCGACGTCGCCAGTCGCTACAAGGAAGCCGAACCGTTGATGACCAAAGGTTCGAACGAAGTCACCAAAGCCTTAGAACGCATATACAAACGCAGTCGCTTGACCTGGCCTGCCGTATTGCAAATCGATCCCGGGACGCGAGTTCATGGGAGCCGTGTCACAACGGCTGTCCAAGCACAAAGTCCAGGTGAGACAAGGTGTGTCAGGAGCTCACCGAAGCCAAGCCATAGTCGAAAGATTCAATTGCACCTTAGCCGAACGTCTGTTCTCACATCAGTACTCGCAGGATTTAATGGATCCCAAAAACAGAAACACGGAATGGGTCGTACACTTACCGCGAGTGGTGGATGCCACCAACAACGAAGTCACCAGACTCGTGAGCAAGAGACCCGTCGAAGCCATCAACATGAAATCTGTCGAATCGTCGTCGGCAATGGCACGTCGCGATAAAACAGAGAAAACATTACCGGACCGGTCAGCGTTAGGTACTTGTACCAGCCGGGAGAATACGAGGGAGACAGCAGAAAACACACAACCGATCCGATATGGTCATGAAAACGTACAACGTAGACCTTGTCGACATCAAAGACGGCGAACCGAACTTGTACTACTTGAAAGACGGCCCGCCGAGAGCATTGGTCAGAGAGGAGTTGATGATCGTACCTCACGACACAGTCGCTTTTAGATCGCCCACTGTATGATAATTCTCATGACTATTTGTGTGTGCTATTAGGTTGTGGTATGCTATGTTGCTAGAGACGCAAAGTTAACACAACAATATGTCAGAGTTGTATTTTCTCAGAATAGTGAGCCCAGCTCTGTAAAAACCTTTACACCCCGGAGGACGCTGATAGCACTTGCAAATGAAAGCTACTTATCGATCTAGGCTGTACCACTGTCGATAGAGAGAGACGACCCATCATCATACTAACCATATTTTTACCCCTCCAGGAGCAATGGATCTTAAAAAATTTAGGAATCTGGTCCAAAACTATCATTACATAATGTAGCCAACAGCCAGCCAGCTCTACAGCGAGCTGCACATGGTGAATTATAGCTGAGACACACACGCACACACACACTTATACTCGTCCTTAGCGCTCGCTCAAAGCAACCCCCGAGACGGTAGCGAGGTGATGACTGCCGAGACCTGCGTTTCATTCACCTTCAGACAGCTGACACATCGCTACAAGTACGTCCTAAGGAGATGGTAGCAAGGCAGCTCGGGGGAACTGCCGAGAGCTGCGTTTCATTCGGCTGAAAACACCTTTCGCCTCGATAATATATAACAAGTACGACAATACTTTGGATTGTTAGCCTTTCGCCAGACCGACCCTATGCTCATTAAAAAGTGATTATTTCCTAAACTATTCGACAGATTTTCGTGAAATTTTGCATGCATCTCGGCAGATAGTTACGCTATAGCAAAACGGCATTGGGAACACTCTCGATGACTTCATTACATTAATTAAGACTTAATTACGACAAAAAGTTGGACATTTTGCCTTTTCCCGACTGACCCCATGCTCACTTAAAAGTCAATATTTCAAAAAAACTATTCGACCGATTTTCGTCAAATTTGGCATGCACCTCAGTAGTAGTATACACAATGGGGCTACGGGATTAGGGACTTCCCAAGGACTCAATTTAAAACTTGAGTCCTTGGGGGGGACCTGGTCCCGTAGTCCCATTGTGTATACTACTGTTTGGTTATTACAGTTATCTCATTCAGTACTTTAAATGTCGTCATTATAGTTACTAGAAAAAGGTGCGTAGTCACCACAAACATATTTGGGACTCCGAGGGTTGTATTACCTTAGTTCTTGAGATTGTGCTACCGTTCCGAAATATTCCACTGGTTGCCCCAGTAACGCCAAAACTGATGACGTGTTTGATGCGTTGCCACCACGTTGCCATATGCAATCCAAACACCTGTTGCAAATAATAGTAGAAAATGTGATCTTATCTAGATGCTGTCTATTTTTTACATATTAAAAAAACTCCGAACTTGCACATGTGAAACTTTACATCGTGTTAAATCTAACTTTGTTCAATCGATGCATTATCCGAGACTGAGAGAGTTACTGGTAGGACAGGGAATGTCTACAAAGGTATTTGACTGGATCAAAATTATATTCTAGTTTTAATTCCTGGTAGGTGTACGAGGTCCCCATCTCCAAAGGAGCCGGAATTCGCCCGTTCGTTCCACAGCCCTATGGTTGTAGGTTCGAATCCAAGGCAAGCTTATAAATCAAGGTGTGACGACGCGTGTTCCTAAGATTCATATCCGCGTGGAGCCCTGCATCACCTTAGGCTTGCTTCCCACATCAATCTGGCACACCGTGATATAAGTGGAATACTTTTTTAAATCAGCGCTATCACACACGCACGCACGCACGCACGCACACACACGCACGCACAATGCCTACAGTTTCAAAGCGAAACACTACAGTGGCACTTTCCAGTTCTTGTAACATTTTCCTTGTCTTGTATATTTTACCAAAGAAAGTGAAATCCCAGCCTACATACCGAGGCATTTTGTGTATGCACGTAACATCACAAGACGTGGTAGATTCAATACGCTGTGACACGATATGAACTGCTCCGTTATTACTATATGTTCACTAGGCGCCTGTGATAACTGAAAGAGTACGGTTTTCGACGCTTTTAACAATATTCCAGCAATATCACTGCAGATCCATTTTACAATTTGCAGACACAGCGGCCGAAACAGTAAACACCACCACAGGGCGAACCTCGGATGCGAACCCGCCATTATGGGTTTCTGGCACATCAAAGGGACGCAACTCTACACACCGAATTCCGGCCCCTCAGAAAACTTGGTCACGTGTGCCCTTTCATTCTTCATACTCCCTGCATTTCGCTGAAGTACAATCCTGTTTTCTACTGATGATGAGATGGGTTGTGTGCTCACCGTTGGTCGGAGTCTTCCTGGGGGGTAGTGTTCAACCATCTTCACTATATCCAGACACACCAGCCCCACGCACAGCACGCGCTTCCCATCACGTGACATCGTACACAGTCGAACGTAGTGGATCACTGCACATATCAACCATATGCTGGTTCAACATCTCCAGGCAGTAATAGAAGTGCATGATATTGTAACCCAACACAATTAAATATTTGAAAGGCATTTAGAAGTTGAATGCATAAGAAGAGCAAGATTTATGGATGTCAACTTCTTTATTGTGAATGACACAACGTTTCGGAGTGTATGCTTGCTCTTATGCTTGCTCACCTGATGAAGGAGCAAGCATACACCCCGAAACGTTGTGTCATTCACAATAAAGAAGTTGACATCCATAAATCTTGCTTTTCTCCTTCTAAATTAGTTAGGGGATCACCATACTGTGGCTTCTGTGTACAGCTGGGTTACCTGCAGATCTAACCGCGCTCATTTGAAATATGAGTGGGTGAGTGAGTTTAGTATTCCAGCTATATGGCGGCGGTCTGTAAATAATCGAGTCTGGACCAGACAATCCAGTGATCAACAGCATGAGCATCGATCTGCGCAATTGGGAACCGATAACATGTGTCAACCAAGTCAGCGAGCCTGACCACCCGATCCCGTTAGTCGCCTCTTACGACAAGCATGGGTTACTGAAGATCAATATTCTAACCCGAACCTTCACGGGTCATTTGAAATATGAACGGAATACCCACTGCAATAGAACTTTTCTATCGTGATTTCCGACTCAAATACAGTCACACTTGAATACTGCAGTAACCGCACATTTCCATTTCACAGTCTAAGTAAACTTAGTATAGCAGTGTAACGAATAATACTGAGCCTAAGTTTACTGCTACATTTCACGATGTGTAATTATTTAAAAAATACTTTCCGACAAAGCGTGTATAGTGAAAGGAGAGATGTACAACAAACTTCGTAAAAATCACTGTGGTTCATTGCAGAACAAATGTTTGTCTGAAATTTTAATAATGCATCTTTCCTCGATCTTTGTATAAGTTAGTTCTCAAATTCACATATTCTATACAGTATGTAGATGTATTTTCACTAATTTTGCACCTTAATCAACAGAGTTCTAGCCATACCTTCAAATGTAATGAAGGAAAATAATACACAATTTAGCTGACGTCATGCATGGCTTGTTTAATGCATTTTGTACAACGGCACCTGGCTAGTCAGAATGGAATTATTTCCATGGAAGAACATTGCTTATAGCGGAATGAGACATGTAAATAAGATAACGAAGAATTGTGCCCAACACGCTGCTTAAACTTAAATTTGTTGTATGGATAATATTACAGAGATCGCTTTTAGGCACATGATATGTAAATATACCATTAAGCTGGGCCCCGTCTCGCATATCGCATTATGTCGAACGTTAGCGCGCGTAAAGGGAGCCGGGAACCAGCTTAAATATACAATATGCACTGTAGCCCGCCTCTATCGCTGCAGCTAACTCTGAGAACTCTGCTTGAGTACACATTGCACCACGCTATTAAACTGGAACAGCTGTGTTGTCACATAGTGTCTTCTAGGATATACGTGCACGTCAATTCAGTACAGTATATGTTTCAATATGAACTAATAGTTCCTCTAAATTCATAACACACTAGTTCCAGTCAATACTCACCCTACACAGGAGCTAGATATGGTGCGCCATCGCAGCCTGGCAGCTGTGTAATCGGGTCACGCTTTAACTGAATCTTGGCCGGTGTTTTGTCACATACTCTCACCCTAAAATTGTATCCTGTACTGTCAAAAGATAACGTATATAAACACAGCGTGGGCTTCGCAAACATTTCATTTAGGAAAATTAAGACGTTAGCAATATTTTGAGCATTCAGTCCTTCGTAATACTGTATCTTCTTGTTGCGTCTAGCCGGCTGCCTCCAATAGATTGTTGATGAAGCGTTAAGCAATCATTGCTCACTCCCACCTCAGTAAAACATAGCCTGATTTTATCACAGATACGTGCAGACATCGGGAAAGTAATATACCGTACGCTTTCGTAATACATGTATCCAAACATTGATTAGGGAAGTAACAGAAAGTATGCTGTCGTATAAGTGAGCATCATAGGCGGATCCAGAGGGGGATGCAGGGGTGCCCTCCCCCCCTTGTGCTGAAAGTTTGTTAAATGACCATTGAAACTCGGGTAAAACTGAAGTGTGCACCCCTCCTTTTCTCAATAGTGTGCACCCCCCTTTCTCAAAAAGCTGTATCCGCCCCTGAGCATGGGTTTAGCAACATTTTAGCAATATTCCAGCAATATCACACCAGAGCGAGTAAGTGAGTGGAAGTGTTGTGTTGAATATAAAACATGATAAATTCAGTATAGATGTGGAAGTGTTGTGTTGAATATAAAACATGATAAATTCAGTATAGATGTGGAAGTGTTGTGTTGAATATATAAATTCAGTATAGTTGTGGAAGTATTGTGTTGAATATAAAATATGATTAATTCAGTATAGATGTGGAAGTGTTGTGTTGATGATAAATTCAGTATAGATGTCATTGTGTTGAAGTATGTGGAAGTGTTGTGTTGTATGATAAATTCAGTATAGATGTGGAAGTGTTGTGTTGAATATAAAACATGATAAATTCAGAATTGATGTGGAAGTGTTGTGTTGAATATAAAACATGATAAATTCAGTATAGATGTGGAAGTGTTGTGTTGAATATAAAACATGATTAATTCAGTATAGATGTGAATATAAAATATGATTAATTCAGTATGTTGGAAGTATTGTGTTGAATAATATGGAAAAATAGATTATGATTAATTCAGTATAGTGTTCAGTATAGATGTGGAAGTGTTGTGTTGAATATAAAATAGATGATTAATTCAGTATAGATGTGGAAGTGTTGAAGATGTGGAAGTGTTGAATATTCAGTATAGATGTGGAAGTTGTGTTGAATATAAAACATGAAATTCAGAATTGATGGAAGTGTTGTGTTGAATATAAAATATGATTAATTCAGTATAGATGTGGAAGAATATAAAACATGTGTAGATGAAGTGTTGTGTTGAATATAAAACATGATTAATTCAGTATAGATGTGGAAGTGTTGTGTTGAATATAAAACATGATTAATTCAGTATAGATGTGGAAGTGTTGTGTTGAATATAAAATATGATTAATTCAGTATAGATGTGGAAGTGTTGTGTTGAATATAGAAATATGATTAATCAGTATAGATGTGGAAGTGTTGTGTTGAATATAAAATATGATTAATTCAGTATAGATGTGGAAGTGTTGTGTTGAATATAATATGATTAATTCAGTATAGATGTGGAAGTGTTGTGTTGAATATAAAATATGATTAATTCAGTATAGATGTGGAAGTGTTGTGTTGAATATAAAATATGATTAATTCAGTATAGATGTGGAAGTGTTGTGTTGAATATAAAATATGATTAATTCAGTATAGATGTGGAAGTGTTGTGTTGAATATAAAACATGATAAATTCAGTATTGATGTGGAAGTGTTGTGTTGAATATAAAACATGATAAATTCAGAATGTGAGTATTGTGTTGAATATAAAACATGATAAATTCAGAATTGATGTGGAAGTGTTGTGTTGAATATAAAATAAGATTAATTCAGTATAGATGTGGAAGTATTGTGTTGAATATAAAATATGATTAATTCAGTATAGTTGTGGAAGTATTGTGTTGAATATAAAATATGATTAATTCAGTATAGATGTGGAAGTGTTGTGTTGAATATAAAATATGATTAATTCAGTATAGATGTGTAAGTGTTGTGTTGAATATAAAATATGATTAATTCAGTATAGATGTGGAAGTGTTGTGTTGAATATAAAATATGATTAATTCAGTATAGATGTGGAAGTGTTGTGTTGAATATAAAACATGATAAATTCAGAATTGATGTGGAAGTGTTGTGTTGAATATAAAACATGATAAATTCAGAATTGATGTGGAAGTGTTGTGTTGAATATAAAATATGATTAATTCAGTATAGATGTGGAAGTGTTGTGTTGAATATAAAACATGATCAATTCAGTATAGATGTGGAAGTGTTGTGTTGAATATAAAACATGATAAATTCAGAATTGATGTGGAAGTGTTGTGTTGAATATAAAATATGATTAATTCAGTATAGATGTGGAAGTGTTGTGTTGAATATAAAACATGATTAATTCAGTATAGATGTGGAAGTGTTGTGTTGAATATAAAACATGATTAATTCAGTATAGATGTGGAAGTGTTGTGTTGAATATAAAACATGATTAATTCAGTATAGATGTGTAAGTGTTGTGTTGAATATAATATGATTAATTCAGTATAGATGTGGAAGTGTTGTGTTGAATATAATATGATTAATTCAGTATAGATGTGGAAGTGTTGTGTTGAATATAATATGATTAATTCAGTATAGATGTGGAAGTGTTGTGTTGAATATAATATGATTAATTCAGTATAGATGTGGAAGTGTTGTGTTGAATATAATATGATTAATTCAGTATAGATGTGGAAGTGTTGTGTTGAATATAAAATATGATTAATTCAGTATAGATGTGGAAGTGCTCATCACATGAAGGTTCAGTACCGAATATGTACACAGCAAATATTGCTATTGTTTCTCGAAGTTTTATCGCGTGAATATGATCCGAGACTTAATATCGCCCGGTTGTGTGGCTGTATTTATACCAGAATGTGTTCAGTATATCTTCAATATGTTCAGTATATCTTCAACGTGTTCAGTACACCTGCGTGGGCGGGCAAACTGCGACTGAAGTAAGGCATCATGACGCCATCTATACAAATAATGAAGGTTGTACACACAGTTTTAGACCAATGTCGCACCCTGTGATAAAGCACTTACAAGCCTGTTCAAGGCCGGGCGGTAGTGATACTTGGTTGTATACATACATCATTACTGACAAAATCGTAAACTTGAGGTTTATGCTCTTAAAACATTTAGTTTAACATACCGCTTTTTATTGTGTTTTTTTCTCACATTTTTGTATTCCTCTATAGGTGAATGCTACTATAAATCTTAAAGGTTAACCTTTAGGAGCAGAAGGAGAAGCAAAG